ACCTGATTATTGCGGACTCAAGATTCTAGGGCCTACAGTATAGTGAAAAATTAAGTTTTATTTTTCGATGCTTCCGACAGAGTTTACTATAATTCCGTTCTGGACTAAGATGTTTTCTGGATTTTTCAAAATACATAGAAAGAAAACATAGTCAAAATTTTACTTATTTTATTGCCAATATAAACAATTTCCTTTTCTTCTTTCGAATATTCAACTTTTTGTTTATTTAATAATTCAATTTTATATGCAATTAAATTAATTTCTGACCAATAACTTGATAAAAGTTTGTTTTCATAATTTTCCTTTATTGAGTTCAAATCTTTGAATTTTTTTATATTTTCTAAACTCTCATCTAATATAGAAGTTTCATACTGTTTTTTATTCGTTTTATCAAAATTATTATTTTGAAGAATCTTAAATAGAATATAAGAGAGGAGAAGAAACAAAAGAAAACTCGAGTATGTAGTAAGGTCGGCGGATAGTTGGAAATCTTCGTATATCCGGATCCGGTATCCGAACCGAAAATCTCCGGATATCCGGATCCCCCAGCCTTAGTATGTAGTAGATACTAAAATCCTATTTATTTTTGAACTCGGTGTCTGTCAAATTGAGGTCTGTCTGTATCCTTAATAACAAAAATATTAAATACCCGTTTTTTAAATCCAGCCAAAATATTTTGAATAATCTGATTATTGGCAATCTCAATCAGAATTTTATTTTTTAATTGAACAGATCGACTATATTTCGAACCAATACTTATTGAAGTATCAAAAGTATTCTTATCAGAGTCAAAGTTAATTGGATACAAAAAATCCTTTATATTATGCTTGTGGCTAACATATTTATTATTTCTTTTCTCAATTTTTTTCAACACAAAACGATCCTTTTGTTCAACATTTTTTAAATAAATAAATTCTCTTTTTCCTTCCCAATCATTTATAATTTTAACTTCTGCAGGAACAATCCTTCCGGCACATTGAGTATTTAATAAAATAATTAAATGAAAAAGAATAATTAATTTACTAATCATCTGAAACCTAAAAATTTTACAAATTGGACCTCAATGTAGAAACACGCACGTGTGGGTATACCTCAATATAAAGTAGGATGTTTGCATGTTGTCTAACAAAAAAGTCTAGTGTTAGATTTAAGTTTAAGCTACCTAAGTTTAACCTATTATTTTCAGGGTCGAAAGCAGGTCAGATTTATTTGCAAGACTTGTTAATATTATTACTTAGATACTCTCCCTAATTAGGCCAAATAAAGAATCATAACCTCAGTTACTCGTTTAGATGGCACAAACTTAGTTATGATTATGAAAACACAGCATTTTTTTATAGTAAAGACGATTTTAAACCGAACAAAAAATTATTAAGCCGACAACCTTATCTTTTTGTATTTAGCGTCTTCAACTAAAAGCTAATAATTATTCTTCAAAAGGGTTATATTGTATAGATTTGGAGTTTATAACAAATTTAAAAAATAACAGGTAAATCTTAAAGACATTGGCAATATTAAGGCAAAAATTTTTATTGACTAATTATTTAGTTTAATAATAATTAGCTTGTTTATTCGATAGAGGCAAAGCGCTATATAGCAATAGACAGGATGTCGCACTTTTACCTTTTCATCTGCCTTTACTAAAAGTAAAGGCAGATTCGACTAATTAATATTATTGACTACTTAATATATTCGTGGCAATTTAATAAAAGTGCAATTATTTATGTATTTACATGTTTGTTTGTTTGATTTTTTTGAATAGAGAAAACACTTGAGAATAGAGGAAACAATCCTGTTTTTGTTCAATCTACCGATTAAGTATCATTTTCTTTATTCATAAATCTCAATACCGATTTTATGTCAAAATCTCATTAACGCTCAACCCTATTTTTTGGAAGGAAAAGAAAAATCATTCTAAGATGATTCTTTATATTTTTAATTTAATTTTTCATATTCCCCATTATTTTTTATAATTCTGGTTATATAAAAATATTAACTTCTTTAATTAATAATATTAAAAGTTTATTAAAAATTCATAAATAAATTTTAAATAGACTAGAAAAGCAACAATATTTTTTATTTTATCGTTAGTTTTTATATTATTCTTAAATTAATATTTAATTTTTAATTTTATTCTTCTATTTTGACTGTGCAAAAGTAGTTGTGAAGACAACAGAAATGAATTGAAATGGAGAAAAAAATGGAAAAATAAAAAAGAAATTTTAGCAAATAATGCAAAATTTAGAGAGAAAATTTGTTTATTTGGTAGATGTTTAAAAATATAACCAGGCCTCGGATCTCGTATTTTTAAGAACCGCAAAAACTGAGGATTGTGTTCAAAAAACTATTTGTGTTTGAAAAAAAGGATGGATTCATAATTATTTAAAGTTCGGACACACTTGGTTAACATGGAACGTAACGCTTAATACAGCATCTCAAATTTAGAATTCATCTATTATTTATGTTGTTCAATTTAAGTTCGTACCCCCCTCCCCCTCCCTTTTCCCTCAATGTATTAAAAATGAAAATAAACGAGAGTTACGGTACACACACATCCATAGTGTAATTTTGGTAAAAATTTTTAGATCTGATCATTTTTAATACTTTCTCAAAGTATATATACTATGCTCCGGCGCTGGTCTAGTTTACGCGTCCAATGAAAAGTTTATGCGTCTAATGGATAATTATGTGTCCACTCAAGATTTTATGATAAATTTTATCAATCAATCTCCTGATCCAAAGATATACTCATAATTTTTAATTTGACGCATAAACTAGACCAGAGCCGGTGCGGTACGAACATGAATTTTATCATTTAGTATGTGGAAAAGTCAGACTATACATATAATTTTCTCATCAAATTCTCAAAAACGTAATTCCTTTTCTTTTAAATTTTTATCATTTTTCTTTTTATAATGTTGTTTCTTGTAACAGGAAATACATAAATAGTTTCCAGGTTCTGAATCACTGTAGTTAACACGTTTTGTGGATCCACAAATATAACATTGACGATCTTTGATTGGAATTTGCTAAAAAAATTATTTGAATTGCTTATTTTTTGGAAAAATAATTCTAAAATCTAGAATTCAATTTTATGTAGAATTATTTTTAAATAATTTTTAGATAACCTTTTTAGTTTTAACCCATAATTCTTTTGGTCTAAACTTTCCATTACTATCATTTCTATAGGTAAAACATAATTTGCACAAATATTGTTCATTTAAATAGTTATACCATTGTATGGTTTGTTTAGCTCCACAATTAAAACAATACCGTCCTCCCTCAATAATTTCATCTATATAATAGGTAATTAAGAATATTTATTAATTACTAGGGATTTCCTAGAGGCCAGAGTTGCGTCGTAATTACGAATTACAGCATTTTTTCAGTTACGCTCGCAAAAAAAGTTTCAATTACGGGGCAACTCTCTAGAGCGGGAATTGGCTGCAAAATTTTCAAAAAAAAGTTTTCAAGTTCTCAATTTTCATGAAGTTTTCTTGATAATTAAAAAGTAGAATAATTATATTAATGGAGAATATAAAACTAATTTTAAATATTGCAGATAATTAAAATCAAATTTCAGCTATTCAATTTTTGAAAACATTCTAACACAAACGTAAAAAAGATATTTTAAATTTTCAACAAGTTAGGTGCAGAGCTGTTTCGAAATTTCGTTTTCGTTTTTCGATTTTCGAGGTTTTTTTCCTTTCGATTTTCGATTTCCGATTTTCGTAATTTTGTGATATTTTCGATTTCCGAATTTTTGAAAAAATTTGAATTTTTGGCGCCAAAGTTGATGATTTTTGGCTTATCGGCCTTCATAAATTTTAAAAATTTTCGCCTGCGGCGCAGAAAAAAAAAGATTTTTGGCTTAAGGATCTTCCAAAATTCTCAAAATTTTCGGTTGCGACGCTGAAAAAGGAAGATTTTTGGCATAAGGATCCTCCAAATTTTTAAAAATTTTTGCCTGCGGCGCAGAATAAGGAAGATTTGTGGCTTAAGGATTCTACAAATTTTTCAAAATTTTCGCCTGCGGCGCAAAATGAAGGAATCCGTGATCTCTTAAGAATATTATTCTTTGGCTTCGGTATATTGGAGTATATTGGAGGATTTGCTTGAATTAAGGTGGATTTGGAAGCCCCCATGCTTGAACCCTATGCCAGGTACCGCCCCACCTTATGAGCAAAGCGGCCTAGCTCTGCTTTACTATATTCAGGGGATTTTACTCAAATCCTCCATTATCTCTCTTAATAATGGAGGATTAGATCTCTTTCTTAATCCCTCTTAATCTGGAGACAACATGAAACGGCTCAGAAAATCACCGGCATAGGACCAAGATTTGAATAGGTCGGAGCCGGTGCCGTATATTCGAATATGCAAAATTTTGGGCTTGGATATCCGTGATCTCCATGGATCTCCGATTTCAGTCATTAGTTTTCCCCAATTCCTTAGAGTTCAAGCAAAAGTTCCAACATAACAAAAATTTATTTTCTAATTTACTTTTATTAAAAAATTTTTTTCGATTTTCGATTTCGAAGATTTCGAAAAATATTTTCGATTTCGATATTTTTGGATTTCTTTCGATTTTCGATTTCCGATTTTCGAAACTTTTTTTGTTTCGAAACACCTCTGGTTAGGTGTGATTATCTCAAAAGTCAGATTCCCGATATTCACACTCAAAATAGAAACAAAATCAAAAATAAAAATTTACTTATTTTATTTCCAATATAACCAATTGTGTTTTCTTCATTCGAATATTCAACTTTTTGTTTATTTAATAATTCAATTTTATATGCAATTAAATTAATTTCTGACCAATAACTTGATAAAAGTTTGTTTTCATAATTTTCCTTTATTGAGTTCAAATCTTTGAAATTTTTTATGTTATCTAAACTCTCATCCAATATAGAAGTTTCATAACTTTTTTTATTCGTTTTATTGAAAATATTATTTCGGAGTATCTTAAAGAGAATTAATATTTCTTCGCAATTATTATAATTTTAATAAAATACCCGTTTTTCAAATTCAGGCAAAATATTTTGAATAATCTGATTATTGGCTATCTCAATCACTATTTTGTTTTTTAATTGAACAAATGGAGTATATCTCGATCTATTGCGTATTGAAGTATCAAAAATATTTTTATTAGAGTCAAAGTTAATTGGACGCAAAAAATCCTCTATATTATGCTTATGGCTAACATATTTATTCTTTTTCTCAATTATTTTCAACACAAAACGCTTCTCTTTTTCAACATTTTTTAAATAAATAAATTCTCTTTTTCCTTCCCAATCATCTTTGATTTTAACTTCTGCAGGAACAATCCTTCCGGCACATTGAATATTTAATAAAATAATTAAATGTAGAAGAATAATTAATTTACTAATCATCTGAAACCTAAAAATTAACCTCAATGTAAAAACACGTACATGTGGGTATATCTCAATTTAAATTAAATTGTTTGTTTGCTGTTTAGCAATAAGTCTACCTACTAATTTTCAAGGTCGAAGGCAAGTCAGATGCAAAACTTGTTAATATTATTACTAATTAGAGAGGAAACGTTTAATATTAACTTTGATAAGTTTTGAAAATCTTAAAGCTAATTATGGCTTTGCGCATTATAGCAAGCGCCCCTTTGGGTGTTCTATATTTGAAGGAAAAAATGATTGGCATTAGAAAAGGAGGGAAATAAATGGTTGACAACAAGAAAGGAAAAATAATCTGAGATTCAAATAGAGGTGAGGGGCGGGATATTAATAAAGTACCCTTAGATAACCTCCCTGATCAGAACAAATAAGTATTCATAACCTCATTTACTCGTTCAGTGGTACAAGTTTGGTTATGATTAAGTGAAAGAATGTTTAAACCGACAATTTTTAACGTCTTTAACTAAATATATGGGATCTGTTTTAATTAGTTTTTAACGTATTTTCATAAAACAAACATTTTAACACATAATTTAAAAATAATTTCATAATTTAAATTAAGCTAGTCGTAATAGTGGAGTCGTAATACAATCGAGACAGAAAATAATATTGACTAATTATTAGACTCGTGGCAATTTAATAAAAGTGCAATTAAAATGTATGTTTGTAAATTGTAAATAAAATATTTTAAAAAACATTTACTACTAGAAAAATAAAAGAGGAATTAGTACTGGTCGGATTTTTCGGGATTAATCCGTCCGGAAAAAATCTAGACCCGAGACTCCCCTAATCCTCCTATTTGTTCATTGACCGATTGGCCACTAATGCATTGTGCGACTACTGGCCGATAGCTCACTGATGCATTGTTTGAGCAATTCTCTTATTAAATTTCAGACATTAGAGATTTTAGACATAGATTTTAGATAAAGAAGTAAAAAGAAATCTCAGAAATTTTGGCAGAAATTAATCTCAATGAAATAATTCGATTGAAATTTAATTTTTATTGTGTTATGTGGGGTATAAAATTTTTTTTTAACATTGAAAAATAGATCGAAAAATAAAAGCACACTCTCTAATAAAGCACACCCTCTAATATAAGCACACCTACGAGAGGATCGAAAAATACAAGCACATGTGCTTATATTAGAGAATTTAAATTAATTTAAAAGGTAAATTCCTTCAAAATATTTTTTAGTTAATCTTCTCCTTCCTTTATCTGAAAAAATTTCTAATTTCCTTTATTTTACTAAAAAATATAAAAAAAACAATCAAAAATAACGGGGAAACTAAATATAAAATTTAAAAATTATCAGACTTAAAATGTATTACCACCCTTACTCTATGTCTATAAGTACCAGTTCTGCTTTTCGGAATCAGTGGCATCTTTAAGTACCACTTCTAATTGTAATCAGTTCAATGTGCTCACAACAATCAAAATGAAACAATCTGATCATTTTTAATACTTTCTCAAAGTATATATACTATCCTCCGGCGCTGGTCTAGTTTATGCGTCCAATGAAATGTCCAATCAAGATTTTATGATCAACTCATAATTTTTCATTGGACGCATAAACTAGACCAAATCCAGGGGGTACGAGCTTGAATTTTATCATTTATGTGGAAAAGTCAGACTGTATATAATTTTTTGCCTTTTCTCGTCAAATTCTCAAAAACGTAATTCCTTTTCTTTTAAATTTTTATCTTTTTTCTTTTTGTATTGTTGTTTCTTGTAACAGGAAGTACATAAATGGTTTCCAGATTCTGAATCACGGTAGTTAACACGTTTTGTGGATCCACAAATATAACATTGACGTTTTTGTTTGCTTGGAACTTGCTGAAGAAAATATATTCGAATTGTTTATTTTTTGGAAAAATATATATTTAATTTTTAAAATTCAATTTCAGAATTATTTTGAAATAATTTTTGGATAACCTTTTTAGTTTTAACCCACAATTCTTTTGGTCTAAACTTTCCATTATTCTGATGCCCATAGATGAAACATATTTTGCACAGATTTTGTTCATTTAGGTAGTTATACCATTGTATGGTATTTTTACCTCCACAATTAAAGCAATAACGGCCTTCTCCCTCAATAATTTCATCTATATAATAGGTAATTAAGAATATTTATTAATTACTAGGGATTTCCTAGAGGCCAGGGACGGTCACGAAAAAAATTTTTTAATTACGGGGCAAATCTCTCGAGCTGGAATTGGCTGCAAAATTTTCAAAAAAAAAAGTTTTCAAGATCTCAACTTTCATGAAGGATTCTTGTTAATAAAAAAGTAAAATAATTTTATTAATGGAGAATATAAAACTGCTTTTAAATATTGCAAATAATTAAAATCAAATTTCAGCTATTTAATTTTTTAAAACATTCTAACTTTGAAAACATTCTAACACAAACATAGAAAAGATTTTTTTAATTTTCAAAAAGTTGGGCTTAAAAATAAGTTCGTAGTAAAACAAATAACATCAAAATCGGTGTGTACCTTCTTATCTAATTTTAATTGGGATTATCTCAAAAGTCGGATTCCCGATATTCACTCAAAATAAAAAGAAAACAAACTCTAAAAGAAAAATTTACTTATTTTATTGCCAATATAAACAATTCTTTTCTTTCCTCCTTTCGAATATTCAACTTTTTGTTTTTTTAATAATTCAATTTTATATTCAATTAAATTAATTTCTGACCAATAATTTGATAAAAGTTTGTTTTCATAATTTTCCTTTATTGAGTTCAAATCTTTGAATTTTTTTATATTTTCTAAACTCTCATCTAATATAGAAGTTTTATAACAATTTTTATTTGATCTTTTAAAAGCAATATTTCGGAGCATCTTAAAATAGAATTAATATTTCTTCGAAATTATTAGAATTTTAATAAAATACCCGTTTTTCAAATTCAGGCAAAAGATTTTGAATAATCTGATTATTGGCAATCTCAATCACAATTCTATTTTTTAATTGAATAGATCGAGTATATTTCGAACCAGTACTTGTTGAGGTATCAAAAGTATTCTTATCAGAGTCAAAGTTAATTGGACACAAAAAATCCTTTATATTATGCTTGTGGCTAACATATTTATTTCTTTTCTCAATTTTTTTCAATACAAAACGATCTTTTTGTTCAACATTTTTTAAATAAATAAATTCTCTTTTTCCTTCCCAATCATCTTTGATTTTCACTCCTACAGGAACAATCCTTCCGGCACATTGAATATTTAATAAAATAATTAAATGTAAAAGAATAATTAATTTACTAATCATCTGAAACCTAAAAATTTTAAAATTGGACCTCAATGTAGAAACACGTACGTGTGGGTATATCTCAATTTAACTTTAGTTATTTGTTTGCTGTTTAGCAATAAGTCTATTGTTAGATTTAAGTTTAGCTACCTGCTCTCTGTTCCAAAATTATAAGGCCCCCACTAACCTACTATTTTTCAAGGTCGAAGGCAAGTCAGATGATAAACTTGTTAATATTATTACCTAGATAATCTCCCTGATCAGAAGTCTCTGATGAGAGTTAATCTCCCTGATGAAATTATGATTAAGTGAAAGAATGTTTAAACCGACAATTTTGTCTTTTTGTGGGATGTTTTGATTAGTTTTTAGCGTATTTTGATTATAAAACAAACATTTTAACGCATATAATTTAAATAATTTCAAAATTTAAATTAAGCTAGTCGTAATAGTGGAGTCGTAATACAATCGAGACAAAAAATAATATTGACTAATTATTATACTCGTGGCAATTTAATAAAAGTGCAATTAAAATGTATGTTTGTAAATTTTAAATAAAATATTTTAAATAAACATTTACTACTAGAAAAATTTAAAAAGTTTAAAATTATTTAAATTAATTTAAAAGGTAAATTCCTTCAAAATATTTTTTAGTTTATTTTCTCCTTCCTTAAACTAAAAAAATTTCTAATTTTCTTTATTTAATGAAAAATACAAAAAAAAACAATTAAAAATAATTGGAAAAATTAAATATAAAATTTAACATTTTCCCTTCTACTTAAATTCATATACATTTCTTTTCATTTAAAATCCTAATTTAATAACCGGGTGCTGTTCTAGGTTGTGGACAATGATCCTAAAAATTAATTTTTATTGAAGTTTCTATTAGAAATTTTAATCTTTGAACTTACGCATGAGCCTTTAGGTCCTTTATCTCCTGGTAGTCCAGGTGTTCCAGGCTGGCCAGGTGTTCCAGGGGTTCCTGGAGGTCCTTGATCACCCATTGGACCGGGCTGACCTTTAAATACAATTTTTACAAACTGAAATCTTCAATTGAAAACAAACCTGGCTGCCCATCATTTCCAGGTGTTCCAGGATAACCATCAGAGCCTGGTTGTCCACTTTGCCCTGGAGGTCCTGGTGGTCCCACTACTGGACGGCCTAGAATATGTTTAAATATAAAATATAAAGATATGAAGAGTAATTACCTTCGCTGAGAGTGCCAGGTGTTCCTGGTTGACCTGGTTCTCCAGGGCTTCCAGGCTAGAAGGTATAAAATATTGTTAACTAAATAATTGTTATACAAAACCTGTCCCGAAGGTCCAGGAGGACCAACTGGTCCTGGAGGTCCAGGATGCCCGTCAGGACCTGGCGATCCAGACTGTCCAGGTTGTCCTATAAAATTATAATTAAAATTAATATTCTGTAAAAAATTTTAAAAATAATTTTAAAATTTACCACTCGGTCCCGGTGGTCCAGGATAGCCTGGATGCCCATCTTGAGCACGTTCACATTCCTGACACGGCTCAAATGAATAGGCAGGTGGAGCTGGTGGTGGGGCTGTGAAATAAAATTTCAATTCATTAATTCTTTATCAAAACTAACCATCTTCTCCCTTCTCTCCGGGATATCCAGGCGTACCCTAAATTTAATTTTAAATATTATTTCGACAAATATATCTCACATCATCTCCCGGCGTTCCAGGCGGTCCAACAGGTCCAGGGGGACCTGGAGGTGAAACACCACAACCGCAACAACCTCCACCTCCTCCACTCGTAACTGCATTATCAACCCCTCCATAAGCATTCCCTACACGCCTTATTCTCGAAGCTGAAGCTCTAGCCTTTGAGTTGTTTGAAGAAAATCCGGCTTTACGGGATTGCCTAATTTTGCCTCCATCAATTACACTTAGAATCGAGATAATTCCTTGTGTTCTGCTAACTTCATGCATAATATTGCTTGATCGTCCTCTACAAAAATCTAGTTCATTTTGGCCTAGAGAAGCTTGACGTTGCACTGAAACCAAAAAAGATTTTCATTTTAAAACTTCTTTTTATTAAATTCTTGCCATTTTGATAGCAAAGAGGAATGGAAATAACTGATACAAGCATTGCAACTGTACTGAGACAAACACCGAAGAATGCTAATGCTCTAAGTGATTCACATTCTTTTCTAGCAGCTTCTTTATTTTCGTCCACCATTTTTAGGTGGAAGGGATATTTCTATAAATTTATTTGAATAAATTATAATTTTAAAATTTTGATGCAGTCTCGGTGTTGAGATTAAAATTTAAATTATCATAAATCTATTCTATGTATTTTAGAGATAGATAAATAGATTATGATCAGGGATGGGCCGCGTTACCCGAAACCTGGTCTTTTTTTACCTGAAAGCCGATCCGAAGAAAATTTAGAAACACGATCCGAAACCCAACTTTTTTCTCAGCCCGACCAATCCCTGATTATGGATATTTAAATAATATTTAGCATTAAACGATTGAAGAATAAAGTGGTAGTTTGAAAATTCCATCATGTTTCATAAAAAATAATTTTTTGTGTATTATATCTCTGAGATAAGCTATACAAAAATAATCCATCCTTATAAATTCATTAAATCGTGCTTAATAGAGTATATCGAGGTAATCTCCTTCTAAAGGCTTTGGAGCTTTTAAGGAAGAAAAAAACATGTTTTTTTACATTAAATTAAAAAGAAATTTAGCAAAAATAACTGATTATGAGCTTTAAATTACTCAAATTGTAAAGCTTATATTGAAGTGTTTTAGCGGTTGTTAAAAGAAAATGAGCTCATTTATGCATGATAAATTGGCCAACAACAACAACTATATAAAGTAACGACCAAACAACTGAAGCCACAAAATAAAAAACAAAAAACAAAAAATGACCCCGGCCTTTTTTAGAAATAAATGAAGCAAAAAAACAAGAGGAAAAACAAGTTTTTTGTTTTTCAGTTCCCTTTCTTGGTTCAAGCTAATAAGTAAACCGCACAGTGTGTGATCAGCTGCGCTTTTCCTCCTTTTCCTCCCCCAAAAAATTTTTATTTCGGCCATTTCTCTTTTATTTTATTTGGTTATTTTAGGAAGATGAAGGGAAGGAAAGGAGAAACAAATGTATGTATTCGCCCTTTGATTCATTTAACTCGTTAATGAATAAAGAAGAGAGGGAGAGAGATTACGGAGGAATGACGGTTCCACAATCAAATTATTTTTTTTAATTTTTTTCTCCATTAATTTATCCATTATTTTTGTTTTTTTCAAGGACGATTAAACAATTTTTTTAATTAAAAAAATATTTTTGGGTAAAAAGACCTAATTATTTTAGTTTTTTTGGATGTTTGATGGTGTAATAATAAAGATTTATAGAACAAAAGTTTATATTGTTTAATAATTACTTGATTGTGAGAGGGGAAAAGTGAATCTTCTGAAAATTAAAAATTATATTGTTTTGCAGAGAATTATTATTTTAGCAAAATTAATTTTAAATAAAAAATTTATTTTTTAATTAAAAATAGGTAATAATTACATATTAAGATTTACAAAAATACGACGGATAAAAGCGAAAATAATATAAATGAAACTTTTAAAAAATCTAATCCTTGGTAGGATTTAATTATTAGAGGTTGAATGCTGAAATTTTTTTGCTATTTTAGATTTTTAGAAAAATGAAAATTCAAAATATTGCTGAAATTTGTGAAGAGTTTCCTAGAAAATGCCAACAAATTGAAGAGAATAATGGACATAAAAAATTAAGAATTAATTATTCCTGAAGACTCCAAACCAAGGATAGAAACTTGTTTTTGAACGTTGTATTTTCTAATTTTTAAATATTGAAAATTTGATGGATTATCGGTTCAGTACTACCTAGTCCGAAATGACGAATTAGGGATTTTTCTGTTATATACAGAATGTCCGAAAATTTTCCAAACCCCTACAACTCTAATTAAAAAATAAATTTTTTTCCTTTATATTTTAATAAATAAAATATTTTTTTTAATTTATTTAATTCAAAATAACTTTAATAAAATTTCCTTTTCTTTCTTTTAAGCCAATATATCCATCCATTAATCAACTATCCATTTTCTATGTTTCTTGTTGTTTCCCATTTTTTTAAAATTTCCCACGTCTTTTATTTAAATGTCCAATTTTTTGTGTCTTTTTAGCCCTTTTGGTATTTATTTGTTTTTAATTTTTAAACAAAAAAAAACATTTTTTTAATTTATCAGCCTTCATTGGGCAAGTTTTTCAGCCTTTCTAGGAGAAGTTTTTTATGTTAAGCTTATAAATTATTTTTATTGTGTTACGACAATGCGGATATAAAACTTTAAAATTATTGAAGTGAGAGTTGCTTTACACTGTTGACTAGAGACCGGACTGGGACTGTGAGTGGACTCGGACTGGGGCCGGACTCGAACTGGGAGTCGATATCGAGATCTCGAAAAATTCTCGATCTCGATAACCGAGCTCTTCGATCGAGATCTCGTCTCGGTCCGGTCTCTACTGTTGATTGTTTGATTTCCGAATCCTGACGGTTTCTGAATGATTTTTCGATAGACACGACGCTCTAAACTTAAATAAAACTTCCATTTTTTTAAATTTATTATAATATTCTCAATTATCGTATCTTCAACTTTAATAATAAAATTAATTATTAATTAACACTAAACTGAAATTTATTTTTATTTTTTTTCACAAAAAAAACAATTATTTGCATGCCAACAATCCATCACAAGAGACTCTCTAAAATTTCTTTTTTTTCTTTTCAAAATTCCCTCAATTAGTCAATTCCCCCAAAACAAAAAATGGCTTAAATTGCCTTTAAAATATTTTTTAAAAATATTTTTTAGTAAAATAATTTATCAAAAACTAAAAATCTAATATCTTTTTTATAAAAATATTTAGTCTACATTTTTACTTTTATTAAATTTATTTTTTATTCCTGTTAAGTATACTAAAAATTATTTGAAAATTTTAATTATTAGACCTCACACATATTTGCCTTAAAATCTTTTCCTCCGCAAGTTTTCTAATGCAGTCGGATATACTATAATATACCTGATTCCATTAATGTATATCAGAGGTGAATCGGAATTCCGATTTCCGAGCTCCGGCACCTTCGTCATTTCCGATTCACCTCTGATGTATACCAAATTCAGTTTAGTGTACGTATTTTTGGTTTAAGGGAGATATAACTAACGATACCCTATATTTTGATTTACAACACATTTTAATCTACCTACCTATTTTTTAATCCCTAGGGTGTATACGTTAACGTTCAGATTTTAAAAAATTTAAAAATAAAAGAGAGAGAGGATTTAAAAGTTTATGATAATTCTTTAGTTGATAGAACATATGGGTAGAGGACAACTTTGTTTCGAAGAACTTCGACTCCATTCTCCTTTCTTTAAACACTTCTTAACTTTCTTAGAAATAATGGACAGAATTGTATTTCAACAAATATTAGAAAAAAAGATTAAAAAATAATTTAGTTAATTAACAATAATAGAAATTTAAAAGAATAAAGAATACATAAATTTGTAAGAAAAAATTGTAGAAAATAATTTAAAAAAAGAATACAAAAGTCCATTAATTTAACCTAAAAAAGGAAAAAAATCTTTTCTTAAAAATCTACATAAAATCTCTATTTTTATATCCTCCCTTTTATTTTATAATTTACATCATTTATTCCCGGTTCATTCATTCAAAAAAATTCATTCATCTTCCTTACAAAAAAATTTTATTCGTTCCTTGGTTTTTGTCTTTAATATTTTAAAAAAAGCCTAAGTTGCCAAGTATTCACTTTTTTTACTCTCTTGGGGAAGCATGAAAAATTGGAAGAAAATATTTCAAACAAAGGAGAACATTTTAGGAAAAAGTAACAAATATTGCCACCTTTCTTTTTTAAATAAACAAAAAAATTGTTTGGACGCAGCGTCTTCTGACGGGGTTTATTTATGAGTATTTGAGACGAAGACAAGAGCTTCAACAAGAATCTCTTTTGTCAGGATTGATATTTTTTGAAATATCCGTATGATTCTGGTGCAAGATTTTTTAGTTTCTCGAGTTTTTCAGTAATCGAGATTTTCTAACGATATCATCTCAATTCTCGTTCCTTCCCACCTGGAAATAACATTAAAATTTGAAATTTTTTATAAATATTTTCAATATCATTAACTATCTTTTTTATAAATTTCAAAATTTTTGGTTTTTATTTCAAAATTTGTGTCAAAGATGTGATAAAAATTAACAAAAACCCTCATACGAAATTTGATAATTTGCCATAAATTCCTTAATTCTCAACTAAAAATTTTGTAATTTTTATATAACCTATCTAACATAATTTAGAATATTTTTATAAAATTTTGTGGACTGGGGAGCTTTAATTAACTTTTAATTTTACCAGACTACGCCTTAACAGTCTACGCCAAAAAGTCAGCTTCTTTGTAATAGGAGAACAATGAAAGGAGTAAAATATCCATTTGTTTTTAAAATATTTTGGCACTTTTCTTTTCGAAAGCTCCTAAAATATTTTTGTTATTTTTAACGTGTGAATTGTTTCTATTTTTGTAGATAGAAATTTATAAATGTTTTTTAAATTAATAAATTTAATAAAATCCCCTCAACTAACAACAAAAACTTTCTTTTATTTACGATATTTTCTTCGTATTTTCTTTTTGCTCAACTTGAACATTTATTTAATACCGACAGTAAGTTAGTCAGAAAAAAAAATTTTTTTTAGTTGTTATCGTAATTGCCAAATTATTCTCCTTTTAATACATAAAAACTACCTAACCCCTTTAAAGCCCCTCAGCCTTTATCTCCAATAGAGTCGGAGGAGAAGAGCCTTCTTCAGCCATTTTGTGACTTTTATAGAGCAGCAAGGCTTTTTATTGTAGCATACCTCTGCCTAAGTTTAGGACTTGATTTTGGATAGAATGGTTAAATTTAGATTAGGGACTTCAGGAAACAAAATATTCTAGATACATATTCCAAAAAAGCTTCAACTTTTATTTGGAATAATCAATCTTGATTATTCCTCTTGTTATATCCATAAATGTACGAAAACATTAGCAATAAAATTAACCCCTAAAATAAATTTTTATAAATAAATCTTTCAAAAAATTAAATCTTCTTCTAGTTATCCCAAGTTTTATCTACACCTTCTTCACCAATTCCCTCAACACACCCACCACTACCACCAACAACAACACCAACTATACCAAAACAAAGAGAATTACTTGAATATTTATTTAAATTTTATAGAAAAGAATTACGTCCAGTAATTAATGAAAGTACAGTTACTGAAGTTGCTGTTCAATTATATTTTAAACAAATACAAAAAGTTAGGGAAAATGATCAAATAATTACTGTTTATTGTTGGTTGGAAGAGGTGTTTTGTTATTTTATTTAAGTTAACAATTTGTGATCGAACTGAACGAGATCTAAAATAAACATCACTGTTGTTGAGATAAAGATTTTTCAAAATACCTATTAAAATCTGATTCCTATACGATCCTTAATAGAGATCGGAATTTTGAAAAAACCGGGAACCGAGAAACGGGTTCTGAAAGTTGACCGGGAGGGAGGACCCTGAATGGGAAAACCGGGAATTCCCGTTCCCGGTTTCATCCCGGTTGTTTCAAAAAACCGGGAAAGGTACCCGAAAACCGGGAAATCCGGACCCCTACCTAATTTAAGAAATTTTCCCTCTAAAAATAATTCGGTAATTCTTCGGTTTGTATACCCTCATCTTTGTGCCCCCCTATTTTCCTTACCATTTTTTCATTTTTCCTCCACTTTCTCCCTTATTTTTCACGGGGCAAGTATTAAAAAGGGCAGGTATTAAAAAATTACTGCTCAAAATGTCGTATATAGGGTAATAAAAGGTGCCGAGTCGAACGGTACCACTCCCAATTTTAGCAAATGATTCTGGACTAGAGTTGTACCCCGACCCCGAACCCCGACCCCGTTCCCGAACGATTTTTTCATGATTCTCCCCGACCCGAACCCCGCCCCGAAAAAAAGTGAAAACCCCGTTCCCCGGCCCAAAAAATTTCGGGGTTACGGGGTTTTATACCCCTAAAAAATGTCATTTTTTGGAGAAATTAATGAAGAAAACTTAAAAAATTTCCACCCATTTTACTTTGCTTTTATTATTTTTGAAAGAAAAATGAATGAAATATCATAATTTTCTTTCCTTTTTATTAAGAGACTGGTGGTTGAGTGGCTTAGTCGTTGGTTTTAGCAGATATTTCATTAATATAGGGTTGGGTTCGGATCCATATAAGGAGGACTCGTTGTTTTTATATTTTTTTACAAAAACAAATTATTAAAGAGTTAAATTTTAATTTGAAAATATTAATTTTATTTTTAACTGATATCCCTCGAACCACCCTTAATCCTTCAAACCCACTGTATCACCAGTTCTCAACCATAACAGTTGGAAAACTATCGAGGTCCTGTTAAGGGAATCAGAGATATAAAGGGATTTGTAGGATATCGAAGAATTGAGGAGTTATAAAGGGATTTAAAGGGATATAAGGTTTAGATTAAAATGGATTTGAAAGGATTACGTGAATTTAACGGAATTAACAAGGATTTCTTGGGAGATTTAAGGATTAACCGAAGATATCTCCTGATATCCGTCCAAATACCCTTATCCGCAATACATCAATATTCTTATAAATCACTAATATCCCTTGAACCAACAAAAATCACTCCAGATCACCTTGTATCCCTAGATATACCATTTAATCCCTAAAAATCCCACTTAATCCCTCCAGATCCACTTATATCCCAAGTTATACGCTTTAATCCCTTCAAATCCCCTCTAATTTCTTCAAAACCTACTTAATTTTTGAATAGATCAACGAAAATATATCGATTTCTAAATATTTTTGAGCATTTTTTCTCTAAAAATTTTTCCACTAAACCCCCGTACCCCGACCCGAACCCCGGCCATATTTTGCTCCCCCGACCCGAACCCCGCCCCGAAACAATTGGAAAACCCCGTACCCCGACATACCCGCCCCCGAACGTTCGGGGTACAACCCTATTCTGGACCGAGTTATAGGTCCCCGAAAATCGAAAAACCATAGGGGGAGTAAGCTCGATTTTGGAGTGAAAAATCCAATTTAGCGAATGATAGCTCATTCGAAAGAGTCGTCGAACTGAGTCGAATGACACCAAAATCAACCCTCGTAATCCTTTTTAATACTTGCCTCATGAAAAATAAGGGAGAAAGGGGAGGAAAATGAAAAAAATGGTAAAGGAAAAAAGGGGGGCACAAAGAGGAGGGTATACAAACCGAAGAATTACCAATAATTCTTAAATAAAAATTTAAAGTATTGGACCGATGAATTTCTTCGTTGGGATCCTTCAACCTTTGGAGGAATTAAACAATTACATATTCCTGCAGAAATGATTTGGCGTCCAGATTTACTTGTTTACAATAAGTTAAATAAATATTTTTTAAATTATTTTAAAAATAATTAAAGTGCAAATATGAATGTACACGAAAGCGAAATGATGACAAATGCTTTAGTTCAACACGATGGGCGTGTTTCTCTCTTTCGCGCTGTGGTAGAAAAATTTTCAGAAATTTTTTTGAAATTTTTGAAAAAATATTTTTTAGATAACTGGAATAAGTTGTCATCTAAATTTGGTTATTTAATTTAAAAATTTGGGGAAAAATCATTTTATTTTAAAGCATAGATTCCCTTTTGATCAACAAATTTGTTATTTAATGTTAGCTTCTTGGAGTTATGATGGATCACAAGTAAGGGAATATTTTTTAAGGAAATATATGATTAAAGGCAGATACTATGTTAAGTACCTTACTCCTATGTTTAATTTTCCCTTCAACCTTCCTTCAACTTCAAACTTTTCCCCTTCATGAATTGTCGCTTATCAAGATCATATTTACAGGACCTAAATCCAGTAATCTGAGTCTTCCAATATCACATCTTCCAATAAAATAAATATAATAATAAAAATAAGGTAATGGTCCGTCCTGCTGGTGATGACCAAACAAATCAATCTGCTGGATTAAATAGAAATAGTCAAATGAATTTATCTTCCCATCATCACCAATCTTCCTCCTCCTTCTCCTCCTCCTCAAATTCTGGACAAAATAATTATTTTATGAAATCAGCATCCTTAACACATTATATTCCAAATATGGAATGGAGTTGGGTTTTAATAATTATTTTTTAAATAAAATTAATTTTAAAGGTTTAATTGACTTTAAAACACGCTCAAATTTAAAGTAGGTTTATTTAATTTTATGTAAATATTTGTAAGATTAGAAAAGATTAAGAGTCAATTTTCATTGTGAAATTTTGAACCAAAAATTCTCTAACTTTTAGACTTTTTTTAAATTTTCTTCATAAAATTTCATGTCACTTGATTCCCTTTTTTCCTCTTAAATAAAAATTTTTTTCTCAATTAGAATGTATGATTGTTGTCCAAATCCTTACCCAGATATTTGCTACTATTTTTCAATTAAACGAAATCCTTCCTACTATTTATTTACCTTAATAATGCCTTCAGCTTTAATTACAACAATTACCGTTGTTGGATTTTTTACAACACATTCTAGTACTGGAGAAAATACTGAAAAGGTGTGGAAATAAATTTTTTTGATTAATTCAGACAAATAATTAAGAAAAAAATAAATTCTTTTAAATAATTGAAACGCTTAATTACAGTTCAACCACCGTCCCTGGGACGGTGGGAGGTTTTAACCATGTACCCCCGATCCCCGTCCCCGATTCTAAAACGTTTAGCTGTTCAATAAAGCATTTAATTAAGTCCCTACCTATCTTAGAAGCTAGTTAATCAAGAAAACATTTTTATATATTTTAAAGGTTAGCCTTGGAGTAACATCACTGCTTTCACTTGCTTTAATCCGTAAATTTACATTCCTTCTTTTATTTCCTAATAATTATAATTAAAGTTATGATGGTTTCAGACAAATTACCAGCAACTTCAGATACTGTCCCTGTACTTGGTCAGTATTATATTGGTCGGTTAATTAATTAAAATATTTTTAAAAATTTTTATTTTTATAGGGCTAATATGTATTCAATTTACTGCTACATACATTACTACATGGACACTTGTAAAAAAAAATATTTTAAAAATAGGGGAAAAATTAATTTCTTTTTTAGCATTTACAAACAAATGGAAATTCGGGGAGAGCTTTACCTAGACGTTTACGTCATTGGCTGTTGGGGGCAAACCCTCGAAATAATAATTTATTTATGAAGCATTTACTTGGAAGAGAATTGGCAACTATGCAACAAAGTGTTAGGCATCGGATTAAACGATTTGTAAATGATTTTTTGTTTATTATTAAAGATTAAGCACTAAAGATTACATGGGCACTTGTAAAAGAACCATTAATAACTGAAGAATTTTACTGAAAATTTCACAAAATCGAGCCTAATATAACAGAGAATTCCCGTCTTTAATTAATAATTATTCATGAAAACTAAACTTTCTAGTGTTTCACTGGAACCGAAATTTTGACCTTTCCGGAATCGGAACCAGAACTTCCGGTGAAACTCTAAAAATTACTTCATTCACTAAATATCAATCCCCCTGGCATTAAAAAAAATCAGAAATAATTCTTAATTTTCTTCAGGAAAGAGTACGTATGGGCCTCCCACCTTATCTCGATGATAGTCGATTCCCCTTTATCGCCTCACTTGGCCAAAGGAATGGCTCAGTCCAACAAGAAGTGAATTCTCAATTATTATCACCCGAATCAAAATATACTTCTCATGTGAGTCTTTAGCAAGAAATTTAAAAAACTATATATTTTTTGTAGAGGCATTGCTCTATTTTTACCGATTCTAATAGCAATCAGAAAACAACAGAGAATGGAACAACAAAACAAACAACAGAAAGAAATTCTTTTAATGATTCAATGTCAAATTCAATTAGTTAGAAGGCTTTTTAAATTAAACAAAAAATTGGCCATACATATTTTAGAGCCAGAGGAAATCGCTAAATTTTTGTTACCGAAATTCTATTTCGCCCATTCCCCGCAGCAGGCGTTTTTCTCGATAAAAATAAATAAAAAGGGATAAAAAACGGAGAATTAAAAGGGCAGGCAATCGGGGTTCTTTACCTCTGGATTAAAAATTCCTTCGAATTAAGTCCAAATTTTAAGATTAATTAAATACCTAATGTCATTTTTTCTTATGAGATAATTCTCATTAATACAAATTCCCCCTAATCTACTATATCGGAGAATCTACACCAAATATTTTCCAAATATTAACAAGAAAATTTAAAAAATAGTCCAAATTATTTATCTTAATTAAATTTAAGAAGAAGTATCTCAAACAGTTCAAGAAATAAGGCTTTCATTGTTAACAGAAGAACAATTGAGACAAATCCGTGTTGAATGGCAAATGCTTGCAAGAATGATTGAGAAAGTTTTGAAATTAGTTTTTAGTGTATTTACAATTGTTTTTGCTGTTTATATGTTATATGATGAACAAGCACCTCCATTAATAACAGAAGAATGGATAAAAGAAAATTCACATTAATATATCAATTTTTATTAGAAAAATAATTATAAATTTTATAATTTTAAAAATTTAATTTAAAAAAAAATTTGTTAGTAAATGTTGGTGTATAATTTTAATAACCTGAGAAATGACACTTCGAGAAAGCTGTATGAAAATTATGTAGAGATGAGTTTTACAAATTAGAGCCTTAGATTTATGTCTATAGAATTGACAGCGGCGAAGCCACATCTTCCTTTTTAAATTAAGGGATTAATTTATTAGCGGAGAGAAGGAAATATGTACATAGTTCGACTCCTTTTAATGGAAAAGATAATTTTATAAATTAGGGTTAATTTTCTATATTTGTAGCTTAGTATTGACGAAACAGGAAACGAAACAAAAATTATCAAAAACGGCAAAAATAACGAAAGTCGAGAAAAACATTTTGTCTATCCTTGGTGGAGGTATTGAATATTAAATTTAGTATAAAAGGATAACAAATTTTAATCACGGATATACTATATTTCCCAACTCGAGCAGATACAATCTACAGTTGACTACAACATTTCTTCACAAATCCATGGATAATTCTACGTACTTCGGCGCGAGCCAGGCACCTGGTGGAAGCCCGTCAACCTACATGGGCTCAACTGGAGGCGGTTCCCAAAGAGAAGGTAGATTAATCGGATATAAATTTCGAATAAATGTTCCTATTTATTTTAAGTTTCCGATGGAAGGACTGTCATGGGAGGTGCAGCTGCAACAGGAACGCCTACTGAAAGCCCCACAAGAATGACAACTATTAGATGTTTTCCGGTGCGACCTGTTGATGAAGGCTCCAGACCATATGATAGCTGTGCAATAAGGCCGAGAGCCCCCGGTGAAGGCTGTATATTAGGACGACAGGGAGACACTGGTGGAGGCTGTGTGATAAGGCAACAGGGAGAAGTTGTTGGGAGAGAATGTGTAATAACACATCAAAGAGGTACTGGCGGAAGAGAATGTGTAATAACACATCAACGAGGCACTGGAGGAGGCTCATGGACACCAGCTTGGACACCAGGTCAACTCATTTCCTTTTCATTTTTTCAATTCCCTTTATTTAGAAGTTGTAGTACCTCGTCCTTGGGAAATTGAAGATCGCCCGAACGGCAGTGGAGGTGAGAAAGATTTTTAAAAATAAATATCTTTTAATCTTATTTCTATTCAAATTTTAAAGGCTTGATCAATATGGACGGTACTCGCCCTCTTTCTGTCTACATGAGTACCCGCCCTGGTTCGGTCTACATGGGTAGACCGAACACTGCTCCTAGTGGATATCCTGGCGCTCGTCCTTCCGGTTTCCAAACCAGCTACCTAGTATAGGCAATAATAAAGGCACTTCTTGCTATAAGTGAACTGCATAAAGGAAGGGATGAAGAAAAGTAGATAAAAACTATACATATGTATCTAATTTCCCCAATCATTATTGTTCTGTCTGTATTTTTTATGTTAGCTAATAAAATTATCCTTAAATTCCTGTACTGACAAAATTTGTTTTCTCGCGAAACACTTAATTTACAGATCACGATTTTTTCAACAAACTTATTTACTTCCCCCCCCTCGTCAATTTTTTTTTGTTAAGGACGTACAAAATGGTCAGTCTGTCAAAAAATGTAGGAAAGAAATCAACAAAACACGAGTTGATTTGACTGAGATCTATACAAAATCTGAATGGAAAAGATATTTTCATTGGAAGGGGTTTTTAAAATAAAGTAGAAATAATAGTACAAAAATATGTAAATATATAATTCTTTTATAAATGCCAGAAAAAATAATTATAAAAATTCTCGAAAAATTTTTGTTTAAAATAATAAAAAAATCAAACTTCTGACATATCAACAGTTTTTGTATTTTCAAGTAATGGAAGAGGATGTTCTGTAGGTGTTTCTTCAATAGACTGAATTTGACCATTTTTTAAAAGACCCATTGCGTGAAGTTGGGGCGCCCAAATGAGATCTTCAGAATCAGAAGTTAAATAACGCTTTTCAAGGCCCAAACGTTTCTCAAGGCAAAACAAATCATAATAGGTCTAAAAAAATTATTATTTTTTGAAATTTAAATATTTTTTAACTAAGGATACTAGAGACGTCCGAGACCGAAAATTTTCCAAGACTCAAGACTAAACCCCAAGACCAAAAAAAACCAAGAAAAGTCTTGGAGTCAAGACTCAAGACCAAGAGTTTCGGACGTCTCTAAAGGAAACCAATAAAATAGAGAGTATTAATAACAAAACCCCCAACACAAACGAAGAATAAAAAAAGCATATTTCTTCTTTCCCTTGTGAAGAAATGTTCCCTATTTTTAAACCTTATACCTCTTTATTCTATTAAAGTTTGGGAGATATCAACTATTTTTCAAACATTTTTGAATTACTTTTTTCTAGAACCTTGGGAGTGCCTGAAAAATCTGAAGTAATTCAAGAACCCTCCCCCTCCCTTTATTCCAACTTTCGTATTCCAATTTTTTTTCTCATACCTCAGAATTCAAAAAACCCCTACCCCTTTATCCCAACATTTAATATTTTTCAAAAAAAAATACTTGTGGGTCACGAAGCCATTGATGAGCAATGCATTCGTCAATATTAAGGCGTTCTTCAATCTTTAAAAATTAAAAATAAGTTTTATTTCAAAATTTAAAAATAACCTGAACTTTAAGTAATTGCTGAATTAAATCAATTGCCTCGCGGCCAATTTCTCTCCAAGGATTTGAAGGAAACATAAATTCTGCATTCTGTATCTGGTCAGTAATTTCCTCATTTTCATTGAAAGGAAAAGTACCAGAAAGGGTTACATAAACAATAACACCGACAGACCACATATCCAACGATTTATTGTAACCTAAAAATAGGGAGAAAATATGTTTTTTATTTAAAATCAAAATAATTCGCTTGATAATTAAAAGAATATTGGCCATAAATGGTTTTTGGTTTTTTTCTCATTGTTTAGAAACCTTATTTTAATTGCCCAAAAGAGATTAAAATTAAAAGCAATTGCCAATTTCTCTCCAAGGATTTGAATAAGGGTAAAAATTCTCTCTGAAGACGGTATAAGGGTAAATAATTAATAAGGGTAAATGTATGTTCAACTAGATTAGTTAAGTTATGTTAGGAATAAGGGAGATGGAGAAATTAAAAGAGCTCCGGGATCTACTAACAATAAATATAATTTTCTCAATTTACTTTTTGGATCATTTTCAACGAAATTTCTCTTTGACTTTTTGTCAATTATTTCTTCATTAAAAAATTTAATCAAAAACTTTTTAAAAAATAACCTTTCTTTTTAAGTACTTCAGGTGCCAAATATGCAGGTGTTCCAACAATTGTCTTTCTAAATTGAGTTTCTCCAATAAAACGAGCATAGCCAAAATCGCAAAGTTTTGTTTGTGGAAAATTTGATTTGAAGTCAGAAAGCAGAACATTTTCTAAAAAATAAAAAAAATAAGAAAACTAACCAGGAAAAATTTTTATATATAGGTGGAAATAATAAAATTTTGTTAGGAGACTAATTTTGACATTTAAGTATTTCAGATAGCCAAAAGCCAGAATTACTCTTTTTTAGCCGAACATTTTTCTTTTTCTCATTGAGAGGGAAGGGGGTTGTAATCTATTACGCCTGCCTCTAAATATGAATGAGAGAGACTTATAGACGGTGTGAGATCAAAAAGATGGGGAAAGTTGCAAATAAGATGAGAAAAATTGCTATTTTTAATGTTAAAAATATTTTTCAAAATTTTCTTTTTAATGTTTGATGTTTCCTAATAATTTTGTCCGAACAGTCAAAAACAAATTAAAATTAAAACAAATTATTTTACCCGGCTTCAAATCGCAATGTGCAATTCCTCTAGAGTGAAGATAACGAAGGGCTCTAAAAAACAACTCAATATACAATTTCTAGAAAGAATTTAAACCTCAAAATCTGCATAATCAAAAATTTAGCTGAACGTTCATTAAGACGACCAGACGCCTAAAAATTAAAAAATTCAGAAAAAATATTTAAAAATTAAAATTAACCTGACTTAAAATTAATTCCAACATATCTCCATTCATTTTCTCCATAACAACAAATATTTTATCTTTTGTCTCAAACATACTTTCCAATTTAATAATTCCTTGAAAATCAACAGCTTGTAAAATAGCAACTTCACTTTTGAGTGTTTCCACAGCTGAGGATTTTTTTGAGAAACGGTCTTTGGCTATCATCTGCGAATATTTTATGAGGATTTTAATTTTAGAAAAAACATTCAAAAATTTTAATAAAGTGGATTTTGGAATTTCTGGGCAGATAGCAAGAAAATATTTTTCTGGGGTCGGTTTGAAAATTAGGAGGTAATGTAAATACTCTGATTTCTAAAAACCCTTGGAAGGTCTTAATGTCGACTAAAAAACTTGAAAGGATCTAATACCCCAACTATTACAACCAAAAAATTTTATTTCAAAAATTTCCTGATCTCAAGACTGGAATAAAGAATTAAATTTTGAAAGATTTTACAAAAATAAAAATTTAATTTACCTTCACAGCAACTTCCCGTCTCGAATGTCTATGTACAGCACTAAAAACAGTTCCAAATTGACCAGAACCAAGAATCTTTTCTCGTTGAAGCTGTAAAAATTGGAATAGAATTCAGAGCGAATGAAAGATACCTGATACAACTGAGAAAATTGAAGTGCCGGTTCGGGAGCTGCTGTCTCATTTCGAAGAACAGGAGGTTGTAAGGACTGTTGAAGAGCCTAGAAAAATTTTAAATTGGATTTAAATTGAATAAAATAATCAAAAGAGCAGAGGAAATACTTTAACAAAAAGGCAATCCCGGAGAATTGGGGTCCCTGCGAAAAAAAAGTTTAAAAATAAGAAAAATGATTTTTTTAGGGTAAAAAAATATGCTGATTACGAATCCGAGCTCAAATTTTGAAAAAGTCGAAACCCGAACCCGAACCATTTTTCGAACCCTGAACCCGAATTTCGAACATGCAAATGATAGCTCGTTCGAAAGAGCTCGTCGAGCTGCATCGAATGATGCCAAAATCAACGCGATCGGACCTGTTTCGACAAAGTTATGACATAAAGTAAACCTCTGGGAGTACTGTAAGAGTCGGCGACTTATGTCATAACTTTGTCTAAACTTGATCAATCACTAGAATTCTGGTGTCATTCGACTCAGCTCGACGAGCTCTTTCGAATGAGCTATCATTTGTAAAAACTTTTTTTACTCCAAAAAATCACCCCTGTGGTTTTTCAATATTTAGGGGTTTGTATCTCGGTTCAATCCTGACGGATTCCATGATTTTGGTGTCATTCGACTCAGCTCGATGAGTTCTAGTTTCTTTTGAAAGACTGGCCATTTTGTACAAGGTTCGACAATGTTCGGGGTCAAAAATCCTGTTCGGGGGCAAAAGTCCGAATTCGGGATTCGACTTTTTCAAAATCTGAGCTCGGATTCGTAATCAGCATATTTTTTTACCCTAGAAAAATCCTTTTTCTTATTTTTAAGATTTTTTCCCGCAGGGACCCCAATTCTCCGGGATTGCCAACAAAAATACCAAACCTTTCCCTCATCCCTTTTCTTAGAAAATCGAAGATTTTTTGCAGGGCAGTCCATCAATTCGACGCTTCTTAATTCAGACTTCCCTCTAGACCGTTTAGGTGTGTTAACATTCTTTTTATTTATTCCAGTTGTCGATTGAGAAGTTGCCGATCTCTTCATTGGTGTTACAGGCATTTTTGGTTCCCTTGTTCTAGATCTTGTAGATGGACGGCCTCTCTTCCTTCGAAGTACAGGAGTCTCCGTTATTGACTTTGTTGCAGTTGGGTGCTTCTCAAAAGACTTTTCATAATAATTTCCAGTAAATGGCGGAGTGTGTCGATGATTACCACAAGTCTAATTTAAAATTACTCACAAAAATCGATTAAAAAATGCCTGTTCAATAATTAAATTGTCAATATCACCGCTAGTTCGAAGAGTGAATTTGCAAGAAGTATAATGCGCTGCTCCTTTGTATTTATTACAAATCCAAACAGTTATGCCTTTTTTTGTTGTGTAACCTTTCCAAAAGATGTAACCCTCATAAATAAGCATGGGGTTTCCGTAAAATGTTTTAACAATTTGAAGCATGATAATTTTCAAATAAATTGCTAAAAGAATTTTAAAAATGAAACAAACAAAAAATATGGAAAATGAGAAAAATGATTGTATTGTTAGGGTAATGGTCTGTTAATAAGGAATGTCTGAGTATTTTTCCGTTATCCTACCCCCTTTTTGCAGAGTTTTTGCGGACTGCCGTATGTAAAACATGGTCAGACAAAAGACTGTCTCATAGTGTACATGCCACAGAAAAATTGAGTAAAATTAAGGAAAGGTCTGACCATTCTGTGCAAAAAGGGGGTAGGAATAACGGAAAAGTACCAATGTCTAAGTATTCAGTCAATCAATAATAGAAGGATAACAAGAAAAAACAATACAAAATTGAATTCAATACATGAAGAAAATTTCCAAAAAAAATAAAAAAACTTAAAGAAAATAAAATGAACATTCCGCCAGTTTGGCGTTGTGTAAAATAATTTTGGCGAAAATAAAAAATTCAAATACAAACTAAATAACGGATTAATGAATGCTAGTTTTTCCCAAAGTTTTCCTCTGCTCTTCTCAATAAAAAATTAAAAATCAACCTGATACCATTGTTGCCAACTTAAAGCGCCACCAACAACACTTCCAGTAGCCAGTTTGTTGTTAACTTGTTGAGCTGTTGTTGGTCCTCCCTGTAAGAGAGCCTCCAAATTTTCCCCGACACAGTAAGTTAAGTTATTTGTTGTTCTAATCTCGAATGCGTGTGGAGGGGATCTTTAAATTTTAATTATTTTTTATAAAAGGATTTTTAAGTTTTTTTATGAATTGGACTTGAAAATATTTTTTAGATTAAAAAAAATTGAATAAAAACAATAATTCTTAAGAAAGGGTTTCCTAAAATTTTAATTTTATCAATATGTGAACATTTTTAGTAATCTATTACTGTTCCCTTTTTAATCATTTTGTTGTGAAATACTCACTTTGGATCAAGCGAAGGCCCCTCGTACGGCACCAAAGCTATTATCTCCGCCAAATTGATTTGTGTAAAAACACGATTTGGATTGACACCTGCAAAATATATGGGGGAATGTAGCTAGTTGGTGATTGAAAAAAAGAAGAGGAGAGAGAAAGAATGAAGAAAATTTTAAATAAAATTGGAGTGAAAAAAGAACGGATCAATTTAGTTGATTAATGTAAATATTTTTAGTAAATTTTTATAAATTCTTTACTATTTAGAATAAATAAATTGAGAAATGAAAAGAATGGGGGTTTGTGTTATATAATTGGATTTTCATATCTTAATAAAATATATTTTGCGAAGCTTCCCTTAATCAAGCAGTTAAAAAGTTCAAGATAAATAGAACCTTGAACAAAACACATGATCACTTGTATTCTGAGAACGGACCGGAAACGAGATTTTGAACAAGCTCTTGGTTTGAACAAGAGCTTGAACAACAACACTCGATCCTTCGACATTTCCGGCCCGGTCTCTACTAATAGACCAATTTCTGCGGAGCTTCTCTTAATCAAGCAATTATCAAGTCCAAAATTAATAGATAAATAGAATCTTGAACAAAATGTATGATCACTTGAATCTAGAGAACTTCGATACTAGATCACAAACGAACTAAAATGTCTGTTATCGAGATTTATCGAGATATCTCATACTAGTCCTGTCTATACTCGAGACCAAGAGGAAAACGTTCTGGAGAAAATACAGAAACATAGCAGGGAAGATGCTTCTATTTTTACCATACAAGAATCGGTTTGTAACATTCTAATACATAAAATTATGGAGAAAACCCTTTCAAACCAAATAAAATTAAAAATTATTCTAACCATCGTTATATTCACTAAAAAGGCTAATTATTCCATTTGAAAGAATCCAATAATGCCGAAGTCTACGCCTATCACGTTCTTGCAAAACAAAGTGAATAAGCCAGCCTTCACATACAATTTGGCCCATTGGACCTGCTGGACGTTGTGAACGACTTGAAGCTGATCCTTAAAATAAATACATTAATCTTTTAATCATTAAATAGTTGCTTTTAATATTATGTGAGATCAAATAATTCCTGAGGACTTTTTTAAAGAAAAATCTGAGCCTAAATCTGAGTCAACGACGAAGTCCGTCAAAAATCTCGAGAAAAGTCCGCAAGAATTTAATTAAATACCTGGCAACCGAGCTAATGGAATCATAGCATCAGTCGATGTGTCTATTAATTGTGACTGCTTATTTGAAGATATTTGTTGTTGTATATCAATATCATTGGATGCGTTTTGTTGTTCAAATGTCACGTTTGGTGTTATAGCATTTTCTGCAGTTATTTGGCAATTTGAGGGAAGTAAATGGGCACATTTTTTGTGTACATTTACCTAAAAATAATTAGAGGCTGTTAGAGACTGTTAACTGTCTAGTTCACAAAAGTTGATTAAGGACTTAAATGTTAGTGATTGAACAAGTCAATTAGAACGTGGATTAGTGAAAGGTTTAATAAAAAGGAGGGGGATGTTTGGCAACACCTTCCAAAACACACCTTACAATCCCGGCAACGCAACCCTTGTTTAACAATCCCAACAAGTAATTTATCACATATTTTACAAACTGTGGGCATTTTATAGTTATGAATAAGTAAAGAATGTGGTAATTGAAATTGTGGGTGTTGCGGCAAATTTTGTTGGTTTAATTGTTGTTGGTGGTGGTCATTATCTACATTTGTAAGAGATTTAAATTCTTTAATTTCTAAATTTCCAAGTCTCCTCTATGAAAATAAAATATTGGCGCCTCACTATAAACCCCTTGGGTGAAAGTCACACCTTATAATGATGTGTACCTTAAAAGGGAAGGGGGGGGGTATAGTTTAAACAGCTCCACCATTCAATGTTCAACCCCATATTTTAACAAATTTTTCTTAAACTAAGATGTATCCAGTATCTAATATTAGTTAAGTCCGGATATAGTTTAACTATTCCCACCGTGAGTCAAATATTGTTGGTCAACACCTCCAGCAAGAAACGTGCTAGGAATAATATCAGATTTAGCACAATTATTTCTTGGTGCAAAAGCGCATTTTTTATGAAAATTACACCTAAAAACAAAATTCACAAAAAAAATTTTTTCTCCAAAGCTTACTTGCAAGACTGGCATTGAAGTCCTTGTTTAACTAACCCCATAAGTATTTCCCCACAATAGTCACAAAAAGTAGGAGTAACATAAGTGTTTACTACTAAAGAATGGGGCTTGGTAGGTCGCTCATGTCTTTCAATTCGAATTATTTCTACAACACTTCCATTGTCCTAAAAAAGCATTTTTAGTAAAAAGAAAAAAATATAATATTTCAAAATTTAATTCTAATTTTATTATTTCTTTTTCAAATTTTACGCCCAAATTTTATTTAATATAAAGTCAGTAATTCTTAAAATACTCAAAAATTTATTCGTTTTATTTTGATTTTTTAATTAATTTTACTTTGAATTTTGTTAAAAACAATTTTTTAACTTAAAAATTATCGTCAGTTTTTTTCCCCTTGTGCTGCTAGCTTCTCACAAATTTTCCCCTAAAAATTTCCATTCAAGGGGGAATAACCCTAGTAAATCCTATTGATATATAGACCTTAACTAGTCCATGGTTTTTTTAAATTTATTTGGCCACTGTTAAGTGACCTAGAGGTTTCTGTTTTTTTTGAATTAAAATTATAAATTAACCAATTGTGTTAACGTTGCCAAACAAGTTAACATATTAAAACTTTTATAATCATGAAGGAAAAGTTGAATTTCTCCAACCATTATATTTGAAGTCCCTGTTGAATTAATAGATGCTTCTATTTGTAATTGTTTCTCGACCATTTGGCGAGCTTTTTGTCTTTAAAAATTATTTAAATAATTAATAATTCACTCAAGATTTAGTGAGATGTTCGCTATGAATAAAGAAGAGTCTAACATGGATTTTATTTACTTTGAATAGGTAATTTAATTAGGTAATTGTCCAGAATTAATTTTAAAAAATTATTTGTGAAAAGCGCCTTATCTACACCAACAATGTCAATTTTCCACTACAAATTTATTCTAAAAAGATAACTTGGAATTTGAGTAGTTAATCACAAATAGACCAAAAACTCTCAATAAATTTCCAACCTAAAAATTTCAAAAGCATTCGGATCAACCGTTCTTTCAACAACCACCATTTCTTTTAAAGGCCCATATTGAAGAATAATAGTAATAACTTGTAAAGGTTGTTGGGGTTGTTGGGGGAATGGTGGGGGAAGTAAAAAATCATTTGATGTTGGAGGCGGAATAATTAATTGTTGATTAAATAAATTATTATTATTGTTATTTTGTTGTTGTGGCCATATATCCCCTCCTCCTCCACCCCCAAAAAGTAATTCTCTAATTCCGTTATTTTCTGGTTGTTGTTGAATTTGTTGGGGAGGTTGGGGAGGGAAAAAATTGGGTAACATATTTTCTAACAATTTTTTATTTTCTCCTCCCAAAGCTTTTAAGCCTAAGAATGTCCACATTATTTTTTAATTAAATAAATATATTTTAATTTATTTTATGCAAAATGCGCAAGAAATTTTGATTTTGGAGGAGGAGAGAATTTTTAAAGAAAAAAAAAGATGAGCTTAGCGAAGAGAGAAGAAAATAAAAACAAGTTTAATTAATTATATTAATTAAAAATTGAGAATTGAGAATGATTTTTAATCTTTTTAATTAAAAATGGAAAAAAAAATTTGTAGTGAATTTTAAAAAATAATATTTAATTTTTTTAAATTTTAAGGCAAATTTTTAAATTATCTTAATAGTCGTTTATATTTGAATAAACATTTTAATTAAATAAAAAAATATTTAACCCCTTTTAAGTTAGAAATTTTTGTAAATTTGCATGTGTACCTACTCTAGCGGGAATTTAAAACAATAATTACTCTGGGTAATTATTTAAGTATATATGGTAAAATTGTGGCCACTCGTTATATAAATATTATTAGGTAATACTTCAGCTGACGCCCCCCACTCCTTCCATTTTTCCGTCTACAAATATTTTTCATTTTTTGGCAAATTATTTAGCAATCAAAAGATCTCTTAGAGCTGAGTCGATTGATACTAAAATCATCGAAATTTGGTTTAAATTAACATAGTTTTATGAAACTGAATCCTTTCCATCAAGGATTCAGCTTCATAATTAAGTTTCGAATGATCATACCTAAACGATCATGGTATCATTAGATCCAGCTCGAACAGCTCTTTCGAATAATACATAATAAATTATATATCAAGCAAAAAGACTCAAAATGGTCAGGGAAACAGGAAAAAAGTAGGGCGTCAGCCGAAGTTTTACCTATTATTACTTTGTAAAAATCTCAAATAACAGTGTTACAATGAATGTATTTTTATTAAATTTAAGAATTTAATTTAAAAGTGTGACAATTACTAAAACCTCGATCAAGATTTAAATACATATTTTTAATTAAATTTAAATTTTTAAACATTCTTTTAATTTATTAGGGATGTATTTGTGGGGGGAAATCATGAAAACAATGACAGCCAAAATCGGTAAAACTTAGAAAAGTTAAAAGATCGATTTTGTTTGTTGGAATGTTTGAAAGAGACTTTTACATAAATAAAAATGTATTTATTTTATTGAGCACATTTTTGGGTAGCGCAAATAAGAAGAAAGAAGAAAAGTGGTTGGTTAAAGGGATGAAAAAAGAAGAGGAGAAGAATTAACGGAAGAAAATAAAAAAAATGTATAATTAAAGTATTTCTTTAAACTATTTTAATTAATTAAAAAATTTGTTAAAATAATTTGAGTATTTTCTAAACTTAAATTCTAAAAATTAGCATACCGTATTTACTTAAATTACCTTTTCCTCTATTAATTACCCTTTCCCTGCGAGAGTCCTGCCTTCAATATTATTGACGGTAGAGCTAATAAAGCCGATAGATTTTAAATGCTCCGGGATCAGAACCACAAAAAACGCACAATTTTAAAATAATGAATCGAATAAACATTTCTAGATTGTTTCTGAATTTATTCTACAATTAAGAATAATTGCTGTATTCAGCCAAAGACTATTTTAACAATAATCCTTTTAAAAGCATTTTTAATTTAATCAAGTTTTAATTTTTTAAGTAAAATAGTTTAAGAAATTCTACTCTTTTTTGGGATATTTCTTAAAACATTTAAAATTAATTTACTAATCAATTTTAACAAAACAAAATTAATTTATTTATTTTCTATCTGTCACACATTCCTTTTGTTATTTAATAGTTTCTCGCCAAACAATAACAAACAAAACCTTTTTCACAACACGTAAACGCGCTCAATCAGCAGCCATTTATTTTCTAAAAAATATTTAAAATATTCTAATCAATTTTTTTGATTTTAAATTATTTTTAAGCACAAAAAAAATTTTTTATTTTTTATTTAAATCTGTCAGGAATATTTTTGTGTAAATAAATAACAAATATTTTTCCTCGTACAATTTTGTGTGACCATAAAAGAGAAAAAAGAAAAGCATTTTTTACCTGATTTTTTTTTATTTATTTTTTTTATTTACACATTATCGATAATTTTAACTTAAGAAAAACAATTTTTAGAATAATAATTTAAATTTTTAATTAAAAAAATGTCACAAAAATCCTATAAGAACAATTATTTTTTCCAAATATTTTTCCAAGATATAAAAATGACAACTCATTTTTTAATAAAATTGTTTGTACAATTATTTAATAAATTTTTATAAAATAATTTTTAATTATCGATTAATTATTAACTGTTTATTTAATTTTTCATAAGAATTTTAGATTATTTTATTTTTATTGTGTTAATTTTCATTTCTAGTTCCTTAATTAAATTTTCATTATTTCATTATAAGCGACAATATCCCTTTATGATAAGATTTCTCCATTTATTAGATTGCCCCATCATTATCTCGAAATCTCTCTAGGCTGAAAATAATTAAGTCGCCTATACCGATTTATACAGTGCGTCCGTAAATTATACGACCACTTGTATTTTTTGTCATATCTTATCTTTATCATCTTTATCATGATATTTTCGCTTCATTTCTTTTTACATTAATTATTTATGTATTAAGAAAAGTCGCTAATAACGAGAGTTCATAATTTTTATTTTTTAATTTTCAAATTACTTCTCAAATATAAAACTAAAAAAAATTTTTTTCAAAGAAAAGAAAAATGAGTACTTCAACAGGTTCAGAATTAGCAATAGGTTATGCTTCCCTTTTTGTATCGTGTGCTGCTTTTGGTTTTATGTTTGCCCCATTAAAAAGATTAGATTCAAAAGACGGCGTTTTTGTTCAATGGATTCAATGTTCTGTTGTTTTTATGTTTGGATTAATAATTAATGTTATTAGAGGATTACCCCAATTTAATTTAATTGCTTCTATTGGAGGATTCCTTTATGCTACTGGTTTTGAAAAAAAAATAAAAGAGAGGGAAAATATTTTAATTATTAATTAAAGGTAATGTTGCTTCAGTACCTATAGTTGCTGAAATGGGAATTGGTTTAGGAATGCTTATTTGGGGGTCTGTTCAGGTGGTTTTCTTTTTCAAAAAATCTTTCCCAAAAAATTTTGGTACTTTTCCGTTAATCGACCGCAAACTGAGTAACAGCCGAATTTTAACAGCTATAAATTTCTGATGCTTGATCCAATACAAATGAATTTTATATCATTCGAAAGCTCTCGATAAGCTCTATCTTTTACCCTAGTGTATGGATCAGGTCTGATCACTCATAAAAAAGTTACAAGTCGATAATAGTGAAAAACAACGATTTCTTGCACTTATCGACTTGTAACTTTTTTATGAGTGATCAGACCTGATCCATACAGTTGGGTAAAAGATAGAGGTTATCAGGGCTTTCGAATGATATAAAATTCATTTGTATTGTATCAAGCATCAAAAATTTATAACTGTTCAGATTCGGCTGTTACTCAGTTTGCGTCGATTAACGGAAAAGTACCAAAATTTTCAACAAAAATTTTTAGATAATAGTAGGTTGGTGTGTTGCTCATTTTGGCCTATTCGGGACAAAACCACAAAATGTTCAAAATCCATTATTAAATTATTTGGGCGTTTTAATTACTTTATTTAGGTAGACATGTAATTAAATTTTAAATTATTCCCCACTTTTTTTCAGTGGAATAATGTTTGTTTTTGTATATAGTCGAGAGGAAAGGGATAAAAAACTTAGCCCAATTGAAAAAGATTATGATAATAATCGAATTGCTTATAGAAGTGAAAGGTGGGAAAATTGGAAAAATTTTCAAAGAAAAAGTTCCTTTCAGAGCACCTTCCACCTATGGAACAGTCCACAATGTTTGGGCAGTAGAATCAGAACAAGATAACGGAAATAATGCTTCCACAACTTTAGAAAATTTGCCTAGAATTGAACAGTCAGAAATTAAAAGAACTGTAACTCCTCGTTTAACAAAAAGAAAATTATTGTGAGTTTAATTATTAGGATATACCCTTCTCACTTGAAATAGGGTACACCCCGATGTACCGCGAGCCCAATGTACCACCGAGCTATAACTTTGTCAAAAATTGTCGAATCCGTGGCGCCCTGGTATGGTTCGATTTAGCTGGTCGAGACGCGTCGAACCATACCAGGGCGACACGGAATCGACAATCTTTGACAAAGTTATAGCTTGGCTGTACATTGGGCTCGCGGTACACTGGCCTGCTCCCTTGAAATATTATCCAAATCTCGTAAGCAATCTCGTAAAGCACTTCCAAATCTCGTAAAGCACTTCCTTTTTCTTCATTATTCTCTCATTTTCCAGCTTTATTGGATTAGCAGTCTGTTTAGGCTCTCTTCACGGTTTAATGTTAACCCCTATTGTTTATGTCCAAGACACTGACCCATTGGCTTCGAAAAATGGTATTAAACGAAATAATATTTTGAGATTTAATTTTCTTTTTCAGTTCTCGATTACGTCTTTTCACATTTTTCGGCAGTTTTCTTCTTCTCCACCTTTTATTTTATTATCTACACTTTAATACTTAAAGGAAAGCCTTATGTCCAATCAAATTTAGTACTTCCATCAATTGCTTATGGAATTCTTTGGTCAATTGGAATGACTTTATTTATCGTTTCTAATAAATTACTCTCACAAACTGTTAGCTTTCCAATTACTGTTCGAGTAAGTAAAAAGGATTCTTATTTGAACTAGTTCCTAAAATTAAAATCCTCCCTGTTATCTGGAGAATGAACGGGGAATTCGTTGGCAACAATTAGGGGTCTTTTATTCTTGAACGAGAACGAGACAATTACAAAAAGAACAATAGTTTAGAACCAAAAACGTAAATGGGAGTATATGGGACACTGACAGACAAGGGACCATCGTTTAATGTTTACCGCGAATTTTATATATTTTTGGTACCATTCGATAAAGGGTAGGACTTCATGGAATGTTCTTAAAAATTTTTAATTTCAAAACAATTTTTTAATTCAATTTTTCAGCTCCCAGCAATAATAGGAGCATTAGCAGATGTTTTAATATTTAAAAGCATAAAGGGAAAAATGCAAATGTCATTTCTTTTTGCAGCAATAATTGCTGGCTCAGTTGGCGTAATACTTGTTGGAATATCCTTATATTAATTAAATTCTTTCAATTTTTTTGCCATTTTTAAATTAAAAAAAAATTTCCAGATTTTTAAAAATATTCTTTTCAACTTTCAATTTTTAAATAAAATTCTAAAGAATTTTTCTATTTATTTTTTTCTAATTAAAAAAATATTTTTTATTGACATTTTTTCTGTAAAGTTATATTACTAGTTTCCACCCATTTTTTCTTTTTTGTTTTATCCTTCTCTTCAATCTCGTCATCAGACATACTTTTGACTATAAAATAGAGATCTGCAAAGAACACAATAGTTGCACAAACTAATCCTAACAACATTCTTTCTGCAATGTCCAAACCCAAATGGGGATAGGCAAATTGTACACCCCAAAAACCAAAGGCAAAAGAACCTCCTTAAAAATAGAAAAAATTACAAAAATTTTGGACAAAAATTTCCTAACCAACAGTTATCAAAGTATTAATAATTGCAACCATTTGTCTATTCACTTCACGCATTTCTTGTCCAAAATTTTGAAGTAGTGAATTAGAACGTGTTTGATCAATTGAACGAATCATATTGTTATATTCCATATTTGCCTTTAAAAAAATTTTTGCAGAATTTTTTATTAATGCTTTAAATTTTGATTGAAACTATTAGGGTTGAATTTTTCGAACCGGGCCGACGGTCGAGTCATTTGTTTCGGGCCGGACCGGTCAAGTCTTTTCGGGCCAAAATTCGAGGCCCGTTTCGATCTTTCGAACCGAACCAGGCCCCCAACCCAAAAAACTATATTAACTAAAACAGACAATCAGAAAAATTTTCTAGGGTGGGCTACTTTAACTCTATTTTTAGCCCCTAAAACCCGAAAAATTATTTTAATTAGATTAATCACTAAAATAAACCTGTTGATTTCTTAGCCTTTCAATTCTTTCCTTATATTCTCTTTTAGCTTCTTTTTGTTCTTCAGTCAGTTCAGGCTGAGGAAATTGTTGAGGCTTTAAAGAATCAACAAATTTGTAAAATTCTGTATCATCCGGAGGAAGAGCTTTATAAATTGCTTCTACTTCAGAACTGCTAATTCCATCACGCTAAAAATTAATTTAAAAATATTTTTAATAAAAACAAACATTAATTATTTCATCAATACTAGATCCATTTGTTGTTTCATCAAAGTATATTTGAGTTTGGTCAGTTGGAAAGTCAGTAGGTATTATTTTTCGAAATATTTTTCTTTCTTCTTCAGTTAATCTCCACATTTAAATTTGTCCAAAAATAAATTTTACTTAAAAAATTTAAGAATCTTTGAAAAAATCTTTAAAAATTAAAATTCTATAAGAAATTTAAATATTAAAAAAAGATATTTAATTGTAAAAACAAAAAATAAAAAGCTTTACAAAAATTCAGAAACATTTTATTTAGAAAAATACAAAGAAGAAAAATAATAACAAAATACCCATGCACGTTTATATAAATTATTAACGAATTAAAGATGCTCCTAATTTTCAAGAATTAAGTGGACAATTTCATTTTCAGTCAATATATAAATTAAGAAGAAAAAAGTAGAAAAAAATATTGAGTAGGATTACAAATAATCACAAAATATCAGCTCTTTTTTAAACATGAATATCGATGCGCCATTCACGCGATATATAAACGCCCGGTTTTCGAATAACAATTAAACGTTGGTCACGGTCATGTGTGTATTCCAAATCCTCAGGGTTATAATCTGAAACTATAAAACTTAAAAATATTCTCTTATTCTATGCCTTAAGAGAGAGGTAAAAGTTTAGCCCCGACTATGCATCCAGTCCGATAAAGGAAGGAAATAGGCTCTAGATAGTCAACTTCCTCTGGATATTCAATTTTCACCCATTCAACCTGGGAAATGACGATCAAAATAAAACTCAAACCTTCGTAATACATGTGCACAGCTCTAGGGTAGTAACGAACACCACGAATGACAATACGTTCAACCCATACATCAGGATCAAATTTTCCGTTTTTATCCAAATTTTTAGACATTATTGCATAATTGTATTCACTCGCCTTTTTGTAAACAAAACCCTTAAAAATTATCAAAATTAAAAACATTTTAGAGAAAATATACCCAATATAAATATTCATTTTTGTCTTTATAGTTATGTGATTCCCCATCATCCATGTAAATTGTACCATTTGCAAATTCTCTATCCAGTTCAGAGGCAATATATAAGGTTATTGGGTCATTACGTTGAAGCATTGAAGCACGGCGTTGACGTTCCCGCACCTTAAAGAGAATAAAATTAAAAGGTTTTACAAGAAATTCGTACGGGTATTATAGTGCCTCCTCGCTGGTAAACAGGAATCTTTTCGAGTGGAGTATCGGTATAAATGGCGCCAGGTGAAAGATACATTTTATGCGTGTCCCAATCAAACCTCAAATAAAAAATTTTCAATTGAACAATTTAAAAATATTTTACCAAGTTTGGCCAATTCCGGGTAAGTAAAGCGAAACTTGTTGAACATCCGGTTCAACGACAGGGCGTACAAGAATTCCTGATCCAACCATCCATTCACGTTCTTCATCAAAAGCAGCCTCGTCCTCTGGAAATTCTGACCAAACTGGACGCATTGGAGGAACGCCTGTTTTCGTATGTTCGTAAAATAGGGTATACCTAAAATTATAATAAAATATTTTTATATTAAATACAGACCAGTAAGGAAGAAGAATATAACGCCTGATAACAGCCTCTCGCATAGCATTGTTCTCACGTTCCGAAAATAACCAAGGTTCTCTTCTTTTTGTCTCAATATGTCCGTGAGCCTTGGAAAGTAAAAAATTCGCAGAGATTTACAAAAACACTCACCCTGAAGAATGGTTGAAAGGCTCCAGCTTGATACCAACGAGTAATCAATTGCCCATCAGGATCTTTGAAAAAGCCTCCAACATCAGCCCCAACTGAAGGGATGCCAGAAACAGAAATGGAAAGTAGCATTGGAATTGATTGTTTCAAGTGTGACCATTCAGCAGCATTATCACCCGTCCAAACAGTAGCATATCGCTGGCTGCCTACAAAGAATGAGCGGACAAGAAGAAAGGTGCGGAGGCGTTTGTTAGATCGAAGCAATTGACCGTTAAATGAAGCCATTGACTAAAATATTTTTGCAATTTAAATATTTACTTGTAGTCAGATAGGTTTGATGAATATGAATCACCGAAAAAAATTTTCCTATTCCAAAATAAAGGGAAAAAATCACAACAAAGTTTAAATTACTTGAAAAAATCCATAAATGTTGTGAACTTCTCGATGTTCCCAACCATCAAAATGACGAGCATCTTTATGCATTGTAATTTCGGGTCCACTAAAAACGCTCGGCTCGTTCATATCGTTCCAAGTATAAGTCTAAAAAATATAAAAAATTTCTATCAATTTAACTTAAAAAATACTCTTTCCGTAGTTCCTTGATATTGATCAACAGGAAACTTTCCAGCCCAAAATTCGCGAACCGAAGGATTTACAAAATCTAGCCACATTGATGCGCCTGGCCAACAATGACCTTCATAATCAGAAGTACCGTCAGATTTTTTGACGAAAAAATTGTTAGCCTTTGCCTCATTATAAACAAAATAACCCTCGTCAATTTTTATATGCGGATCAATTACTGTGACCAAAGTGCGATTCTTAAAGCAAATTAAAAAATAACTACAAAATAATATTTTAAAAAACCTTAGCTTCCAATTCTTTAATCATTTCAAGAGAATTGCTAAACTTGACTGGATCCCAAGTAAAATATTTTTTTGCGTCAGTGTGTTCAATATCAAGCCAGAGAACATCGAGAGGAATGTCATGTTCGTCAAAAGAAGAATGTACACCCAGTAAGTCTGCTCTGTCATTATAATTCCAGCGGCATTGGTGATAAGCAATTGCAAAAAGCTGGAGAAATTTTTGTGAAAATTTTGGAATAATTAAAAAACATACTGGTGGAAGTGGAAAAACTCCAGTTAATTGAGCATTTTGACGGAAGACATCCTTTGGCCTAGGTCCAAGCATGAGGAATAAATCAAGAACTCCAGTTTCAGAAATAAAATGTACATCAATTTGTTCTTTAATTATACAAATATTTTAATCAAAAACAAACAAAATGAAACCCTTAAAATGAAAAATAAATTTAAAAAAATTAAAAGAAAAAATGAAACTTTATCAATAGCTAGATTAACGTCGACCCAAGTTTCAGCAGCATTCAGCCAAAGAACAGCAGCTGTTCTCTTCTTGCCATGAGCAATAGCAAAAGGTATACTTCCATAAAGAGCCATCCCATTTTCAAGTTCATACTCAAAAACATCCAAATTATATAGGCGATATGGGTCAGTATGCCTTTTAAAATAATAAAAAATTAAAAATAAATAAGTTAAAATTACGTTGTCGATTTAAGCGTGAATGATTCTGAATGTTCGGGGAGGCCATAAAGAAATTTATATCCAATAAAAGAAACGTCCAATCCAATAGAACTTGATCCAAAAGGTTTTGTGTCTGTATGCCCTTTAAAAGTTTCCTCCCAAAATCCCTCACCATCTCCGGTCCCATCTCCAACTTTATTCCGATAATGCTCAAATTTTAAAAGTTGTCTTGAATTTACAGATAATATAAGCTTGTCATCAGTGAAAATATTGACACGGAAAGGAGTGTATTCAATAACAATTTTATAGCTATTCTTTTCTCCAAAATTAGCAATAAAAGATGCAGAAGTGCCAGAATGTTCAAAATTAGAGAATCTTAAAAATGAAAATTAGGCAACAAAATTACAAATTTTTCTTAAGGCATGGAGGGATCTACATGTAAAAATAACATAGAAAAATTTGTTTTCTTCATCTTTCTCTAATTTTTCATTCCTTAATTCCAAAATTGCCCTTTTGTCTCCATGTCTTATCTTTGAATAAATTTAAATTGTTACTAGAATTTAACAGTTTTTTCTGAACCCATGACATTGATGTAATCTTCTCATTTAAATTGATACAATTCCCCCAAAATTATATCTTTTTTCTATTTCGATTAAATTTAAATAAAGGCTTTAACTCCGAATTCGAATTTTTTAAGTTTTAGCTTTTAAGCAAAGGATCTAGTCCAGGAAAATTAATCTAAAAAATTAAACAGCCGGGATCTAACAAATTTTTTAAATTTACTTTTGTTGTTTAGGCTCCCCATCCAATGCTATAGTCGGGTGGAAACGTTGTCGAATTGGATCGATCTCATCAATAACCATCCGAACTTTCCCATCCTCAAGTAGCGCCAGAATTAATTTAAGTTTATTCACAGAACTTTCGAGAACCGCCTCAACAGCCGAATCATTTGCTTTGATTGAATCTGGTTGTATATTGTAAACAGGATTGTTGGCTTTTGCCCTGTGACGTCTACAAAAATATTTAATTAATTTAATTTCTAATTTAATAATTTAAACACAAACTTGCAAAATGCAGCCTGTTCACAAGTTTTAAAATTGCTTCTATCTACGGCAACACAAATTAATACAAAACTTAATGAAATTATAAATTGAATGAGTGAATGCGTCAAGAAAATCTTCATTATAATTGAATCTGTAATTCTGAAATTTTGTTAGATAAAAGAAAAATGGGAAAAGACTAAAAACAAAATTAATATAAACCCAAAACGGCGCGCTGCCATAACGGCGCAAAGTCATAGCTAGCTGGAGCTAGCTGGATCCCTATCTCGATGAGAGGAATCGTTTGATGCTAAATTTGGAAGATTCCTAAATCTTAAAGCAAGTTAAGGCTTTGCGCCGTTATGGCATCGCGCCGTTTTGGGTGTGTCCCAAATTTTAACAAATTTGAAGCCAGAGGACGCCTTATCCCAGATCTAAAATTAAACCGAGATTAAATCATTGACCCCTGAACCAAGACTCTAACGACCTGGGCAAACAAAGAAAATTTGAACTTTATCAAGGAGAAGGACGTTTAAAGTCTCACGTCCCAAAAATAAATTCTTTTATGCTTCAAATTTATGAAAGTAAACAAATTTTTATTGAATAAATGATAAGTATGTACGTGTTAAACATTCTTTAAATCGTGCTATACTGATATGTATTTTTATCTGCAGACAATTTTAAATGTTATAGTGAAGAAAAAAATGAAATTTATAAATCTCTCAATTTTATTGTTATAAAATGGCCATTGTCTCTCAAATATGCTTCATTTAAACTGTATATGCTTCTCCATCTGAATTTGCGGAGAGACATAAGTTGCCGGGAAGAGACCTACAATGAACTTGAAGTCTAATTTAGTACATTCTCCAATACCTCTTTCCTTGTTTTGTTTTACACCCAGGCACCATCCAAGACTATCTGGACCCGAAAGCACTTCTATTATCTCACCTTTAAATATTAGAAAGGGGGGGTTTTGAGAAGTTTTTGATAACCTAAAACTAAGGGTAATTCGTCTGGCTCATTTGGATCGAAATTGTAAATGACTTTTGCTGGTCCAGTAGGTAATTGCAAATGTGATTGTTCAACACTCTCTGCTGATGTTTTGTATTCAACAGAATACTTTCTTTCCACACCTAAATATTCTTAAATTTTTCCCTTTAATTATCAGTCTACCACAAATATTAACGTCGCTACCACTCCTTAGGGGCAAGGGGTCGACTGGAATCGAAGATGTAGAACATGGGGAGTTTCCCTTTAAAGAAGACGGTTCCTCTGCAGATTTGTTTATTTCATGCCGAATTTCACTTGTATATTGAAGTTGTTGGTGCTTAATTGAAGGATTTACACTTGTTGAACGATTAACACATCTTGAAGATTCTTCACTTCTCGATTCCAGCGAATTAAAAGGCTGTAAAAATGAAGGAAAAATAATTTTTTCACTAATTATTTACTAGGGTTGTTCCCTGTCCCCGAAAGTCGGGGAATTTGAGAGATTTTTTGAAAATTCCCCGTCCACCCCCCCCCCCGTGAAAAAATTAAAAAAATTCTCCCCGTCCCCGCCCCCCCCCCCCCCCCCCCCGTGGCGCTGTCTTCCTAAAAGTTCTCCCGTGGCCCTCCCCCTCCCCACGTCGGGGAACAACCCTATTATTTACTTCTTTTCTGCCTCCATTCTTCAAGTCATTATCGAGGAAAAGAGATTTATCTGGACCAGGAAGTGAAGACTTTTCTGGATCGACCACATTAGCAGTTAAATTGTGATGACATCTCGGTTCAGAATTGCATCTTGGATGTTTTAATTCCCCATTCCTACTTTTCCTTATTTCGTTCGTTGCTTGCTCCTCATCTCCCAACGGCACTTTTTTTGTAAGCATAACCCCTGTTGCTTCCTTTTGACGGTGTTTCCTACTTCCCGAACTTGGATTGTGAATTTGTCGAAATTCAGAAGAATATTCCTCAAATTCAGGCCAAACTGTATTACATTCAATCCCGTGCAAGATCGACCATTGTCGCAAATCAACTTCAATGGAAGCGTCGTTTAATTCTGTAAAGTGTTCCCGCAGCTTGTCTTGTAATTGTAAAAGCCTTTATTTTTCTTTAAATTTTTCTGATTTTAAGGTAAAATTACTTTTGTGGGCTAATCAAATCCGCCATAATTTTTTGTATTCCCGAAAACATTTCTATCATAAATCGAATCCGTTTCCTTTCCATTCGCTGACACTTTTCAAAGACAAAAGACATATTCTCTTTATAAATTCTGTAATATTATGTATTATTTTTAAAAATTTTTTTGAAGCTTAACCACCCTATATATGCTTTAATATCTGTCAATTGTTGTTCATAAATGCCTTTCGCCTTTTTCCTATCTTCTTGAAATTTTTCAAAACGTTCCTTACACTTCTCACTTGAGCAGTCCGCGACATACTGATCCGCTTTGGAATTCACTAAAACGCGAAAGTTGAATAAATTCTGGCAGATTTTAAATACTATATTGAATATAGGCAGATTTTTCGGCACGTGAAAGTGAGTGGTAATTGCGTTTGGCAGTCTGTAACCCCTCAAATAATTTCTTCCATTGCTTCTGTGCCTTCTCGAATTCGTCTTCAATCTCTTTAGCCTCTTTAAAACCTCGTAATTTTGATTTATGATAATTGTCACGTTTGAATAATTCTATGGTCTTCAATATCTGAAAGGACAATAATGGAGAGCTTTGTCCTACCCATTTTATTGCTCTTAGGCCCTGCCTTGGAGTTTTCGAATTCCTAATAATTTTTAAAACCCGAATACCGTATTTACTCGATTAATTCCCCTCCCTCGAATAATTCCCGTCTCTCGAATAATTCCCCCTGCTACGGATGAGTTGAAACAATAATTCCCCTCCCCAAATATCCTACATCACGTCCAAATTTCAAAACTCGAATAATTCCCCTCCCATGAATAATTCCCCATGCCGCGGATGGTTTGAAAAATATCCCCAGGGGAATTAATCGAGCAAATACGGTATTTATTTAATTTATGGCATAACACTCGATTTTCCCCTCTAATCACCCTCTCTTTATTAATTAGTGAAAGGTTGAAAGCAATTTACACAGAACTTATATCCGAGAAGATTAAAGCTTTAATTAAAGCTTTAAATATTACAAAAACCCCACCTCATCAATGAAACGTTCTTTTATTCCAAAGTGGACTTTTGCTAATTCCTTTCCTTCTCCTAATATCAAATTAAATGACTTTTTCAGGGATAAAGTCTCCTTAAGGTGCTTTTCAGCATAGGAGCTCCACTCAGAATTCCATTTTTCCAATTGTTTCGAGTAACTAAAAATTTGAAAAATATCATGGAACTCAAGAATTCTTGAAACTCGCCTAGCTTCTATTGCCACCCGGTCTTTAATAAAACGTGTTATGTCTTCTAGTTGCTCATATCCTTGATGAATCCGTGTAATATTTGTCTTGTAGTTCCCTAATAGTATTAATTTCTTAATCCCAAATATTAAATAAAATTCAACTACCGATTTCCCAGAAGTCGTTATTTACTGTAGAAGCATCGTTTGGAGACATTAAATAAAGATTTTAAATAAAATGTGAGCTGAACTTAAAGATTTTTTGAAGATAAGGTTATAAAAAATGTCAATAAATACAAACAAACATTAGCAAAAATAATTAGAATTGTCGCATCTTATTTACACATTCATTCCTATGAAATGGTCATCGTAGATGGGGGGTTTATTGGGGGGATAGATTTGAAAATTGATCGGGGGACTAGGCAAGTAAAAGAGAAGGTTGAGTTAGCAAAAGGAAAAAAAAACGAAGCGATGAATGAAGGACGTATGAGGGAATGAATGGGGGGGGGGTTGTTTTGAGAAATTAATGGGATGGACGGTTTTGGAAGTGGATAGAGCGAAGAAGATGTAATGAGAAAAACAACAAATATTTATTTTTGATTATCCAGCCATTTTCTACTATTTTTAATGGTCAAAAATTTTGCCGGTTTCCGCTCGCAATTTTGCGATTTTTAAATGCCTAAATATGGATATTTAAAAAAGTATATTTTGTAAACATCGTGCTCTGTGTTTTTATTTTTAAAAATAAATAATCGCCGAGAATTAGTATTTACTCACAACATATAGCTGTAATCGTCTTTCATTTAATCCTCAATTATCTTGATTAAAAACATGTATATTATACATAAAATTATCGTAATTTTTTTTCTATCGTAAATTCATTCTAATAGCCTGGAGCGGTTCTTGGCACCTCAATAGGGACAATTTAAATTTTTATATTTCAAAAAACTTACCGGACAATGGTCACATCGGCCAAGTTTTCCAGATATTCCGACTTCTCCACGAGGACCTTGTTCCCCATCAGTCCCTGGTTTTCCTGGCAATCCAGTGTCACCAACTAAAAATATTAAAGTTTGCTCATGGAATACATATTAATTTAAAGATTCACAAGCAGAAAAGTGGACTAATAAATTAAAATTTTTCAGTTTGTCCACTAAGGATTTCGATTACTAGCATTAAATAAAAATATTATCATATTTTTACCTTCTCCGGGTTGCCCGTCTTCACCAGGCTTTCCATCTTCCCCATTCAGTCCAGGTGCACCTTTATATTTAGGAAATTTTACATTTAGCTTTAGTATGTAGACTAGCCTGGTAATCCTATTGTGTAAAACAAAAATTTAATTACAATTCGCATTCAAAAAATACCTGGCGGTCCAGGCAATCCGGGAGGTCCAGGAATTGATAAAGTCTCCCGAAGTATGCCTCTCTCGCCTTGTTTGCCTTTTATTCCGGTGACTCCTAAAATATAAAGATAATTTATGGGTGATTATTGTGGTTTCACTTACCCGGCACGCCAGGAAATCCTCTCATTCCCTGCATCCCTGGCATGCCTGGAATACCATCACTGCCTAGAGTCCCGTTTATTCCTTCTTAAATGATAACATTCTACATACCAGAGAACGCAAACCTCGTCCTCTTAGTCCTTTAAGTCCTTGTGGTCCTCTCTCTCCTTGGGAACCTTCGTCGCAAACAAAACACCAATCCTATTTATTAATGGAATGTTATTTATGCGGAAGATTAAGGTTTACTTGCACTATAAAATCCTTGGACGGATTTTCTTGTTGTCCTGGCAATCCATCATGGCCATCCTTTCCATCCACACCGGGCAGTCCTGGAACTCCTTTAGAAAGTAATTTGAAGAGAAACTGTGATTTTTATGGCCGATATTTTTTTTCCAGCCGAAAAGTAAAATTGAAAATCATGACTATACTGGAGAGGTCCACATTTATCCGTCCATTAAGAGGTCCACATTTATCCGTCCCACATAACGGAGACACTCGTATGGCAATTTTTATTTCATCCGCCTTATTCACCGGATATTGCGCCATCTAACTATCACTTATTCCGTTTGATAAAAAATCATTTGCGAGATGTGAGGTTCCAAAATGATGCTCAACCCTCAAATTGGGTTGCCGGATTTCTTGATACCAAATCTGCCACTAGATTTTATCAAAGGGGAATTAAAAAACCTTCCAGCATGTGGCAAGATGTGATAGATAATAATGGACATTAGATTGTTTCTTAATTTCATTTCATTATTTAGTTATAGTAAATTGTTTTAATTATGCGCAAAGGGCTCATTATTTATCTGACAACCCATTAATTACCAATGCTGCCGATTCCACACGCACAGCAGGTTGCTGCTTCCTCCGAAATTTGGATTGCTTCGCGTTTTCCTATGTTGCTTCCCAACTGAAATTAAATCTAGAGGAAATGTGGCAAAAATAATCAGTTAATATTTTTGATAATCAAAAAATTTTGAAAATTAATCTTTCAATAAACTTCACCTTAATTCTGCCTATTTCTTTCCAAAAATTTGAAATTCTTATCCTGCACAACTGCAATTCTTCATGCCCCACAATATGTACATTTTGGATTTTATAATGCAAAAAAGGTACTACAAATACCAACAGCAAAGCTGCTGAAAGGGAAAAGGAAACAAAGACAATGGCCAATTGCCGCATTATCGTCAATTTGTCTCTCATTTGATTAAATTTATAATGGGGATTTGAAAGGAATTTTAGAAACATTAAATGCATTTATGTATGTGTAAGAATTAATTGAATAAAAGAATGCCCTATATTTACTACAATTTCATTGGATTATTTAAGAGAATTCGTCTAAAAACTCTCTCAAAAATTCATTCAACACAAATCATTTTTATTTAAGTCCTTCACCCGATTTTTCAACTTGTGAAATAAAAATTAATAAATACAAAAACTTAAGAATCTTTGTTCTAATTAAATTCGGCTTTTTACTCTCGATAAAATTTCTTCCAAAAATTTTTTTATTTCCTCTGTGCAATAAAGCATAATAAACACCCAACACACCCACACAATGAAAGTAAACCCAGGATGATTAAAGCCAACCTTAAGTTGAAAAAATTCAATATCCCCACCCAATGTTATTAAAGACTGACATTAACCAAGGTTCCAACTGAAGACAGCACTCTGTCGGATTGTAATCACAACAAATGTAGTAATGAAATAATGAACCAGTTCCGCAACTGCAAAATTTATGTTTTGAAATATCGAGTACCGAGTAATTGGGGAAAAACCGAGTTCGAGAGAGTACTAGGATCCCGAGTTCCGAGCCCGAGTAAAGTCGAAAAAAACCAGAGCGATCGAGTAAAAAAAAACTCGAACTCGCTCGACTTGGACATATTCTACTTTAAAGTTTTGACGTGAATTTTTTAAATTAATCTTATTTATGTTATAAATCTCTCGATACAACGAACTTCCTTTTGAGTTCGTTAAATACATAAATAGAGATTTAGTTGAATAATAACCATACTAATTGATTCCATAAGGAGGTATGTAAATCGTCGGTGCTACAGTGATAGGACATCTGTAAACAAATCCTGATGTTTGTCCAAAATATGCCAACACTGGAATTAGTAATGAAAAAAGGGCAAAAAAGCCCATAAAATAAAAATCGAATGTAGGCATTCTTCTTACGGTGTATCGTTAATTTGATTTTAATGATCAATGTAACTGACAATAAAATAGGTAATAAATTGGTAAATGCATTTTGGAATGAAAAAAGTTTATGAAAAGGAATTTTTGCTGTATAATTTTATAATATACGATTTAATATTTTAAAATGGATGAGGTAATATCGAGAGTTGGATCGAGAAAAGAAAACACTTGACATAATTCAAATGTGAGAATTATTGCAATATTCGGAGTTGCCTTAAGAATTACTTCGTTGTGCGAGAGTCCAAAATCAATGTCCAATTTATTTTAGGAATAAATTTAGAGAAAGTAAAAGTTGAAGGAAAATTTTTTTATAATCAAGGATTGCATTTTAAATTTGATATCACAAATTTTAGCAAATAAAATTGTGTTTTTTTAGTTTTTTCGTTAAAAGATTGCTAAGGCAAAATGGGAATACTGTATATCCGCAAGAGAAATCCGCAATTAAAAAGTCCGCAAGAAAGTGTCGAATTGTCAAATTTACAGTTGGCGAAATGTGTTTTTTTTTAGTTTTTTCTTAATTCCTTAAATATTTTTTTCCAATTTTGTTTTAAAAATTTATTCACTCAGGATTTATTGGAATAACCAACTTTACATTACTTTTTTAAACTAATTTTTCTCTACTAATTATGCAGAATCCAGAGAATATTTCTAATCCTCATCAAGCTCTTTATGAAGATTTATTTTCGAAGGTTTTTAACAAATTTATATTTTCTAAGCATTTCATTTCTGCAATTTAATGGATAAGGAGGAAGAAAACACTTGACATACATTTGCTTCTTGCTTACCTTTTTTCTTAATTTTTGTTAATTTTCAGTTGAATCCAATGGGCAAAGAGGAAATCGATTCCGCCAGTATTGCCGCTTTTTTAAGAACTGCTAAAGATGTTAATACGGCGCAGCTTTCTCAGGTTTTAACTCGATCAAACATTAATTCTTTGAACATTAAATTAGATTTGGGAAGCAGCTTGTGAATCGAGTGGCTTTGTAAATCGTGGATTTCTGAACAAATTGGGCATTTTTATGTGTTTTAAGGTATTTTGTTTTAAATTTAAGTGCATTTTTGCACTTTTACAAATCTTATAAAAAGATTTTTGTCTAAATTAGGGTCGTAATTAGAGACCGGCGCGGGGCGGGATTTTCCGGGATCCCGGATTTTTTCGGGATTTATTCTCCGAGATCCCGTACCGGCATCGGCTAAGAAAAGAATCCCGACTCGGGATCCCGTGCGATTTTGCCGGTCTCTAGTCGTGATAGGACGACAATTTACTAGAAATATTTTTAATAAAAATATATTTTTAAGCTTGTGGCTGCTGTTCAACAAGGTCAGATAAATTTTTGATTAAATTTTAATACTACTTCCACATTAGGCTTTCAAATTTCACCTGAAATTTTGTGTAACCCATCCCTTGAACTTCCTCGATTCGAAATTGCATCTGGTTATAATTTGCTTTCCCGACAACAGAGTACAACGTCTGCTTTAGCAGAAGAAAATTGGGCCATCGGCTTAAATGATCTGCAAAAATATGAGGCTATATTTAACAGTCTTGGCCCTGTTGATGGGCGTTTAAGTGGAAATCAATGTCGACCAGTGCTTTTGAACTCACAACTGCCTAAGGGAATACTGGCGAAGGTACGGGTTTATGTGGTCACATTTTTAATTTTTTATAATATTAAGATTTGGGATTTGGCTGACATTGATGCCGACGGATTTTTAGATAAACCAGAATTTTGTGTGGCGCTTCATTTAGTTTACAGATCATTACAAAATGATCCGATGCCTGAGAGACTTCCTCTTGCGCTTGTTCCACCAGAAAAGCGAATGTTATCACGTCAAATGTGTCCTCGGTCAGATGATCTCCCCTCAACACATCCACCTCGTATGCTACAATTTTGTTTAAAAATTAATTTTAAACCATAGCGTTTTTTGTTAAGTCTTGATCGATTAATTTTTATAGCGCTAGCATGGAGTTCCCGAGCTTCAAGTGTTGCATCTCTTAATATACAACAACAACCGTCTCATAGTCCACCTACAACCAAAAATAATATACCAAAATCTCTATTCGAGCGAAATGTGGAGGAATGGCGTGTTGAGGATTTGAGCCAATTTGAATTGGAATTTTCTGATTTGGATAAGGACCATGATGGATTTGTTGGCGGGAACGATGTCCGGGATGCATTTCTTAGGCAAGTTTATTTTCATCCTGTAGTGGTCAAAATTTAACATTTAGATTTGGGCTGTCACAAGCCAATCTTGCACGGATTTGGGCGCATGTAGACGTCCAAAAGTCAGGTCGTCTCGATCTTGAGCAGTACGCTAAATGTATTCTTTTGATTCGTGAATGTCAAGAAGGGCTGACTTCAAAGATAAGCATGTCGATAGCTTCGCCCGCGCCGCCTATGACTTTGACACGAAGAGACTCACAAATTTCAACCAATTCTGTTTGTTTTATAACATCCTCTGCGAATTTGGTCGAATATATTTTGTTTGTTTTTAGGGCTCAGGAATTCGCCCTCTAATGCCAGAAAACCCTCGAGTACAAGAATTAACTGCTTCTATCGAAAGTATGCAGCAGAAAAGAAGAAAAGCTGAAGAGGATCTTTTTCAGGTTTAAATGTTTAATTTAACCTTGCTATTAATTTTAATATTTTTTAGGCGGAGGCAGATCTGAAAGTGAAGAATTCTGAAGTGAAAAACCTGGAAATTGAATTGGTTCTTTTTTAAACTAACTTTTAAAAAATAAGAGAAACTTCTGTTCAATTCCACTATAAGTTGACTAAAATTTAGTTAACTCTCGAAGCGACTGTTAAGCAATTACGTGTTCAGAGAGTTGAGGCCAACAAACGGCTAAACGATTTAGATACCCGTGTGGCAAAGTTAGAGACTGTCTGTAGTGAGAGTCAGAACCGTCTAGAAGAAGAAGAATCTCGACTTCAAAAAACAAAAGCAGATATTCTGCAAGCTCGAGAGAATTCTGGCCAAGAGGACATTGTCCTCGAGCAAATAAGAGCTGAGGCACAGAAACGAAATGAGAGATTAGTAGGAGCCAAAACAGCTTTAGAACAACAAAATACGAAATTTGTGGCTTTTGTTGATGAATTAACACAAGTAAATATTTCTGTTAACTACATATTAGCCTGGTTATTCTTTTAGTTGGAGCGAAAAATGGCTTGTCAAGAAACTGAGAGTGGTCGTCTTAAGGAACAGATGGAACAAATGCGTCATATTCTTGAGGGAGTAGATGCTAATGATGAGAATTCCATGAAAGAACTGCTAGAAAAAACGTTTAAGGAGGTGAAAATAACGCTTTTATGTAACATAATAATTTTAACTTTTAAGAGTTTGGCAGCTGCAAATGGGTTACCACTTACTGGAAATACTTTTATGGATCCTTTTAAAAACGGTTACTTTAAAACAACAAAATACGTATTCTTTCTTTTAATTAGGTGATCCTTTTATGCCAAGCAATGTATCTGGAACAGGCCCATTTGAAAGTGTTGGCAGTGATCCATTTGTATCAAAATCAAAGGAAGGAAAAACAAATACTAACAATTTCGCTAATTTTGCAAAGTTTACAAATTCGTGAAAAAATAACTCCAAAAAATCCCAAACAATTTTAATTCTCTACCCTTTTTGCATCCGATTTTTTGCTTTATATCAGGGCTCGGATTTTACTCAAATTTCAGCATTTTACTCAAAAATCCGCAAACTTGTTGGCTTCAATACCAAAAATTCACTTTTTCTGCGCCGCAGGCGAAAATTTTGAGGAAAAATCCGAGCCCTGCTTTATATCGATTTTTAAAAATTCCAACTTTTCTCTTTTCTTTTAAATTTTGTGATTGTTTTGTATACCCTTTATTTTCTAATAAAAATTTAACTTTCAAAATATATTCATAAAATTTCCGAGGTTCATTTTTATGACCTTAAATATTTAATTCCGGCTTTGTAAAATTTTTTTATAAATTTAGACCTAATAAACCTTAATAAATTTCTTCATATTATCACCTGAAAATGTTCAAAATTGGAGGTATTCAGCCTGTGGACGAGAATGACGCACAAAGGAAAGAAAATTTGGAAGCACGGAATGCTGCAAAAGGACAAAGACGCGCTGCTTTAATTGAAAGGAAACCAAACGTTCGACAATTGACACATAAAACTTCTTCAAAACCAGTAACTTTTACCTTTTATTTTTTAAATTTTAATTATTTTATTTCAAAGGATGACTTGGAAAAATTTGCCACTTCGCATGTACGTTTTGGTGGAAGTGATGTTATGATACCAGTTGAGGTTGCTGAGGATATTGACAATTATATGCGACACCTTGAGGTTATTTACGCTGTGCCTGAAGACTTTTTGAGGAATATCAAGTCGCCGATTCATGGCAGAATGCGTCAAATTCTTGCTGATTGGCTGTACCATGTAATCATTTTTATTTTTATTAACTTTAAAAAATAAATATCAGGTCCAAAGTCGCTTCACCCTGCTCAATGAGACTCTTAGCTTGTCTATCAACTTGATGGATCGATCTCTACTGGCAATGAATGGTTCCATAACTAAAACGAATTTGCAATTGCTAGGAGTGACTTGTCTGTTTATCTCTTCAAAATTCGAGGAAATAACAGTTCCAAATGTTGAGGACTTTGTGATTGTTGCTGGTTCTGTTTTCAATAAGGAGGATATTTTTCATATGGAGATGAAGGTTTTTCTTGTGACCTTATAATTGGTTGTCAATGTTTAATGAACAACTTTCGATTATTTACTAAGGGCATATCCCGGGGAGCTAGAGCCCCCCCCCCCCCTCTCCCGAAACCGATCTACTGGATACGCCTTTGTAATTTACGCAGTTGAGGTCATTATTTGTATAAAGTTCTGTTTAACAAAACGTGGTAAAAACAAATTTTATCCCAGGTTTAGAGAAATTTCTGATTTCGCCTATAATTACGATTATAATCGGCAGGCAGGCTCTATAAATTTTAACCTGTCAGGGATTTATTTTTTTAATTTCCATTTCTCTTCCCATAACTTTTTTTTTCAGATTTTGAGCGCATTGGACTTTAATCTTGGAGCGCCACATTCTTTGCAATTTCTTCGTCGTTATCGCTTTTATGTTGAGCCAGATAGTCGGACTTATCAATTTGCAAAATATATTTGTGAAGTAGCTTCTGTTTGTTATAGCCTGGCTCATTATTTGCCTTCAACTGTGGCCGCAACTGCCATCTGGTTAGCTTCTTATACTTTTGGTCGCACTCTTGTGTCCAATTTTCTTTTTGACCAAGTTTTCAAGTTAGATCAGGCGACTTTGTTTTCAACGGCACGTTTATTTGTTGACCATGTATTAATTTTTTTTCTGAACTAAAATTAATTTTTTAAAAATTTAGGTAATTAATTTTGCCAATCCCGACGAAGACAAAATTTATGCATTGCGAGAGAAATACCAGGAATTGGTGCTTGATGAATTTACGACCGAGCATATCAGCAAACTTAATGATTTCTTTGACTATGGTTACGAATATTCAGGGTTGTCCAACTCTTCGACTTATTCTGCGCGTGCGATTTTAGAGAAATAAACGGAAGGATATAGAACTATAGAGAGGTTTTTATATGATTAATTAATAATACCTCCATTTAATCCACCCATTTTGACCTCTGTGATGCTCTTCGGTCTTTCTTAAATGTTTGATCTTTGCGCATTTAATTTACACGAAAACTTTAATGTTTCCCTCACTATAACTCTCAATATAATGCATTTTCCAGTTTTATTTTTGCGTCTTTTATTTACTTATTTTTCTTAAACTAATTTGAAGGATAAACACGTAAATTAATTTTTATTAAATTGACCATTTTCCAATTTCTAGGTGTCAATATTATGTATTGGCTTTATTAAATTATAGGGAGACTTACTTTTTAGTTATACATTAATTTATCGTTAACAACGATTAGTTGAAAAAAAACCTTTTAACTTTCAAGACTCATTGGAGTTTTAGATGTAGTTACTAGTATGTTCTTTAGGGATATTTCTTTGTTAAATATTCTGGAGATCAGTCTGATAGGTCTAATTCCGATATTGATGTATGGCCTTTTTAGACCCAAAGCTTTTTTTGGGTTGTGATCTCTTTGGATTTTCCGCATGCATTGTTTTATTTTCATTATTGTAAGAATAAAATTTTAAATTAAAAAATATTTTAAATCAAATTGTTTTTGTTGTCAACATTAGTTATTTTTTATTTACTGTTTTTCTAACTTTATAAAATTTATTTTATTTTCAGATGAATTTATTTCTTTTTCAAAAATTTAATAAAAATTTTGTTTTTCAAATATCTCGTCAAATGTGTATTGCCAAATCAACTTCAATGCCTTCTACTTCTTATAATAAACCAATACCTTTCAAGTCAATTTCTACTGATGATTTGGGGTTTTCTTTTTTAAACCAAGATGCAAATAAACAATTAAGAAAAACTGTGTTGTTTGCTAAGGTTAAAATTTTTTGAAATAAGGTGATGGAAAATTGGGGATTGTTCCTTCCATGCTAAATTTTCTATTTCCATCTTTATAGCAGACTAGGACATGGATACTGATTTTGCTATCCGGATATATCCGTGGGGTCAATATCCGTTTGTATCCTTCCAACTTTTGAGTCATATCCATCCGCGGATTTGGAGCATCATATTCATATCCATCCGTATCCGTCCAATTTAAAAAACATTATCCAAATCCGTCCGTATCCGCGGATATCCTCGGGTATCCGGATATTATCCGTATCCATGACCATGCCTGATTTATAGGCCTTAGGTAAGGGATCTTATCCAAAAAAGCGTAAGCTCTTGGAGATCCTAATATTTTGTCTATATACTAACTGGAAATGCATTTTCCTCATACCAGAAAATTCTCAAAACAATAAAATTGACAAAAGAAATAAGTAAATTATTCACAAATTTTCAGTTTGCCTCACTTGCAAGTTCTACATTGGGTATTTTTAAAATAATTTTAATATTTAACTTTCCAACTTTCCAGGCCTTTGTTTTATTCCAATTATAAGCTCCTCCTTTGTTGAAGTAATGGCAGAAAGACCTGGCTTAGCTGCTTTTATGGTGTTGACTGATACTTTTTTATTATTCTTTGCTTGTACACCATTTTTGTTGCATTTTTTAACTAAACGTTTTGTTGCCGATATATATTATAATCCAAAAACTAAAGTAAGAAAAAATCTATTTTTAATTATAAAGGTTTATTTTTAAGGTGTTTACAACTGTTCATTATAATTTTATTTTGAGGAAGAAAGCTTTGAGGTTTACAGCGGATGAAGTGGTAAATATTTTAATAGGACCGTTTTGAAATTTTATAATTTTTCTTTTAATATTTAAGGTTGATGCTGCAAATGAAGTGGAAAAAAATAAATTTTCTTTTCAATTTGCTACATGTTCAGTTAGATCTTACCCAATATTGCTTTTGTTAGAAGAGGACTTTTATACAGACCCAGAAGTTTTTAAATTGTTGACGAAAGGTTTTAAATCATTAGACTTGGTAAAATTAAAATGAAAGGAATGTTTTGTTAAATTGTTAAAAATACCATTCCCGGTCTCAGTTCCGATTTTTGGAGATAGGCTAGGGTTCTTAGTTCTTTCGAGTTCTTATACTAGGCAACGGAACTTTTTTGAATTTTGGAGCTCAAGAAGTTAGATTTCTTTCTTCTTTCGTTGAGTTTGAACAATTTTCGACTACCCACGAAAAATTATCGGACAGCATGAATGAATTCGCAATTTGTTTTACTTTCGCAAAAAATCATCTTCTCCCAGTGAAGATGGTTCTTTGAGAAAGTACACTTCTGATGCCTTTCCAGCCAATAGAAGTGTTAACAAGACTTCTTTTTCTTTCAACGTCCATATTGTCTTTTTTCCATGATCAAGAAGTGTGTGCCCCAGAAAATGGCCAGATCGAACGAGAATACCTTAACTTGGTTCAAAAATATTTTAAAATAAAATCATCAAGAAAACAAGAAGATACACTCAATTGCAATGGCTAGCCTTATGGATTTATCCAACATATATTTTAGGATAATGTGTTTCCCAAGGGCGTAACCTGTGAGCTGAGGGATCTAAGGGAGGTGGATGAGGGAGCTAAGGCTAAGGGAAAAATATGATCGAAAAAATGAATTTTTTTAGACAAAACACCTAGCATTCTAAAATCGAAATTAAAAATATGGTATTTTATTAATTCCTCTCATTTGTTAATTTTTTTTTGTTAATGTATTTAATGTTTATTTGGATTAACAATTTTGTCAAGTGATGATTTTTCAGTTAAAAATAAACATTCATTTGGCAATTTTTCTTTAACAATTTTTCGCAGTCCTCTGCCACCTTTTTTAATAAAATTGGCTAATTGATAAAAAGGTCGAAGAAGTCCATCCTTTAAAGAAAATATTTAAGTTAGGACCTTTTAATAATTCAAAATTCTAAGTAGGAAAAAATATGTAGTGGCATGGTTACCGTGATAACACCGCCAGCTCTCGGACAAGTTTTGTTTAATTCTTCACGAAAGCATGGAAGGAAGCAATTGGAGGCGCTATTGATAAAAGAAAATAAATTTTAATTGGCTAAAACTGTTAGGAATATTAAATGAAAATTCTATCTTTCCATTCAAACATTTTGGGGTAAGAATCTAATTTTGGTAAAATAAACCACAGTCGGGTCCCATGTATACGATACCTCTCATTTTGAGAAATACGACATCAATGTGTGAAAGTTGTACAACTGGCTTCTGACCTTGCTTGTGTGTCACTTTTTGGACCGAAAATTATTCTTTAATGAGTTTCGTTGTACAAGATCCTTCTTTAGAAATCCCCCAACTTTATCCTATTCTATATAACTAGCCTGCAAATCCCTCCCATATGTGAAAGAAGTTCAAGAGCATGAGCAATACTATGCCCTTTCAAATCTTGTCTGTGAGAGAATTCAGCAATTGAATTAAGTAAATGACATTTTTGTTCACATTTTTGATTTAAATTATCCAAATTTTGACGTAAACATTTCTCATTTTTTCTAATAAAATGTTGCTTTGGCCCATCACAAAGGCTTCGAATACCGCTTGTTACAGAATCGAAAATGCTTGCACTCAAACAAAGGCCGTGATGAATACATTTTTTGGCTTTGTCTGATTCACTAAATTTTAAAATTAAAAATTCTTAAACAGTCAATATTCTAAGTTTGGAAAAAAAGCTGGATGACCTTAAGACCCGGAGGATCATAGAAATTATATGTAAAATCCCTCTAAATATTTGGGATTTTTTCGAGAAGGAAAATTCTAAATCCAATTTTAAGAAAAATATTAGACTGAAAAAGGTAAATAGGTAAAGAAGTAGAAGATAAAATATTTTAATTATTTACGGGTAGAATTTGGAGAAAATAGCCAAATACTTGAATACCTAGTTACGGATATATGGGTGGTTTTTATAAATAATTTAATGTACTCTAGAATTTTAATATTAACAGACTTGCAAAGGTTTTGGAAGTGTTCGAAAGTATTGTTAAACAAAAGGAATTGTGTCATTTCTAAACGAAGATTTGTTATACATTGCCAAATACAATGGGGCATGTCTATTGCCTTTAAATTTATTTTAACAATTTTTCTTTAATAATTTTTGAATATTCTCTTACGTTAAATAAAGCATCAACATCAACATTATTTTTTGTTATTGAGGTAGCAGGGCTGCTGCAATTGTTCTCCAAACAAATTGGGTTATGAGCATCTAGATTTAAGTAAAAATAATTTTATTTATTAAATGAAGGGATTTTCTAGAAAATTTAGGAAACAATCCTTTCAGATAAGTCCTTCAGATAACATATACCATACCGTTTAATTAAAAAATTATGAAAAAAATACAGCAGCTTAGACAGCCGCAATCCGCAAGCGTGAATTCCCGAGACAATCCTTGTTAGTGAAATTTTTTCCTAATTTTTTATAACAACTTTGATTGCGAATCGAGATTGAGCTAAATAAGGGAATTGAAAATGTTAAAGGGGTATCGGCAATGAAAAAAAGATGTTCCGTAGCGGAAATCTGCAATTGCGGACACCCCTGGTTAGATATTTCTGACTGTTTTATGAAAACAATTAAAATTATATTTTAAAGAAATTTAAATATAAATTACCTAAAATATTTGTAGTTAATGTTAAAAATAAAAATATTGTTATAAATAACATTTTATTTATAATTTTTAAAGTTTTTTCTTCTTTAAATTTAAAAATAAAAAGGGAGGGGGAGAGAACTATTTATATTTATTTAGATATTTAACAATTTCTTGAAGAAAAAGATTTGTCATAATTTTTATTTAAAAATTTTAGTAAATGTGTAAAAGTTTAAAAAAAATAAATTTAAAATGGAAGAAAAATTGGAGATATTTTTTCCAAAAATATTTTTCAAGACAAGTTACCGTATATCCTTTAATAACTACCCTGGGTAATTATTGTTTCGACCTTCCGCTGGAGGGAGTAATTAATCGAGGGAAGGTAATTATACGAGGTTTGAAATTTGAACGTGATTTAGGGCATTTGTTTGGGAGTAATTATTGTTTCAATCTATCGTTGGATGGGGTAATTAATGGAAGGAGGTAATTATTTGAGGGAGGGCAATTAATAGAGTATATACGGTAACTAGGATTCCTTTAATTGTCTAATTTACTTGATAATTAATTATAAAAATTTCCAGCCCACATTTTTCGCTCAAACAAATTTTTCCTTTATTTTTTATCAAAGAGATAAAAAGAGGAAAATATTTTTAAATTTTATTTTTACCAAAAAAAGATTATTTCAAATGTTAATATTTTTTGCTCTGAAAAGTTTTTCTGTTTCTTTTTAAACAAATTTTTTACAAATTTTTTTCTGTGTCAAGTTTTGCATATTTTTAAAAAAATATTTAAACAAAATTTTTTATAGTACATTTAAAAAGTGATTTATTTATGAATATGAATCATTTGACAAAAGAAATTCTCCAAAAAATATTTTGATAAAAAATGGAAAGAAAAACGTTATTTGAAAATTACCAAAAATTTATGGGATTAAAATAAATTAACAAAAAAAGATTGGATGTGGAAATGTAAGTGATGGTGTGTCTTACTTGAGAAAAAATGTAGGCCAAAATAATTCCGTATTAAATACACCCTCAATTTAAATTGTATTTTTTCTAATTTCGTTGGCCAGTAGGAAGACTTATCGTGGCGGACATATCAGGACAAAAATATAACTTATTGCGTGTTTACGTAAGTTCACCTTTCTTTAATAGGACAATCTCTCCTATCTCAGATCCAGTGGTCGCAGGTCCCGAAATCCGCAGAGGAACTGTTCCCACATTGAAATATACCAATATGTCCGTCTCGATATGTCAGGCTCCCCGTTGGCTAAACCAGGGTTTCGATCTCGAATTTTTAAAAAGCCGCAAAATTGATCGAAAAAATCCGCATTTTATATCAAAAATCCGCAAAAAATTATCAAACACAAAAATTGAATTAAAATCACTTTATGCATTGTATTTTTCGTCCTCTACAATTGAATTAAGCAATTTTTTTATTACTAATGATCATCTTATGAAAATCCAACAGTTATCTAAAAAATTAGTCTTGCGTTTTTGTCGCGGAAGATGTCATAAATTTTATATCTTGTGTTTTCAGCGCCGCAGGCGAAAATTTTTTTAATTTTGGAAGATCCTTAAGCCAAAAATCGTTCATTTTCAGGCCAGGCAAAAAATTTTGAGGATTTTGGAAGATCAAGGACACAGATTCCTTCTTTTTGCGCCGCAGGCAAAAATTTTGAGAAATTTGGAAGGCCAAGAAGCCAGATTTTTTCCATTTTCAGCGCTGCAGGCGAAAATTTTGAGGATTTTAGAAGGTCTTAGCAGGAAAATAATGACATTTTATGCTAAAAACCACAAGAAAATATAAAAAATCCTCATAATCTTCAAAAGACCACAAAAATCCGCAAATCCGCATTTTTAAAAATAATCCTCATCGCCCTATCAAAAAACCACAAAATGAGGAAAAATCCGCAGATATCGAAACCCTGGGCTAAACGATATCTCTAATTACCTCTTATTATAAGGCGCAATGTTTCATCCTCAAAAGGATATTTAAAAATGGTTTTAAAAGTAAATATTTTTTTGGATTTTTTGAAAAAAAGTTAAAATAAATTATTTAACTAAATCAAATCATTCCTTTACTAAAATTAATTTATTAAAACATAATTTTCTCAAAATTTATTATATTAATATTTAGTTTTCCACAAAATAAAATTTCAAAAAAAAATTTTTTAAATTATTTTTTTAATCGTCTAATATGTCTTGTAGAATAATAATTATTCTTTTTAAAATTATTATTAGTTTTACTTCTTTGTAACACAAATCCATTAGAAACTTTTTCTTGAACATCCAAATTTTGTACAAAATCTGCCAATCTGCTAGAATGCCCTCTCTGTAATTTTTCACATCCTTTTCTTAAAAATAAACAAATTTGGATTGACTCGTTTGGAGAAATATTTTTTGTTTGGAAATTATTTGAAGTTAATAATGAAGTTAAAAATTGGTTTTGGTTATTTTGGTGATTATTTTTTGATAATTTTCTTTTAAAAAATAAATTTTTGTTGTTGGAATTTAAAGTTGAAGAAGAAGAAGTCTCTACAATATTCATCATTGGATATAATGTCAATCTTTTTTGACGGTGAGAGGGATAATGAAGAAGAAAAGGAGGAAGAAGAAATTGAGATTTGAATAATTCACTTTAAAAATATATAAATAAAATTAATTTTTTAATTTTTAATATGAAAATAAGGAAAATATTTTTCAAGGCTCTTGTAAAAATTGGCTTTAAAAATTGGAGTTCGAAATTTGAAAAATGCAGGATCCAGTTCCGGATTTTTAATTTTTTTCTATCCGGATTGGATTTTTCGAATAAAAATCCCAAAAATCCGGATCGGGATTCGGAGTAAAAAACCCCAGCTAATTTTAAAAGCCTGCTAGAAAATAAAATTATGGATCAGTCAAAAGCAGAAAATTAATATTTGTAAAATTAATTTTTGTATTTTTTTGTAAGAATTCTGAAATTCTAGAAAATTTTAGGAAATGAAAAAAAAATTCAGAAATTAATTTGACTTATTATTTTTAAAATAAGAGAGGAATACCAAATTTTTAAATTAATTATAATTTTTGGAGACACCTCAACTGAGTCCCGGACCCTATAACCTATGAAGGGTTGGTCTATTTATGTTCTTGGTACCAATGGATAGAGAATTAAATACGCACAATATACCAAAAAATCAAAATTGTTGACCGACTGTTAAAAAAGTAATGGTCGATAAAGTGCCGAAAAATCAGATTTTTTTTGAAGAAAGTTAGTTTATAGATTAAATAACTTTTAGAACAATTAATCCAAAATTTTGATTTTTTCCACCTCTTCTTGTGTTATATGGCCGGGACTCAGTCAAACTGCTCCGTAATTTTTTATAAAATAAAAGAAACTTACATAATTAAATTATTTTTATCAAAATCCTCAAATCTTCTTTCTTCTCCCTCAACATTATTAAAAATACAAACAAACAATAGCAAAAATAAAAGGCTTAAAAATGACGGTTTCATTTATAAATATTTAAATTGTTGTAGTAATTATTATCTAAATAAATGATTATTTTAAAACATTAAATGTGAGGTCATTTAATTTTTTTATAAATTAAAAAATTGTGAAAATAACATGTTTTGGCAATTAAAAATATATTTTTTATGAAAAATAATTTTAAAAAATAAATTTAACAAAGAAATATAAATGGAACTTTTAAGGGTTTTATTTTTTTTGAATTTGTCAAAATTCCTTTTTTTGAATACTTCTTAATAGATTAGTATTAAATGAGTTATATCAAGCTAGGAAAAAGATTTTTAGCAGCTTGTATACTTCCTAAATAGGATTGGGATTTATGAGTCGGGCAGACGTTTGAGTCATATTTTCGGGCCTCATTTTTATCGGACCGGCCCGACCGAGTCTTTTTCGGGCCAAAATTCGATGCCACCAACCCTAATATACTTAATGTTGACAGGCCTCAAGTATTGGATTTTTTTTGTCAAGTATTGAGATTTTATATAAATTATAAATCATATAAAAAATGTGAATTTATTTAAAAAAATTTTTTTGCTTCGGAATTTTAAGTATAAATTTTAAAATTTATATGTACATACTACATATACATATTTTGTTTTTATTATCAAAAAATAAAAAAAAATTATTTTAGAAAAAAATTTTTGGTACAAAAATTAAAAAAATAATTTTAAATAAAAATTAGTAGTGAATCTCTAAGAATTGTGAGAAAAAGATGGAAAACTAAATATCCATTAATAAAAGTGTGCCGACAAAAAATTATTAAAAAATCTTGTAATTTTCCTCTCCCCACCTTTTTGTGAGAGAAATAAATAAAGTATGGGTGGATATTTGTAAAAGGAAATTATTAAAAAAATTATTTTAATTTTTTTGAGAAATATTTAAAAATTTTATTAAAAAAATAAATTAAAATGAAAATAAAAATTAACTAAAAAACTATTTAATTTTAAAATATTATTTTATACTAGGGCAGCTCCCCGACGATTTTTTTGGCAAAACCCCGACCCAAACCACGAAGGTCTACCCCGGCAAACCCGATCCCCGACGATCCCAACCCTTAAGACTCGGGAAGCACCCTATTTATACTAACGAATAATATATAAATATAAGTTTTTATTTATAAATTTTTTATTTTTTAGTGTGCTAAAAACTGAATTTTGTGTTAAAAGCTTTTTTTGTTTAAGCTTTTCCCTTCTAGTATTGCAAAAAATTGTAGACTACAAATAGTTAATTAATTAAAAAATAATTTATTTTTTAATTTAATATTTGTGTTTTAAATCTTAGAATTTTTAATAAAAGAATTTTACAAATTTTAGCTAGCTTATAGAATATAATAAAAGTTTAGTTTTATTAATTAGAATGTTTTTTCTTTAATTTTAGTTCCTTTGTAAATAAAAATTAAAAAAATTTTTTTTCAAATTTAAATTCAGAAAACTTTTAAAAAATAAAGTTTTGTGGCAATATTCTAAAAATCCAAAAATTTTCTTTAAAAACTAAAAAAATGCTTGCACACTTTGCTATGGCATGAGAATTTCGATTTGGCATTAAATGTTTTATTTATTTAAAGAAATTTTTGTGTGTAATGATGTTATATTTAAAATATATTCCATTAAATACACAAAGTTTTCTGTTAAGTAACAAAATTTATTTATTATTTATTAAATACTAAAAATAAATAAAATAAAAGAGCTAGCTGATTTTTTCTTTTATTTTAAATGCTAAAAATTGAAAAAAGAGAGTTTATATTAAACAATTAATTAAAAATATTTTCTTATTTCAATTAATTGTGTTTTGAATTAAATAAACAATTAAAAAGCAGAAAAATAATATTTTTAAATAAAAATTAAAAATAGAAACTTAAAAAAAATTTTTTTGTAAAAATTTATTAAATTTGTGGTGGTTTAAGTTTTGGAAAATTTTAAAAATTGAAAAAATTATAATTACAAAATTATTAAGATTGGGCAATAAGTTTTGTTGGCATAGCATGTTTCTGGATGAATATTTGCTCAAACAAAGGATTCTTAAATTTCTTTTTTGATCCTAGTTCAGAAAAATCAGTGAAATTGAAATAAATTAAGTAATATTTTCTGAAAAGTTTATTTGACATATCCGACCATATCCTCTTTATCCGTGTATATCTCAGAAATTTACAACTTTTCTAAAAACACTGAAACATGTCAAAAGAGATACGAATTAAGCTTTCGAATGGTATATAGAACATGTACATATATCTATAAAATATTCATTTCAAAAACATGCCAAACCGACAAAACTTATTTCTCAATAAATTAAGGCCATTTAAAATTATTTACTACAAAAAATTTATTTAAGAATTATTTTGAAAAAAAATAAAATTTTTCATACATATAAATTAATTTAAAAATAAATATATTTTAACAAAAAATTTATATTTATTTTTCTAAATTTTTTACAAAAAAGTTAAAACTTCCTGAATAACAAATGTCGCAATTTATTTTCCCCAACTTTCCAAAAATGGGCATTTATTTGACAAGTAAATAAATAATGTACTTTAATAAATGTTATTTTTAGATTATATTTGTTTTTCATTAAAAAATATAAAAAAACATTTTAGATTTATTAAAAAAGTGGGGATTAATTAAAGATCTAAATAAATTTTGGATTGGGCCCAAATATAAATTTAGAAGAAAAGATTTCGTTGAATTCCTTTAAATAAATTAAAGGGAAAACTGTTTTGAGTAGGGTTGTTTCGGGGGGGGGGGGGCATCGGGGAAGGGGAAGGGGAAGGGGAATTTTCAAAAAAATCTCTCAAATCCCCAACTCTCAAACTCCCAATCTCTCAAATTCCCGAACCCTAGTTCTGAAATAATTTCAGAGTAAAAAAATTTTTTTTATTGTCCTTAATATTTTTTAAAGAAAATATAAGTAAAATTAGATTATCAAGCAAATTATTTTAATTAAATATATTTTGTGTATAATTGTGAAAAAGGCTAATTTTGAATTAAAAATTTTAAATTATTAAAAGCTAATGTTCTAGTTCAAAAAAGTTATAAATAAATATTTATTTATTTAGTTCCTTTTTAATATTCCAAGTGTTTCAAAAATGTACCGATTCTAATAAATTATTTAAAAATCCAAAATTGCTTACTTTAAAGTAACCCTAATGGCTGGAAAGTTTTTCTAAAGTTTTTGTAAATTATGAATATTTAAAATTAAAATAATTTGTAGTTTAGAATTAATTAAGAATGTAAAGTTTGTGGGGTTATTTAGGCGCTGTAGGCGTTGGGGGATGCTACGTCGCTCATTTATAAAATTATTAGTTGAAGGCCTAGAACTGTCAAATTTTGCTCAAATATTTCTAATAGTGTTAGCTAAAATTTCTATAAATTTCAGAATTTTTGGTCAGAAAATAAGGAAATTCTGATCGAAAAACTTGAGCACCTACAAACGATTTTGATGGTCTAGACTTTTCAGCCATAACTTTTGAAATAATTAACAAAAAATTCTGAAATTTTCAGAAACATTAGATAACACATTTAAAAATAACTCGACAAAATTTCATTAATTTTGCTTTTCTAATAAAAATTTTATAAACCCTGCGCCTTAATGACTACTGCGCAGAAACACCCAAAAAGGGAAAAGAATATTTAAATAAACACCTGTTTTTAATTTTAAATAAAGCAAACGGAAGTCTAAATTTAGTGTTTTTTTATATTACAACATAAGGTTTAAATAATAAATATATGAATTTTATTGCACCAATTAAAGCGACAAAAATGTAAAAAATTAAATGAGAGAATTTTTATTTGAAAAAATAAAAATTTAAATATTTTTATTACTTATAATTAAGAGAAGAAATATGGGAGAAAGTCGTTTTATATTAGAGAAAGTCGTTAATACTGAAGACTAGGGTTGTCGGATGGGTGTAAATCCTCGGATATCCGAACCCAACAACCTACTAGAGACTGCAGTTTTGTTATTCAAATTCTGTGTTTACTGAAATTTTTGGAAGCTTCATACTAATAGGTATGTGCTGCTTAGATGTCCGGAAATTTGGGCTCCAAAATTTTTCGGAAAGTTGGGCTTCAACTTTTCTGAATTTTGGGGTCTGGCGGAAATTTGGGTTCTAAGAAAAAAGTCAAATTATGCAGGAAAGGGAGATGAGTATGGAACAAAAATGAATTTTCGATTCTTTTAACACAAAACAAATATTTTGACAGTAATTTAATAATTGGAAAATAATTTTTGGGTATTTGGTGGTTATGTTAGAGCTACATAAGTTGGCCTTACGTTACATGCTCAAAAGTGGGATTAAGGTTAGCAGATCTTGGGAACTCTACGTATATCCCGAATCGGGATTCAAATCAAAAGTATTGGATAACCGGTTTAGAAAAGAAATTGTTATTAAGATAGGTAAAATAATTAAATTTTACAAATGAATTTAATTAACTTTAATGTATCACTTTAACAAATAAAATATGTACAAATATATATTCCTCAGTATCTTATTTAATTCGTTTTAATTTCTAGGCAATCCTCTTCGCCTCAATTCATCATGGAGAATACCGCAATAATTACCACTCCAACCCCTCATGCAAGTGTATCCTTTAGGACAGTCAATGCACTTCACTCCTCCATTTTTCATTTTATTACAACCTAAATTGAAAATGAAAATTAATAAATAATTTTAATTATTCATGGCAAAAAATAGCCCTAGCCCTGTTAATGGTTATGGTCAAATAATGACCTCTATTATGAATATGTATAAGTTTATAAGATTAAAACCAATGGATTTTTATTGCAGAAACTAAACAATAAGAATGAGAAAAAATTTAAAAATTCCTATACCTTTGAAGATGGCGAACAACCCTAATTTAAGAAATCCCGAGATTTAGAATCGAAATATGCTTACTGACTAATAAACTACTAGGCTTATATTGCTCTAAACTCATAGATAAGGTTTTCTGGTATTATCAAATTTAAGTAAACTTGTTAAAAAATTACATACATGCGCCTTTAACAAGATTAATACACGCAAAAGAAATAGTTAATATAAAGATGAGTTGAATAATCTTCTAAAAATTATTTAAAAAATAAAGCTTATATAAATAAAATTAGAATTTTATTGAATTTAATAACAGAATTAGTTAAGAAAAAAACTTAAAAACAGATGACAGAATTTGTTAACGTTAGAAAAATTTCTTTCCGCAAATGACTGTAATTTAAAATAATTTTGAAATAAAATATACCGTAGTTTTTCGATTAATTTCCCTCAAATAATTCCCCCTCTCGATTAATTCCCCATGCTAGAGTTGGGTTGAAACAATAATTCCCCACTCCCAAATATCCTACTGCTCGTTCAAATACCAAAACTCGAATAATTCCCCTCACTCGATTAATTCCCAATGCCAAGGAAGGGTTGAAAAAATAATTCCCCAGGGAAATTAATCGAGAAAATGCGGTATTCCTTACCATTTTTTTGTAAAAATTAAAAATAATTGTTAATATTTAAATATAAAATTTGTTTATAAAATCATTTCAATCAAAAATGTTTATATAAAGAATATTTTAGTTTTGTTTAACTAACATTAAAATGTGTACATAAATATTTAATAAATAAAAATGAGGAAGTATAAAAATAAATGAAGATTATAAAAAATATATTCAAGAAATAAAATTATATTTTATTGTTAGAATGAAAAATGTTTTAAAATTCATCAAAAATTTGTCAACATAGTAAAATCAAGAATTGATATGCTTACTAATTTTTTTATTATTAAAAATTAAAAACAATCTCAAATTCACAAGAAAATTTTTAAGGGAATAATAACTTGATTAAGGATTAAGGGAGATATCGGTGGAGCTGGAAAGAGGATAAAAGGGGATTTGGAGGATGGAGGGTTAAGGAAGCATGGGTGTATTTGGGCAGATATCGGTGGAGTAAGGGGAATGGATGGGTATAAGGAATTTGCTCGTATTAAACCCTCCTAAATACTTCTTAATCCATAAATATACCTACTTATCATAAATACCTCGACATGTTCCTTATTAAAAATATTACTGCTGTGGAAAAAATAAATTTGAAACTCAACTTAGGGAAAAAACAACGCAAGAAACACAAAAATATATTGATATCTTTCCAAATATGCCAAAAATCCTTCAGAATTATGGGTCGGCGTTTACATGGAGACAATAGCAATGTTTTGTTAACAAAACAAAGGTATTTCGTAATTAAGCAAAACCATTAAAAAAGTGTTTAGTAAATAATATTATTAATTTTACAAGTTTTTAGTTACTATTTATCAATACAATTGACAAACCTTTTATAATTTTAAAATTAAATATAAAACTTATTAATATTAAATATACAAATTATTAATATTGTTGAATTCAAACCAGAGCTGCGTCGAAACAAAAAAATTTTCGAAAATCGAAAATTGAAAGAAATCCAAAAATATCGAAATTAAAAATCGAAATTATATTAAAAAATTCGAAAATCGAGAATCGAAAGAAAAAAACGTCAAGAATCGAAATTTTTTTAAAAATAAATAAAAAATATTAAACAAGGGATGGGCCGGGTTGAGAAAAAAGTTGGGTTCGGGTTAGTAAAATTTGAACATGAAGCCAGATTTTTTGGAGATGATGGGGCATATCAGATATTTGGGGGGGGGGGGGGGGACCTGAAATTTACTGATATTATTATAACAACTGATGACTTTCCAAATCCACGATTATCCTATATCGGGTGATATATCCAGATTTGGGGAGATATATCGAGCGATATATCCATGTATTCGGGTTATATATCTAGCCTATATCAACCGAATCCCTCCAAATCCCTGAAAAATAAATGAAATTCCGTTATATAGCTTAATGCGCCGAAGCCAAAATTGTTTTCATCCGCGCCACAGGCGAAAATTTTGGAAGGCCAAAAAGCCAGATTTCTTCCTGTTTCAACGCTGCAGGTGAAAATTTTGAGAAAATTGGAAGGCAAAGGAGACAGACTTCGTCCATTTTCAGCGCTGCAGGCGTTTGTATGATCCTTAGGCTAAAACTTCCTGTTTCAGCGTCGCATGCAAAAATTTTAAGAAGGTTTGATGGCCAATAAGCCAGATTTCTTCTTTTTGGCGCCGCAGGATTAAAATATTAAGAGAAAAGATGCTGCAATTTTGCAAAAAAACGAAAATCAAAAAATTAAAATTATCGAAAATCGAAATTTTATGGAAAATTCGAAAATCGGAAATAGAAAATCGAAAGAAAAAAACGTCGGAAATCGAAATTTCGGTGCAGCTCTGATTCAAACAAAGGTAAGTTGTCTTTCTTTCCCTCGAGGTAAGGAAAGAGTCGATAAGCTCGTGACAAATTATAGAGAGGAGAGTAAAGAATAGCTCGTGGCAATCATAAGGAGCAGAGAGACGACAAGCTTGTAAGAAATACGACAAGTTTGTAAGAAAAAAAGCTTGCAAAAATCAAGAAGAGGAGAGATTCTGGAAGTGGAACCGTGGAACTGATAAATGTCGTCTGGATTTGGAACCGGAACCGTGGAATCGGTTAAGGGCCGGAACCGGTTTAGAACCGGTTCCAAAGATACAAAGATCGAGTCGGACCTATGATATTTGGCCTGAAAAAGACTCGTACGGCTCGACAAAGTACCTTTCATAAGGATGTGTGATTGACAGGATAGTATTAGGTTCGAACATGAACTTAATAAATTAATAAATCATTGTTTTTCTTTCGAAAATAAATTATTATAAACTTATTTTTTAACAAAAAAGTTTGTCATATTTTTATATAAATGAATTCTTTGTGAAAGACTTTCAAATTTTTAAAATTTTCGCCTGCGGCGCAAAAAAGGATTTTGCAACTTTTTCTGGATTAACACTGTCCGAAAAAAATCTGGAAATCGCGAAAAAACCCGGATTTGGATCCGGACACCAGAAAAATAGAATGATTAAGAGAATATCAACATTTATTTAAATAGATATTGAGGGATTAAGAGGGATAACGGGTAAATTGGATGGATAGCAACGGATTTGGGGGGATTTTGGGATTAAGAGGGATATAGGGGTGTTTGGGATGGATATTGAGGGATTAAGAGACATTGAGGGATTAAGAGACATTGAGGATTAAGAAAATGTCTCTTAATCTCTTAATTGAGGGATTAAGAGACATATCCCTTCATTGCCTCTCAATCTCGCCAAATCTCCTTATTTTCCCCTTTATTCTTGCAAAATTCAGTCTATTTTAAATTGTATCCTTGGGCATCTAATTGCTTATACAACAATTAGATGCCCAGCGATCTGCCTCTAATAAACGCACGCCATCTTAATTTCCGAGTTATAAAATGCTTTGCAATTTCTCCATAGTCAGTCTATTTTAAATTGTATCCTTTAATTTATAATCGCTTAATTGCTTGCATTTTTATTCTTTTTCGACTGTTATTTAAAACAAAGCAATAATTTATATTATTCTAAGAGGTCTTTAAGTAATTTAAAAAGTTATTTATTATTAAAAGTTTTAAACTAAGAGAACTAAGAGAAAATAAAAACATAATTTTATTATAACTTTAGATGCGGCAGAAAAAATCATTTCTGCTATTCTTATTTTACAATTGTCTGATCCAAACTGCTTTTTCCGCAAGTCTAGGTGGTTCGGGTCGAAAAACTCTCATTTCAAGACACGGCTCTGAAGAGTCGGCATATGTTCAGAAGTTGGTTGGTAAAACACAATATTTTATGCCGAAGGTTATTGACGGTGATGTTTATTGCAAAAAAGGAGATTTTGTTGAAATAAAGGGTGATGAAAATCTTGAAACATCAAAGAAAAAAGGATGTAAATACATTACATCAAAAGATATAACTGTTGTGAAATTATTGGAATATTTTTATTTGAAAATTGATAAAATTGAAGGAATGAGAGGAAAACTTGAACAAGTAGAATTTGAAAATGATAAATGCAATATTGGCTTTCCTTTGCCAAAAAATATTTTTGGAAGAGCATTTCTGCTCGACAACGCTTTGTCTTTTTCTGGAGATGAATTGGAAAAGTTGGTTCATGGCGAAGAGAAAATGGTTTATGATAAATTATTGAAGGAAGATGAAGAGAATGACGATGAGGATGATAACAAAGAAGAAGAGAATAATGATGAAGAAGAAGAGGGAGAGGGAGATGTTCGTTTGAGTACACATATCTTGCTAGAGGCGATTTACAAGGGCAGTGAAGCATTCACAAAAAATTCTATTTTGAATTTTGAAAAAGTCCCAGAAATGGAATATAAATACGAAATTCAAAAACAGAAGAAATTTAAAAATACATCAAAAAGGATTTCTCAGAAAATACATAAAATATTGAAAAATATGATTGAGAGGATGGAGAAAAAAATTGGTAAAGAAAATGATACTGGAAGCCAAACATCCTCTCAGAAGGAAGAAGCATCAACAGGGGAACATGGTGATTTTGATAAAGAAATGTCAGAGCTTAAAAAATTGAAAGATGACAAGTTAACAATTGATAAAAAATTAAAATTAGAAATTTATGAAAAGAAAGAAGAAATTGAAAAGAAAATGATAGGAATTCTGAACGGATATAAAACAGTTGAAGAAAAGAAAGGACAGATAGGTAGATGGAAGGTAATTGTTGATAATTGGGAAAAAAATGCGAGAAAATCCTTTGAAAAGAAAATAGAAATAAAAAAAGATAAAGAAGGTCACAAGAATTTGCTTGAATATAAACCGCGTGTATTTGAATTTCTTAAGGTAAATAAATAATTTTTAGCTAAATAATCCTTATCACACCTAAAAGTTGACTGAATATTTCCTTACAAATGACCTTACAATTGGTTCTGTCTACTGCTTGGAAGCTCGTACTAAAATTCGTACTCGTACTTAGGTACGAAATACGAGAGTAAATAGGCTGGTACGAAGTACGAGGTACAAGGTGGTTATTTCTGTGGATTGGTGATCAATGTTTTGATAAATTTATACTAAATATTTTTGTATATACTAAGTATTATATATACTAAGTATTTTTGTTTTTTTTTCACAATTATAAAATCTAAATTAATTAAAATAAAAATTTAGGAAACAACTTTCGGAGTGAGTATTAAACCATCAAACAAACGTTTTAAAAATATTGAAGGGGAAGAATACGAGGAGTTGATAGAATTTTTCAAAAATCCTCAAGAATTTCTTAATTTGGGTCCCGAAGAAAATGAAACAGCAAACAACGATCCCTCGGAAAATTCTGAAAATAAATGGAAAAAGAAATTGAGTGAAAAATTGTTGAGATTTATATTTAATGAAATGGAAAAAATAAAGGGAGATAGTGAAGGCAAGGAAGTTGATGAAGGGAAGATTCAGACAAAGGATATTATTGAAGTATTAAATGAAGAATTTAAATGGTTAAATTTGGGGTTTAAACGCAAAATAAAAGAAAAGTTTCAGAAGAAAGGAAAGGTTGAAGATAATAGAAAGTTTGTTGCTGAACATTTTAAAATCTTGAAAAAAGAGTTCACAGACATTGACAATGGTATTGGAAATTGTAAGGTGTTAAAAGATTCGATACTACAAGTGTTACGTTATACTGATGAAAGTGACACTATACATCAGGAATTCCGTGGAAGGTCTGTCTTCTAATTTGAATTGATATGTAGATTTTTTAGGACATTACCTTAAATACCGTATTTTCTCTAAAATAAGCCCCCCTCCAAAATAAGCCCCCCCCCCCTCTAAAATAAGCCCCCCTCCAAAATAAGCCCCCCCCCCTCTAAAATAAGCCCCCTCTAGAGGTCGATCGAAAAAAATAAGCCCCCCTCTAAAATAAGCCCCCTCCTAAAATCTCCTAAAATAAGCCCCCTCCCCCATAAAATTTTTAATTGTTGATTAATTGTTGTGTCCCCTCAGTTGAGTCACAATGGAGGGATATAGAAGGATTAGAAGTGATTAAGAGAGTATTTGGAAGATTAAAATTAGAATATAAAGGGATCAACTTAGATATCGAGGGATTTGACCTCTAAATCCCATTGAATCATTGATAACGTTTTAACTTCTGCAAATGCTAAGATATCCCGCTTTATCAACCGGCATCTCTTAATCCTTCAAATCACTTGATTTTTAAAAAGTTTATCCTTTTTCTTAATCCTTTTTAATCGTAATAGACTATAGAGACTTAATGGGATATATACAAGGGAGATAATAATCTAATACATTTTTAAACTATCTCCAACTTAAAAGCATATCTAAGATGAAAGATCAATTGACTGAGTACTTTATGAGTTTTTGGACATTGATTTTTCGTGAACAGACTTAGTATGGGATGAATTTTATTGAATTTTAGAAAAATATTTTCTAAATTTTTGGTAAAAAATTTTAGTTTTTGGAAAATTTAGACATTGAAAAAAAATAAGCCCCCCCTCCAAAATAAGCCCCCCCTCTAAAATAAGCCCCCTCTGGAGGTCGATCGAAAAAAATAAGCCCCGGGGTTTATTTTAGAGAAAATACGGTATATGTAATTTCTAAAATTTTCAGAATAATATCACAAATTTATACGAATAAGAATTTTGGGATCCAACCCCAGACTTTAAGAAACATATTAACTAAAGACCTTTGTAATGGTCTATACAGCTTCCCCATGGATATAAAATTTAATGAATTTTCTGCAAACAAAATAATAATTATTATTTTATTTTTATTGTCCCTCATAACTTTTTACTTAATAAATAAATAATTAATCACAAAATAATTAATTACAGAATGGGAGCACAAATACTCGGATCTGTCTATAACGCCAAAGAATTAATTAAAGACTTTTGGAATGCCTTGTTAATAAGTCTGAGTGGTTCGGGATTAATTTCAGCAGTTCTTGATATTGGTGTTTGGCCGGGAATAATTTTATTAATTTCGCTGACTGGATGTATTCCTTGTGCTCATGCTGTGGGAGTCTTCCTCTACATGATGACACCCCGCGCATCAGAAACTTTTGATTCACTCGTTATAAAACGTTTATTAGTTTCATTCGATGGTGGAAGTTTTTGGCCAAGTTCTAAGGCTATTTTTGATGAAAATATGAGCGATGCAGTCGCTGCAGGAAAAATAGCCGCTGGCGGATCTCTTTTTAACAACTTACTGGCAATGGAAGAGATTAGTAAATCGTTTCCGGAAAATGCTCAATGGACTTCAATACTCCCTGCTTTTCCGGCAAATCTTGTATGAAAAGAATTATTTAGAAATTATTTTTTAAATAAAATAAACTCCAAAATATTCTCTTAATTTCAGGTAGCAACAGCTACATCTGGTCCAATGGTACCTCTAGAATTCAACGAATGGCGTGATCATCAACGTTCGGCCCTATATAAATTATACGATCAAGGATTTCTTCCAAAACCAGATGGTGATAAAATTGTTTTGGAATGGAGAATTTCTGAAAAGAAACCAAAAAATTGGAAGCGTATTTTTACTCCGAAAACTCAAAAAACATCTTCAATAATTACAAACAAGGAAAGAGATATTGCATTCCGAGAATACATCAAATCAAAAATTGAAGCATCTATGGATATACAAAAAACTTCTGCAATGGCCATTAATTCAATGGGAATCGGTGCTTTGATAAGCTCATTTGTATTATTCGCCTTATATTTTCCTTCTCTGTTTGGAGTAAAAATTCCGGAAGTTCTTGAAAAAATCATTATAATTGTGGTTAATACACCAACAGAGATTATTTCTTTTATTGCTGGAACTTTTTCAGCAAATAATTTCGGAGCGGAATTAATAGAAAAGTGGTGGAGTACAGACGATATGAAAAATAAACAAATGGTAAGTACAATTTACCGTATTTGCTAAAATAATTACCCAGGGTAATTATTGTTTCAACCTCTCGCTGGAGGGGGTAATTATTTGAGCTTTTTTAAAAAGGCTAATTATAACTATCTTTAGGAGGGGTAATTATTTTTTCAAGCTCTCGCTGGAGAGGTAATTAATAGGGAGGGGGTAATTATTTGAGAGAGAGACATTATTTCAGCAAATACGGTAAAAGGATTTCGTATCAAATAAATTGATATACTTATACTTGAAGATTAAGAATACCGTATGACAATAGGGCCAAATAAAATGACCCAAATATATTTTTAACAAAATTTCCTAGTTACAAATTTTTAATTCTAGGTTCGACTTATCATTGATCGAACAATAGAACAAATGAAAACCCCTCATGAGGGGATCCGAGAAATCAAACAAGAAGAAGTTTATAAAATATATCATACAAAAATGCAAAAATTAACCTATAAATATGGAAAAAACGTTACAAAATTTATGATCGTGGTTTATAAATCCGTTACAAAAACCTGGAATAAAATGTGGGGAAAACCCATTCCAGAATCATTATTTAAAAAAATAAATATTGGAAAATTGTCATTACCATTTTATAAAGGTTTGGAATTAAAAAAAGGGAAAAACAAAAATAATTTTTAATTTAAGAAAATGAAGTAAAGGAAGATTTGACATTCAATTTATCCTACTTAGAGGATGACCTTTTGAAGGATATACCGAATATGACTGGATATGATGAAGAAAAGTTTAGCAAATTCATCAATGAAATTTGTAAATAATATTTAAAATATTTGCTCAAATAAGAAGAAACAATTAAGATTATCTAATAATAGTAGGTAGTGGGATAGTTTAGCAGTCAAATAGGAGAGCTGGAAGTTCTTACCAACATTTATACTCCTCATAACTTGATACAAGATATCTGGTTGAATCGGCCTATTTCCCTATTAATTTTCACTTTTAGCACCATACCATGAGAAGCACAAATTGAGTTTAACGGAAAGTCATCATTATATGACTATTGTCTCCAACTGGAACAATACTGGCAATCTTGATTTCGAAAGCGTCAAAGATAATGAATTAATAAATAAAAGTGTAGTCGAGGCGTTAAATTTTGTAAAATTTTAAATAATAAATTAAAAACAGTACATATAATAATGTTAATTATGAGTATACTTTGATAGAATAATTTTTACTGATTAGGATTGGGATATTGAATTTGGATTTAAGATGAGAGATCTAGGACTTTTAATATGGCTAAGAGGCCCAAATTAGGATCCAGAAAATTTGCAAATAAAAAGTCCCTCACAATAATCAAAAGTTGATTTTTTATAAAGCTTGTGGAGGTAGAGATTCTGGAGAGATTTCTGTTATAAAAATTTTTTTTACAAATTTTTTGTAAAATTTAAATGTTTATTTATTAGAATAACTATCTTAACATTAAAAAAATAATTGAGATTAATAATAAGTTTATTCCTGATATTTTTTATTTTAAACAAATAATTTTATTGTTACTTAAAATCATTTATTTATTTTATAATTTGTTTTTAGTTAGAGAGAAACAAAAATATAAAAAGTTTAAACAAAGCTTTAAACAATTTTGAGACGAACATTGAATTAAAAAGTAAAATTTTAAAATGTGGTTTGTACGGGAAAATTTTACATTTTGCCGCTTTGGAGATTGATAATGAGGATAAAATAGAAAAATCTGGGTTACTTGAAGATGAGAAATTAAATGAAATAAAGGATGAAATCACAAAAGATATAGATAATTATTTAATACAAAACGAAGGAATTTTTGTTAAAAAAGAAGGATTTTCGAAAATATTTTCAAGCAAAAATGGGGAAAATGAAAAAAATAAACGTGAAAATTTGAAAAAGATAAACCTCAAATATAAACTGAGAAAATTATTTTTGCTGAGATTGAAAATAAAATTGGCAGAATTGAAAGGACACCCAATGGAATTGGCAGTATTGAAAAAAGAAACAGTTGAGGGAACTGGTTTGAAATTTTATAAATTAAAAAAATTATTTTAATAGGATTATTTTTTTATTAAAATTTTAATTTTTTAAAGGAAAAGTTTCTTTGTATGAAATAATCGGAAAATTAAAAACATTGGGTATTCATGGAAATGCCCCAGAGTTTCTAGCCAAAATAATTCACAAAATTGAGTCTAAATGTGAATTTAAAGAGACAGCAAAAAGTTTAATTAAATCTCTTCTTCCAATCAAAAATGAAAACAAAAATGAAGGAGAAACAGAGAAAATAGAAAATAATTTAAGAAAACAAACTGATATCGTTAAAAAAGATTTTGAAGAAAAATTAGTTGAAGAAATGAAAAAAACTTTGACAAAAGATGATGAATTTAAAAGAAAAACTTGGGAAAGACTTATGGATTTGGCTACTAAGCGTTTAAATTTAAAAAAATATTTGACGAGAATGGCTAAGAAAACCAAAGATTTTGTACAAATTTTGGACAAAAATAAGAAAAAATTGGATAAACAAAAACTAGTTTTAAATGATGTTAAAAAAAAGAAGAGTTTAGAAATAAGGTAAGAATAAATTTTAGATAATTTGTGGATAAATTAAAAATATTATTAGAATTTTAAACATTTTTTTCTAATACCCTTTCATAAATAAATGTATTAGGTATAGTATGTTTATCAGTTTATTATCTATAATGAACTGAGGTTGATGTTTTCTCAAATAAACATTATTTTCTTTTAAATTTTGAAAATTTAAATTTTCTAATTTAAAAACAAATTAATTTCAATTCTATCCTCTCTCAATTAATTACCCCCACCAGCGAGAGATTGAAAAAATAATTAATCAGTAATTGTTTGATCATATAGTCTAGATAGGTAGATTAAATTTCGAATTTAAGATGGGCTTCTAATAGAGGCGTACTTCAATTAGAGTTAATTTGTAAATATTCTTTTTTTTAATAATTTAGGTGGACAATGAAAATGTGGCTTACAAAAAGCGTATGATCAGAAAATTCGAATTCCTTAAAAAAAATTGGGAAGAAATTGTTGAGAAAATTAAAGAAATTCCAACAAATGCCAAAGAAACTTTAAAAGAAAATGGCCATTCATTCATTGGTTATTGTTTGGCAAAACGCTTCCAATTTGTTTTTAACGATGAAGGACAGGCAAAAACAAAGTTTTATAAAGATAACAATTCATATCTTTTGAAATATGCGACAGAAATTAATGGAATATTGGGTCCAAGAAGAGTAAACTTGGAATATTACAAAGAACTTGAAAATAAATTCAAAGAAAATATTCGAAAATTAAAAACAAACAACCAAAAGGAGGCAGGAACCTCCACTGAGACAGAAAAGTTGGGTAAAATGATAGATTTAATTTTGAATGATTATTGGGGGAATATATGTGCCATTGACAGAGATAATGTTCAATTTGAAAAAGCAGATGAATGGGCACTACAAACAGGTAATATGATAAAATGTTATAGATTATTTTTAATAATAATTTGATTTATTTAAATGTAATTCTCGGTACTTTTACGTTATACAAGTACCGTAAAATTCCTTGACTGTACTTTAGGTAGTGGCGGATTCCGAAGTCTTTCGATTCTTTAGGTTTGTTCATCAGTCTAAGTTAAATTGTACCACTCATTATGATCGAAAATGCCTGGAGATTGAGACAAAGTTCCCCGAAATCCTAAATTATAGCTAAAGATGTGCGAGCATATAACGAAAAGTACCAAATTCTCATTAAATACTTTATATTTGTTATCCTCGTTTACTGATTTTCCGAAGAAATTAGAAATATAAATTTTTAAAATTTATTATTTCACACAGTCAATACAATACTCAATGACAATTTCAATCTTGTTGATCTGAAGTTCGCTGATATTGATCCTAATGACTTTAATCATTTGAACAAAGCAAGCAACGAATGGGCAAACTTCAAAAATGGAGCTTGTAAGAAATAAATTATATTTTTATTTTATTTTTAAAATTTTAAATTAAGTGGAACGTTTCAATTTACATAAATTAACATTTACTGAGGCACATATAATAATTGCCTCCTTTCATAAAAATTTGACTGATCATCTAGCAGCAAGTGATATAACATCAATAATCCAAAAAGAAATTCAAAAAAATATTTATTGGCAATTGAAAGAAGAAATTGAAAAAGTTTGTGTAAAATATATTTTTAATTAAATTTATTTTTTAAGTTAAAAACAAATAAAAATGGGCAACAAGAATTAATTGTCGAAAAAGAATTGTCTCGTGTTGAAACTTCAATCGAATTAAAAGAAAAATTAAAAGCATGTGGATTGTCTGTTTATGTATTGAAATTTGTTTTGAATGAAAATCAAGGCGAAGAAAGAAATTGTTTAAAATCAATTACTCGATTCTTGTCAAAAAAGAAGAAAGAATTGTCTGAAAACATGAAAAAATATTTGGAAAATTTTAAAAATAAATGTGGAGAAGAAATTAAAGAAAATAAAGAATTGAAAGAATTGAATAAACTTGTTGAGGATAATACAAAATTAAATGAAGTTAAAAATAATTTAATTATTGAAATTAACAAATTTGAAAATAAATTGAATGAAAAAATTAAAAAATTGGAGAAAAAAAATTTAAAAAGAGAATTTAAAAAGAATGAAGATTTGGAAGAAAAATTAGAGACGGAAACAAAAGAATATATTGGCAGATTAAAGGAGAAATTGGCCTTTTTAGTTGGAAATTATGAGAAATTAATAGACAAAGATTCGGTTTGTTTAATTTAAAATTTTGAATAAATTTATTCAAAAAATGAAAATAAAATATTTAATTTAATTTTAGACTTCACAAAGTAATGGACAAATAAATACTTCAAGTTTATCAGCAATTATTTATTGTTTGGCAAATAAATTTTTGGAAATGTTTAATGAAGATGGAGTTGTTAATATGGATATTTTATTACAAAATATTTCAAATACAAATTTGATAGAATATGGAATGGAAATGAATGAAAAATTGGGAAAGAAAAGAGTTGATAAAATGTAAATAAATATACATATACAGTTAATGTCCTAATAGAAACCCTCGGATTATATTTTTCGATGGGTCCCATTAATTTGGAATGGGTTCTACTTTAGAAATAGAATGAAAACCCGGATTTGTAAAAAATAACCGGTTTTCGAGATTGAATAAGTAAGGACTGGGTTATAATTCTGAATAAATTATTTAAACTAGGGTTCAGCGGGATCGGGATTCCGAAAATATACTTGTATATTATTAAATTTCGGATTAACTTACTTAATTGAAAATAAATTAATATTTTTAAAGGTATTATCAACAAATTCTCAAAATGATTGGAGAAAATAGTAATGTTGAATTAAAAAAATTAAAAGAGAATTGGAGTAATTATTGTTACATTGACAAACAAAATGTTGAATTTGAAAGGCCCGAGGAATGGGCACTTCAATATAGTAAATAATTTTTGAATAATTTAATTATTTAAATTAAATTAAAGAAAATGAAATTGGTTTACAAGAGGATGGTTTTCGTTTGGCATATTTGGGAGAGGGTAATGATGCCCTATTGTTAGCAATTAATGATAGAGAGAATGGATTAACAACAAAACAAAAGGAGGAAATATTTAAAGAAATATGTAAATTTAATTGAAATATATTTCTTTTTTTTTAATTTATTTTTTAGTAAGCAATTTCCATCTTCACAAAGTCACTTTCTTAGAAGCTCATAAAATGCTTGGTTTATCCAACTCTACAACGAAAACACCATCTGAAATAGCAGAAACGTCTTCATCCCAAAAAGAAAATGAAACATACAAAAAAATTAAATTTGAAATGAGAAAGGTTTTTAATTTTCGGAAAAAGAATCCGCAAAATTTCCTAACTTTTGTCCTTGCCTAAGAATTTTAAATAGATTCGGACTTGGGACATCATTTATCCGATAAATAATAAATTATTTTTTCTTGTGGTTCTAAAAATTTGTGGTTCTAAGGATACTTTTCAGGTTCCAAGAGGATAAATTTTATCCTCTTGGAACCTGAAAAGTACCCTTAGAACCACAAAAATGTTTTCTGGTCAAATTTAGAAAATCGAATAAAAAAGCATGTGAAGAAGGGTCCGACCGGCTGTACTATACTATAGGTCCACCGAGATCGGAACTCATAGTATATACCATTCGATTCGTCTCGCCGAGCTGAGTCCAAATATGCAAGAATTTTCTGCGGGAGACGAAAACTCGCTGAGATATAGGCCCTCGAAAATCGAAAAAACAAAGGGGGGACCAAGCTGATTTTTGGAGTCAAAAATTCGAATAGGCGAATTATACCTCATTCGAAAGAGCTCGTCGAGCTGAGTCGAATGACACCAAAATTAACGAAATCAGGCTTGATTTGACAAAGTTATGACCGTTTGTTTTTACCCCTCCCATAAGGCCTCCGCGGAAAAAAGTTTTTGCCGCTGCGGAGGAAGCCGGGCATGTCGAGCGGAACGACGGCCGCAGCTTCGCTACGGTCGCCGCGAGCGCAGCGAGCACGACCGCAGCGAAGCACGGCCATCGTGTAGCGAAGACCATGCCCGGCCTACCCTCCGTAGCAGCACAAAAACAGTTTTTCCAGCGAAGATTCTATTGGTCATAACTTTGTTCACATTGATCCAATCGAGCTGATTTTGGTGTCATTCAACTCAGCTCGTCGAGCCCTTTCGAATGAGGGGTCATTTGCATGTTCGAATTTTTTGACCCCAGAAATTACCAAATTTTGGGGGTCTGTAACTCGGCTATATAAGGTCGGATTTCGTTGATTTTGGTGTCATTCGACTCAGCTCGACGAGCTCTTTCGAATGAGATAATTTTCATATTCGAATTTTTTACCCCTAAATTGAGCTTACTCCCCCCTATGGTTTTTCGATTTTCGAGGGCCTGTATCTCTGCGAGTTTTCGCGTCCCGCAGAAAATTCTTGCATATTTGAACTCAGCTCGGCGAGACGAATCGAATGGTATATACTATGAGTTCCGATCTCGGTGGACCTATACTATAGCGACCCCGTCCGACCATAATATTTAGAAAATTCTTTACGCAGTAAAATTTTTAAAAATTATTTATTTCAAACAAATTTAGATACGAAAAATCTTCAAAATTCAAAAAGGAACTAAAAAAGAAAATGAAGAAGTTATGGAAGAAATTAAAAATGAAGAGGACGAAGACGAGAAAGCTTTAAATGTTTTAAATAAACAATTAACTAATTTAAAGAGTGTCAATTCTCAATTCTTCCAACAATTTGAAGGAAATATTAAATTAAAAACAGAATGGCAAAAATGTTTAAATTATGTTATACTTTTGAAAATATTTGTAAAAAATAAATTGAAAATGGAGGAGATTAAAAAGATAATTTCTGAAAAATTGGAAAAGGAGTGCAAATTAAATGTCGAAAAAGTGGATAAAGAAATTGAAAAATTATATAAAAAAATTAGAGAATTATTTGTTAAAGAGAAGAATGTTGTAACTGCTAAAGAATTAAAAAATTTAGAAAATAATTTAAACAAATTATTTAAAGAATTCAAAAAAATTATTGGCCAAATTGAAAATAAAAATCAATTAATGGAGTATTTTGGAGAATTGAAAAGTATTGAGAAAAAATTTGAAGAAGAGGGACGTCGAGATGAAATTATTGAAAAAATGAATAATTTAGTGAATGGAGAAAATATTGAAGATTTTGATGAACGTTTAAAAAATAAATATGAATTTTTGGTGAAAAATTGGAAAAAATTGTTTTTTTCCACCAAAATACAAAATGCTGAAAAAAATAAAAATATTTCTAGCAAAGAAATACAAACGAAAGAAATTGTTGAAGAACCGGAAAATATTTTTTATAAACAAATATTACCTGAAAGTGACGGAATTAAAAATTATTTTAAAGATTCTGGTCCCCTTTTTGTTAAATATTGTTTAACTAAAAGAATTGAAAATTCATTCAATAAAGATGGAACTGTGAAATTTTCTGATTTTTTGAGTAATGGTGTTGGACAGGAATATGGATGGGAATTGAATGAAATTTTGGGGCAAAGACGTATTGATATTGGGTAAATTAATTAATTAAATTTTATTTAATATATAGTGGATTCCTTCTAATAAGTCGCCATAACTACACATCACTTTCGTATTAGTTAGTGTATTTCGCTTAATATATTTAATTTTATTTTTAATAATTACATAATTAAACTTTTATCACTCTTTAGACAATACGAGAATATACAAAAACAAATTAAAGAAGAATTAGAAAATGTGTGTATAAACGTGGAGGAAGTAAATCTGAAAAATGATTGTGAATTATTTTTGGAACACGAATTACAATCTTGGCATTCTTTTTGTTCTATCGATACAAAACATTTACGTTTTGAACGTTTTGAGGAAATGAATGTTGTTACTAATGGTTATCAACACAAAAAAGATGAGGAAAACAAAGATTCTTTTGAGAAAGCAACTTTTGAAGTATCTGGAGAAGTTAGTAAATTCGAGGGAGAAATTGTAGGTGCTATAAAGGAAACAACTTTTGTTGAATTCAAAGGAGAAATTGAAGAATTGGGACGTTGAGAAGAGAAGAAAGAGTATAAAAAAGAATGTAATTATTACTAGTAGTATTTGGAAAAATTTTTTCCAAACGGTAAAAAAATTTGGGGAAAAAGTTAGTTTAATGACGGATACTAAACCTTTTAACCGTAACCATCCCTTTTTAAATTTATTTATTTGGTATTATTTTTAATTTTATTTATTTTTAAATTCCTCATTTATTGGTATAGGTTGTCGTTATTGAAATAATCTAGTACTAAAGTAATTTTCAGAATAGATCATTTAAGTACCTTTTTTTTAATCTAAAGAGAATCCTTTATATCCAAAAATACGACAACCTTTGTTTAAAAGTAGCAAATCGAGAATGTAATTTTCATTCACATTAGGTTTTCGAATTGTTTCGGGCCGGGGTTCGGGTCGGGGGAGGGAGCAAAATATGGTTAGGGCAGGGAGGTTTAATGGAAAATTTTTTTAAAGAAATAATGCTCTAAAAATAAGCCGTTTTTGGTCTATTTTGAATAATTTTAGATTATTCCACAAAATTTAAATTTTATTTAACAATTGTGTTAAGTTAATTAAATAAAAAAGATATATAATTTGTCAGTACATTTTACCGACATCCAAAAATACTAAAACAAATCTCAACTTCTCTAAAACCGAAAAAATAGTGAAACTATCATTTAAAAAGTAAAATAAAATAAAAAACATCATATAGAGTAAATATGTGTAGAAGGAAATTCAAAATACCTTTGTTAAATAATAATTTAATTTAGTGATCGAATCATTTTATTAAATTTAAAATACAAATCAACAATTTTAAAATTATTCTTAATTTTTCAGGTTATGAATGCTATCCGAGTAGTTGGGTAAGTTCAAAAATAATTTTCTTGCAAATTCTCCTTCAAAATTTTTAAAATATTGAAGATATGCTTTGCGAGATATGTATAACGATAAATGTCAATCAACAATTTTAAAACAAAATAAATTAAAAACAAATATAAACATTTCCTTTCCCTCATCTAATGCTGCTTTATTTAATGCTCATTTTGGTTTACCTTGTCCAGAAATGGAAACAATTAATGGAACTTTGTTATTTAGGTATTTAATTTAATAAAAATATTTTTAATTTAAAATAAAGATATATGATGAATGTTAGTTTTGAAGATGAATTTCAACAAGAAATATCGTTTGATGAGAGTGGAGATCCGCCTGCTTGGTTTGTAATTTTATTAGAAATTTGGGTGGATAATGAATGGCATTCACATATTTTGCATTCATGTTGAATAGTTTTTGGGCACACAGATCATGACAATAAGTAAAGATTAGGCCACTTTATGCTTGATACATACATATCTATTGTAACTCCATAATATCGTGTCACGGCCCTCCCATTTACCTGTTTTTGTAATTCATATAATATTTCACTCATATTTTCCATCTTACATCAAAAAAATTCTTTTTGTTTAAGGTATGATATTCTCAACTATGTTGGTTATGATGGTTTTCGAAAGGCCGGAGATTGGAAAAAAGGTAAAATATAAACGTATTTTAAAAATTAAAACAAAATCTAATTTCTAGGAGTTGCTGGAACTTTTAAAGAAGAAATGGGTGCTGGCTTTAAAAGTTCTGTTGCACATAAATTAAAAATGAAAAATAGAGAATTAATGTTTTATGATAAAACTTCAAAAATGCCTGAGTTTGTCTGAAAAATAATTAAAATTATTTCTTAAAAATTATTTTTGTTCAGGTCAGTATGTAGTAAACCTTGTAGACTTGGACAGAGAAGAAGGTAAAAAATACTTTATTTATTTATTAAAAAGCAGGCTAATTTTAAAATTGAAAGAATATTAAAAAATTTCTGGCTATAAAAAATAATATGGAAATTATTACTTACTCTTATTGAAGCATAGTATCGAAAAATTATTTGCCAGTATTAAACTGGAATTTGCAAAGCCTCAAAAAAATTTTTAAAGTAAATAATTTTATATATGTATAAATTAAAGACAGACAACAGCTTGTTGCTGGATTTGTGAATCTTGTGCTGAAGGCGAAATTGTTAGAAATAATCTTTGTCAAAAATGTCCTTTCGGGGAATGGCCTGATTCCGAGAACCGGACGAGTAATGATAAACTTATTTTAATTAAATTTAATTCAAAACAGTTTGTCTTCGTTTGCAACACGAATATCTGGAAATAACGGCTTCAATTGCCCCGATGATTGCTATTGCTTTTGCTACTTTAGGAATTATTTGTGCATCTTTAGTTATTTTATTGTTTCTCTTACATAATTCCACACCTGTTGTTAAAGTAAATAATTTTCTAATTTAGAAAAATTATTATCTGGATAATAAAAGTAATTAGCTCACTATTACTACTTAAATACATTTTTAAAATATAGCACACGAATTTTTCAAGACTTTCTTTTACTAGTTATTTCTGAAGTTATGGTCGAGGAATTTGAAATATAATCAAGACTTTACTCGAAAATTTGACATCATTTTTGGGCATAATTTCGAGAACACCAAATCAAAAATTTTTGAAATTCTTAGTGGAGTTGCAAAACATTGTTTTGCTGATATTCATTCAAAATTTTAGGATTTTAGGTTCTTTGGCCAATATAAACGCACATACGTAAAAATCACACAAACTTTTCCATTCTTACTATAAAATAAATAAATTTTAAATTAAAATTTAAAGGCAACAACAAGAGAACTATCTTATATAATTCTTGGAGGAATTGTTGCAGGGTATTTATGTAGTTTTGCATTATTAGCTAGGCCATCATTTATTGCTTGTTTCTTTTCTCGGACACTTCCACCTATAGCTTTTGCTAGTATTTATTCAGCACTTTTTACAAAAACGAATAGAATTGCTAGAATTTTGGCTGGAAGTAAAAAAAGAATTTTAACTAAAAAGCCAAGATTTTTGAGTACTTTTAGTCAAGTAATTAATTATTTTATAAAAATTTTAATTTTTATATAAAATTAAAAAGGTTTTAATTACTTGGACATTAGTTGGTATTCAATGCATTATTGTTGCTATTGGACTTGTAAAGGAATTCCCAAAAGCTAGTTTTGATGAAAATTTTGCTCCTGTATGTTTTTTTATTTTGAGGATATAATGGGAATGATAAACGGGGATGATATATAGAAAATTCTCATTAAAGAAAATTTTAGATTTAAAGGATGTAACAGTCAAAAATTAAAATGGGTCGAAAAAATTTAGCATTCACTTTTAGTGTTTATAATGGGGCCGGTCGCAACTGTGGATTCCGGACTGGGGTTTAATTGCTGAGTTTTTTGCAATTGCATCTGTAGATAAACTATTTTCCCGATTGCGACATCCCTGCTTTATATCATGTAGGAAATAAATTTAAATAATTAAGAGAAGAATGGTTCTTACTTGTGCAATTTCGACAATGGCATTTATGGCACCTTTTGCTTGGAATTTTATTCTTGTATTCTAAAATATTAAAAAAATATTTTTTCATTTTTTATGTTTTATTCTGCACTTTATACGCATTCAAAACAAGAAACTTACCCGAAAATTTTAATGAAGCAAAATTTATAGGATTTACCATGTATGCCAATTAAATAAAATAATTATTTATAAATTTCTATTTAAAGGTATTGTACTTTAGTAACTTGGTGTGCATTTGTTGTACTCTATGTTAACTCTCTTAATAAAGTTATTTTTTTAATTTTGAAATTAATTTGAACTAGAATTTTTTTGAGTTTTTACCAATTTTGCAGAGACAGGCTTTACTAAATTTAAATTTTCAAAAAAATTTTTTTATCAAAAATAAAACTCCCTTCTTTACGAGTTCCTAAAATTTATTAAAAATATAATTTTTAATGGATAACTAAATTTAAAATATTTTTACACAATTTTTATTTTTCTTTCAGGCACTCACTGCCAGCTTTACATTTTCTCTATCAGCATCAATAGCTTTATCTTTACTTTTCTTCCCCAAATGTTTTATAATTATATTAAGACCAGAAAAAAATGTTAGATCATCATATACAACAACAAAACTTATTCGTTGCCATTTTGGGAATGCTCCAAGTACTTTTACTGACAGCAAACATGGAATTTCCTTTCTTTCAAAAACAAGAAATAGTTCACAGTCATTATCAATTGGGGCAGGTTCTTGTCCAACAAGAACGGCTTCTTTACATGTTGTTAATCAAAATAATATTATTAGTGGTGGAGGAGGGGGTGGAGGAGGAGGTGGAGCGATTTCAAATTTATCTGGAAGTTATTCTATTGGAAATCAGGCAACAAAATTTTTTAGTTCTATAAAAATGGAATATATTTAATTGAATCAAAGTAGGGATAATAGTTCTTAAAAATCCTACAGATACCCAGAACATAATAGAAGAACCGAATCGGAAGATTCGCTATTAAAAAGAGGACAATGCTATTAAGAGATTATAAAACCCAAATATTTTTTTGGGGTTTCTATATATAAACAATAAAATTAGGCAAATAATAAATTAATTCTTAAAATAAATTAAAAATAAATTCCCTTTGAAAATATTGCCCTTTGATAAATTCAAAATATTGCCCTTTTTTTTTATCGAATTTCGCTTTGTCTATTTTTGATGTACGTTATTTTATCACATGCTCGCATGTGATTTTGATTTCATGTGATTTTTATATTTATTAAAAATCACATGGATTTGCGCGTGTGATCAATCACACATAAACGCATGTGATTAATCATATCTACAACCGTGTCGAAACAAAACACGGAACGGACAAAACACGGTCAGACAAACACGGACTTGAACCTTTTAAGCATTTAATACTTTAATCTTGTTGAGATTCTTAGAAAATTTTGATTCTAAATTAGGCAAATAATAAATTAATACTTAAAATATTTAAAGATTATTTCCCAATTAAACAGCTTTCTGACAATAAATCATCTACTTGCCCTCAACATTTACTTCATCACAGTCCACGAAGAGTAAATATGCAAACTCAGACAGAAGTTTCTTCAATAGCTTTCTCCAATCAAACAACTGGTTTTGGTAACCGCATTACTCGAACATTTTCTGTTATTGGAGGCGTTGCTGGAAGTAGTGGGGGAACTGAAGAAAGGGGATTAAAAGGATCTCCTATTGGGAAAAAAGAAAATAGTAAATTAAGTATTGGAAGCAAAGTTGAAAGGTTTGGAAGAAGTGGGGACATTAGGGAAAGGAAAAATAGGAGAAAGACGTTGGATGATGATGTTTTGCAATTAATTGAGTCTTGTCGAAGATACCAAGCAAGTTTATTTAGTATATTCGTTAATTCAAGATCACATTCTAAGGATGAACGTATATTAATCAATCCTACAACTATCGGAAATTTATTATTAGAAGAAGCGCCAGAAGATGTTTTGAATGAACCAGAAGGAAGGGGTGAAATAGTCTCAGAAATGTTAGCTGATACTATTCGTGGATTGGCACAAACAGTGTCTAGAACAGCAACAAGTGGAATAAAGGTGTTCTACTTAAAAAATATTTAATTCATTTACTTAATTGATAATAATTTCTATAGCCTGAAGAATTGAAAGGAACAACATATTCACTCAAGCAAAAGCTTGAAAGAGAAGATGATTCCCCAAGTTCTCCTGAATTAGCACCTGTTTCCTCATTCCCAACCCGTTCATCAATTCGTTCTGCTGGTGGAAGAGGTGTTAATGAAATGCATGTTGATTTTGCTTCTGTAATTGAAAGTGATAAACAAATAAAAAAACAAAAAAATCGTTCGGAAGAAGTTGAAGAACAAAAAATACTAGATGAAACAGGAATGGGAGAGGACAGCTTTGAAAACGTATATCTTTTCCATTTTTCAGATTATATATAATAATCTTAGACGATAACATTTTTTAGGCATTTAATACTTTGATTTTGTTAAAATTCTTAGGATAAACATGTTAAAAAGAAATTAAGCAATAAAGTCATAATTCAAAAATATAGAAAGTCTTTTAACTTTTCCAAGTTTCAGTTCACTATACAATAAATAAAATTCAAAAAAGTTGACATAATTTTTTAACTTTAAAAAAATTTTATTAACAAATACTTTTAAATAAAAATAATTTAGTTACTGCGCAGCAAAGGCTTCAATCCGGTGCAATTTAGCAACCCTACACAACTATAATAAAAAATGTGATCTCGATTCGATATTTTTGATAATTTTCTTAAAAAAATATTTTGTTTTTAAGTTTTAATAAAAGTTTTTTCCTAACAGAAAAATTATTATTAAATAAATAAATACATAATTAAATATAATAAACATAAATTAAAAATAAATTCTCTTTGAAAATATTGCCCTTTTTTATCGAATTTCGCTTTATCTATTTTTGCTGTACGTTATTTTATCACATGCTCCCATGTGATTTTGATTGCATGTGATTTTTATATTTATTAAAAATCACATGGATTTGCGCGTGTGATCAATCACACATAAACGCATGTGATTAAGCATATCTATACAACAGAGGTGCTTGTGATTGTCAATTGTCAAAAAATGATATTGGAGTCTATATTTCAGAATTTATTATATTTGAGTCTCTCATTTTCTATTATTTTTATCTTTTAATTATCGTTATCATGTTTCTAACAAAAACATAATTATAGGTATGTTAGAAATCCAAATTTTTGAATATGCACTATTTTTTATTAAAAATAAATACCTATTTCTATAATTAAACTGCATTCATTCATTCACAATAAATCTCCGCCACTTTTAAATAAAGTTCAGCGGGATCTGGATCGGGCGGAATTACACTGGTTTTTTGAATCCCGAACGGTTTCTACCAATCCCGATCTGTTTAGGGTTTACATTTATGTAAGGTTTGTATTTAACGGGTACCCGTAAATGGAAATGTCCACTATCCAGAAAAATTCGGTTTGGTTATCTGTTCAAGATATCCGAATATATCTACGAATCGACCACATTATAGTAATTATTACAAGGGCAAATAAAGAATTCTGACATTTTTTAGAAGTTTTAAGATTTTTAGCTAAATGGAAAATTTTAATGTTTACCTTCATTTTCAATTCAGCTTTTATTTGACTCTTGTCTTATTATAAAATCCCCGAGTAATTTAAATTTTTTAAACATTATTTATTTGTTTAATAAATTGAAAGTAATTATAAAAAATTATTATTTTAAAAAGTGAATACCGGTTTTTTGAATCCGAACGATCCCGCTGAACTGTAGTTTAGCGGGATCGCAAATAACAGTTCAGCGGGACAGTTCAGCGGATCCCGATCCCGATTTTGTTGACCACTAGCAAAAATAAATTCCGATCACATTTCTCCGACGGTTGAAGAAGATGAAGCTGATTTTTCTAATTTTTCTAATTCAGATGATTTTGAATATGTATAATTAATTTATGTTTGTTTATTTTTTAAAATTGTTGGATGGATTTATTCTTGCCATACATGAATCTGATACTGATTTTTCAATCTCGGGGTCATCATTCCAAAATGCCGACCCGATTCTTTGTTGGAAACCCGATAAGGATTTAAAAGATTTTTTAACTAAATAAAAGTTTTTTAATTAAAAAATTATCTAAGGAATTTTTTAGATATTCTTATTTATTTAGACATCTTCTCTACATTCTCAATCAAGTGATATTCTCAATGCCCTCCTCGCTCTCGACAAAATTTAATAACGTTTTAAATTTTTTCCCGCCCATACTTATTATACGCCCATAATCAAAGAATTTATAAAGCCCCGATTTACTGTTAAATGCTCATTTAAATATTTAAATTTTTTTATAAATTTTACATTATTAATAAAATATAATAAATAATTTTATTTTTATAATAATATTTAGTAATAAATATCTAAAATATTTAAAATCAGAAATTCTAAAATAAAAAACTTATCAAAAAACTGTAAAGGTGAACCTCAAAAAACCTCAAAATTTTTATTTGTTAATAATTTTAGAAAATTTAAGTTACTGCACAAATCACTCAAAATTATTTTTCTGGTGATACTCAAACTGTTTTTGCGCGTAAAATATAATTTTTAAAAACGTTTACTGCCCATTTAACTCACTGCCCAAATCACTCACTGCCCATTTAACTCATTGCCCAACATAATTACAAGGACATCGATATTTTTTATGCATATCTACCTATTTAATTTATTTAGTAACTACTTCCAATTTCTGTTTTTAGATGAAACGGAAGAAATCATTCCTGATATTTTTTCTGTTTTATTTGTTTACTTCTCTGATACAAAATGGAAATTCAAAAAATTCAAAAACAGGTTCAAGCCGAAAAAGTTCTGGGCGAATTACAAGAATTAGCTCAATGTCTGGAGAATCGAAGCAAAATTATGAACATGTTGAATATAAAACCGACAAAATTGTTGCTGAGGAATATGTTCAGAAATTGGTTGGGCCTAACCAATATTTCTTACCTGAAACGATTGATGCTGCTATATTCTGCTATGAAGAGATAAATAAAGATATGTCGAAAAAAGAAAACCCCAAAAAAACTAAAGAAACAGTTGGAAAAGCTAGTGAAACCCCAAAAGATTTAAAAGGATGTAAGTTTATTACATCAAAAGATAGCACTGTAGCAAAAATGTTTGAATATTTTTATTTAAAAATTGATAAAGTTGGGGTTAGAGAGCAACTTGAGCAAGTGCCTTTGCCTGCCGATAAATGTAATATAGGCTTCCCATTACCGAAAAATATTTTTGGGAAAGCATTTCTGCTTGATTCAGCGTTGACTTTTTCTGAAGACGACTTGGAAGAATTGGTACATGGTGAGGAGAAAATGGTTTATGTTAAACCAGAAAATGGGAAAGAGGAGAAAGAAATTGAAGATGAAGAAAAAGAAGAAAATAAAGAAGATGAAGAAGATGATGATGATGAGGGGAGTGTTCGTATGACTATTGTTATGTTGTTAGATATTATTTACGGAGGAAGGAAAAATGTAGGCGGTAAAGATATATTTTTGGATTTGAATAAAATACCAGAAATGGAATATAAATATGAGATAGGGAAGAGACGACGAATGAAAAAAATTGCTAAAAGAATCTTCCAAAAAAGTGCGAAATTATTGAGAAAAGCTGTCGAAAAAGCACAGAAAAAAGTGAAAGCAGAAGAAAAACGATTTAGTTTTAATCGAATAAATTTTTTTACAAAACGAAAAGAATCGCGTGTGAATTCATTGCCAAAAGAAGAGGAACTAAAAGAGGAAAAAGAAAAATCACTAATTTTGTCGAAAAAAGATGAAAAGAGTTCAGAAGAATCTTCAATAAATTTGTCCAAAGGACCCTTGGGAAGGAGTGTTACATTTAATTTTGGTACATCGAATGCTGAGGAAACTGAAGGAAAACATAAAAGAAATCATTCAGAAGGTGATCATAGTCAAATTATTCAAATGCAGCAAGATGAGTTAAAGGTCGTTTTTAAAAATTTCTTCTTAGTTTCAAAAACAATGCAATTTAAATTTACCTATTTTATTGTTTTCCGAACAAAAGTATGGTAAACGGCATTCCATTGTTTTAAAATTAGCCTAAATTTCTTCTCGACTCCCCAAAATTTCCTAATGGACTTGATTTAAAAAAATTAAAATAAAAAATAAGTATCACCTATTTAGTTCCAAGATGAAGATTTTGATGAAGATTTTGTTAGTAAAAATATTAATGATATTCAAAAAATGGAAGAAGCTGGAAATCTAAAGTTGAATGATCAATTAAAAGCTGAGATCGATGAAAAAGTTAATTCGATTAGTAAATCGATGATCGAACAATTAGATAAATTAGAGACTTTAGAAGAAAAAGAAGAAAAAATTAAAGAATGGAATGAAATGCTGGATAATTGGGAGGAAAAAGCAAGAAAAATGTTTTATGAGAAAATTGAGGTAGAAAAAGATGAGGAAAGTCATAAAAAGTTGACTGAACAAAAAGTTCATCCATTCAAATTTCTTCAGGTAAAAAAAGTTAAACCTTAAATCTTAATCAACCAATAATCCATTTCATTTGTGGATAAAACAGATAATCTAGTATTTTTAAAATGAAGTATATTTACATGATTAATTTCTATTTAAATAAGATACAGATGAACTTCTACAAATATTTACATTAATAAATTTTTATCATTTTAAATAAACTTATCTTCCAACATAAATCTGATTATTCATGACCTGGAAAAGCTTTGAAAAGGACCTCCCAATTAATCTCCTCTCTCTGAAGGACCTCCTAATTAATTAATCATCACTTGGTTGCATGAGGCTATATGGGATTATTGGGGGGGGGGGGGGAATTATTAAAATTATTTCTAGTTTTAAGCAATATTTACCTAGGTTTATTTTGTTATTATGCTGGGTAATTCTTCGGTTGTCGCCCCCCCCTTTTTTATGTTCTATCTTTTTTTCATTTCCTATGAAATTTCTATGGATTTTTATATACATTCGAAAGAGCTCTTCGAGCTGAGTCGAACGGTACTAAATTTATCAAAATCCGACTTAAATAAACATAGTTATGAGCAATTGTTTTAATCCCTTTCAACATCACAAAAAGCATGTCCACAGGGGATTTAGCCTCATAATTTTGTTCAAAATCGCCAAATCTAACCTATCTTCGTATCAATCTACCCAGCTCGGATAGCTCTTTCGAATGATATATAATAAATCATATGTCAAGAAAAAAAGCTCAAAATGGTCAGGGAAACATAAAAAAAGGGGGGGCGACAACCGAAGAATTACCTTATGCTGACTATATATGAATTCCAGAGTGCTGTTATCTTTTAAGCTTTTGAATTTATGTTTCTAATATTGCTTTGGGATGATTGCCCGCACTATATCTTAAATTTTTACACAAAAATATTTTTGTTTTGATTTTAATTTAATTTAGGAAATAAATTTTGGTGTAAGTATTAAACCATCAAACAAACGTTTCAAAAATATAAGTGGGGAAGAATATGAAGAAATGATAGAATTTTTTAAAAACCCCAAGGAATTTATTATTTTGCAAGAAGAAATTAATGCAGAAAAAGCAGAAGAAAATAATGGGAAAAAAGTAAGTGAAAATAAATGGAAAAGAAAATTAAATGGAAGAATCATGAGATTTATATTCCGAGAAATGACTGAAATTGAAAAGAAATTGAAAAAGGAGAGGAAAATAAAGGGAAATGAAGAAAAAGATGAAGAAAAAGAATTAAATAATTATTTAAATGATTTGCTAAATGAAGAGTTTAAATGGCTAAATTTGGGAATTAAAAATAAGATTTGGGAATGGTTTTTGAAATTCACAAAATGGGGAAAGAAAAAAGTTGAGAAAAATAGAAAATTTGATTTAAATGTTTTTAAAGCTCTTAAAAAAGATTTGTTGGCAATTGATGATGGGATTAAAAATTGTTATAATTTAAAAGATCCTCTGCTAAAAGTATTACAATATGAGGATATAAATGATCCTATACATCAAGAATTTCGTGGAAGGTTTTTAGTTTATTTATTTTTTATAACTTTATGGGTATAAAATTAATTAAAATATAAAATGAAAGCAATAAAATCTCAAATAAAGAATTTAAAAAATATTTTGATTACAAGTATCGAACAGACATTTTGCTGTAAATGCAAAACTATTGATAATACATAATCCCATGATTTTATATATTTTTCAAATTTTTAAGAATTGGCGCACAAATACTCGGATCAGTTTACAACGCTAAACAATTAACTATGGATGTTTTGAAAGGAATGTTATTAAGCATAGGTGGTGCTGGTGCGATTGCAGCAATTTTAGACCTTGTTGTTTGGCCTTCAGTTATTTTACTAATTTTTTCATTGTCTGGAAACATTGTAGCTGCTCATATTGTTGGAATAATCCTCTATTCACTGACACCACTAGTAGCTGAAACATTTGATTCGCTTGTGATTAAACGTCTTTTAATCTCTCTTGATGGAGGCAAATTTTTCCCTTCTACGCTGGACAAATTTCTTGATGATTTGAAGGGTGCTTTCAAAGCGGGTATAATTGCTTCTGCTGGTTCTTTAATGAACAACACATTAGCAATGGAGCAGGTTGCGAAAGGATTGGGGATGGCAGCGATAGGACCAAATTTGCCTACGAATATAGTTTGTTTTTAAAACATTTTTTTAAAACAAATCTTTCTTTAATGATAATCAAAGTCACACATATCCATAGAAAATTTTTAGAAATATCAGTTCTTTTAAAGTTATTGTCAAGGATATACAGTAAGGTGCAAAAGTTTATGCGGCGGCACATTGCAGGCAGATAAATCGATATATCTCTGGAGGAAAAGGGATCTAAATTAAATCGACTATATTTTAATTAAGTATAGGTTATCTGTTTATAATATCCATTAAAAAAATTCATGTCATCATGTCATTCAAAATTTATTCACGTAATAACTTATTTACCTCCCATTTTGGGGGAGCAAAAGTTTATGCGGCATATAGAAAAAAAATTTTTTTGGTTCTAAAACAAAACGAAAAAAATTACAAAAAATTTTATAAACATTTTCATTGATATTGAATGGAGAAAGGGCAAAAACGAAGTCTTTACTGTACCCCGATTTTACTGTACCCCGATCTTTACTGTACCCCGATTATCACTGTACCCCGATTTTACGTTGATTTTTAAGATTTTGGATCTTGATGAAAAAATTATTTATTGAACTCATTCTTTTTGTTTTTCCATTCAGTATCAATGAAAATGCCTATAAAAATTTTTTAAACTTTTTTCGACTTGTTTTAGAACCAAAAAAATTTTTTTCCTTTAAGACGCATAAACTTTTGCTCCACCAAAATTTAAGGTAGATAGGTTTCAAGCTTATAATTTTTGAATAAAATGTATATCGGAATTTTTTTTATAAATTTTAGTAATACATTACCTACCCTTAATTAATATATAATTGATTTAATTTAGGTCCCTTTTCTTTCAGAGATATATAGATTTCTCTGCTTGCAATGTGCCGCCGCATAAACTTTTGCACCTTACTGTAACCGATAAATTTGTCTAATTAGTCGTTATAAAATATTCAATATATACCAAAATTTAATTGGTATATGCAGAATAATTTCTAAAATTTATATAGGTTGCTGCATCTACATCTGGCGCAATGGTACCTTTAGAATTCCATGAATGGCGTGACCTTCAACGTGCCGCACTTTACAAATTATATGACCAAAAATTTTTGCCAAAACCAAATGGTGATACACTCGTTGTTGAATGGAGAGAAAAATCAAAAAAGAAAAGGGAAAAATTTTGGCATAAAATTACTTTTCGCCTCTTTGCTCCAAAAAAGCCAGAGACATCTCCGGTTATTACAATTGAAGAGAGAAACCTAGCTTTCCGTGAACATATTAAAGAAAAGATTGAAGCATCAATGGATATTCAGAAAAAATCTTCAATGGCACTTAATTCAATGGGAATTGGGTCTTTATTAAGTCAAATTGTTTTGGTTGCTTTCTTTTTTCCAGCAATGTTTGGAATGCCAGCTGTGATGCTGAAGATTGCCTTAATTATAATTAATACACCAACAGAGATTATTTCATTAGCTTCTACCATAGTTGCGTCGAATAGTCTTGGAAATGAATATATTGAAAAATGGTGGAGTACAGACACAATGAAAAATAAACAAATGGTAGGATAATTAATTAGTATTTAAATGTTTTTTGAAAATACTACAAAAGCTCTATGTACCGTATTTACTCAATAATTACACTGGGTAATTATTGTTCCAATCATTAGCATATACTAAACCACGTTTCAGTGCTTTGTTTCATGAGATAAGCAAAAAAAACACTAAATTTTTTATCATTTATGGAATCCTAAGACAATTTTAGAATTCCAGCATTATAATGTAAATTAACTTCATTCTATGTACTAATTGTAAGCAATAAGTATGAGAAGGAGCTAAATATTTTTGCTCGTTTATTGGCCTCGTATATTTTTTTTGATTGTATCCGTACTTATTTGTCGGTCTCGATTTTTTAAAATTCTTAGTTCTTGACATTTAATTAATATTGAGAGGAAGTAAAACAGTGAATTTTTTAACAGAGTCAAAATATCAAAAATAAATATTTAGTGACTAGTTTAAAAAATAAATTTTTATTAAAGGTTCGTCTTATAATTGACAGAACAATAAAACAAATGGAACATCCAAATAAAGAATTTCAAGAAATTACAAAAAAAGAAGTTTATAAAATATATCATCCAAAAGGACAAATTTTGTATAGATACGGCAAAATAATAACTAAATTTATGATTGTTACCTTTAAATTTATGACAAAACCGTCATTATTTAAACAAATTAACATAAGTAAATTAGCCCTTCCTTTCTTTAAAGAAGAGAAATATCGTGAAGATTTAACTTTCAATATATCCTTTTTGGAGGAACCTTTGAAAGAATTGCTAAAAATGCCAGGAATTGATGAAGAAAAATTCAAAGGATTTGTAAATGAAATTTGTGAGTTTATACAGGGATTAGTTAAATTATGAGATGACTAAAAGATATACCGTATTTCCTCTAAATCTAGTAAAATGCCCCTTTAGAGGATGATTGAAAAATAGAATGCCCGGGCATTTCATTAGATGAAATACGGCGTATTTATTTCAAAAATCATTTTTGGATTTTAATTAAACCCTTAATTAAAATTTTTATGTATTAAGTAATTTAAAATATTTTAAGCACCTTTTCATGAAAAACATAAAATGACATTGACAGAAAGTCATCATTTTATTAGTATATTAATCGATTGGGAAAATGTTAAAAATGTGGAAACTAAAGGAAAATTGAAAGAAATACTAAGCGATGAAAAATATTTTAAATATTTCGAACGAAATGTGAAAAATAATAAAAATATCAACTTTGGTGTTCTTGCAATTTTAAATAAAGTTTGTTGTTATTTTGAAATAATTATTTTAGAAATTATTTTTAGATTGGAAACTCTAAAGACGATATAAATTTAAATTTACCTAAACTCGAAAAAGCTTTAAGAAATTTTGAAACAAATATAAAATACAAAAGTAAATTAATTGAATGTAGTTTATATGCAAAAATTTTACATTTTACTGCTTTGGAGATTGATAATGAAGATGAAGTTGATGGAAGAAAAATTGATGGAAGAATAGAAACTTCGATTGATAATCATTTAAAAAAAGAAGAAGATACGAAAAGAGAGAAAAGTTTTTTTAGAAGAAAAACCGACACTATTTTCAGAAATAAAAAACAAAATTTGGAAAAAATAGATATGAAATATAAATTACGAAAATTATTTTTAGAAAAATTACAAAAAAGATTAGAACAATCAAAACAAAGAGATGGTTTGTTTAAAGGAGTTTTTGTGTTAAATTTTTGATAAAATTTTTTTGGCAGTCTTACTTATAAATATATGCTAAGCTAAATTCATAAATATTCGAATTAATTTGAAAAATCAAAAGCATTTTTTTTATCAATGCTGCTTTAAAATATTTTTAATTTTCAGTGAATTTGGATATTGAAGGAAGTGCCCCAGATTTTTTGACTAAAGTAATTAATGATTTCAAAACTCAATGTAAATTTGGAGAATCAACAAAAAATACCCTTCAATCTATCGTCCATCAACTAAATTTTTTTAAAAAAGAAAATAAAGAGGACATTATAAAATCCTTAAATGAAAAAATAACAAAACAAAAAGGAAAAGTAGAAAAACATTTTGAGGATAAATTGGAAAAAGAAATAAATAAGCGTTTAACAGAAGATGAAGAATTTAAAAGAAAATTAAAAGAAAGGGCTTTAGATTTATTTAATAAAAGATTAAATTTAAAAAAATATTTGGGGAGAATGGCTAAAAGAACAAGAAAATTTATAAAATATTTGAAAAAAATTCAAAATGAATTGGCTAATGAAAATATACTTTTGAAGGATCTGAAAAAGTTAAAAAAGTTAAAAAAATTAGATAAAATGAAGGGAATCTTGGAAGAATTGAAAAAAGAAGTATGTTTATCAGAGATGGGTCGGAATTCCGATTTCCGGCGTTTTCTTCCTTCCGATTTCCAAAAAAAATTTTTATTTCCGAGTTCCGACTTTTGAGCCAGTTCCGATTTCCGGCTCTTCCGATTTCCGACACCTCTGACTGTTCCGACACACCTCTGATGTTTATACGCTTAAATATTTAATTATGGTAATAGTGTCGTTTCCCAGCCCCCTTTTTTTCCTCCCAATTTTCTACCCTATGTTTGTACGGAATGGTCAAATTTTCCCCTTTCTTTCATCAAATTTGCCTTTCCATATTTTGCCTAAAAACAATCAAAAAAGATTAATTTTTTATTCATTTCTTTCACAAGGATAAAAAAGTGAGACATGATGCCAAAAATTATAAAAAACATTTTCAATATTGCCAAATCGTTTTCGCCACATAAATTCCGGGAGATAACTTTTATAGGTTTCAGTTTGTTGCCAGCTTGATGTCTGAATTTTCGCCATGCATCGAAATCATTATCACTCAAACGTAATTTTTCATATAAATCAATAGGTTTGAAATTCTTTAGTTCTTCCATTTTTATTAATTGGGAAAATGATTCTTCTCATTACTCAAAATATGGAAAGGCAAATTTGATGAAAGAAAGGGGAAAATTTGACCATTCCGTACAAACATAGGGTAGAAAATTGGGAGGAAAAAAAGGGGGCTGGGAAACGACACTATTACCTTAATTATTTTTTTTATTAATAATAAAATTATAATTTAGGTGAAAGAAGAAGACGAAGCCTATCGTGATCGCTTTATTTCAAAATTCGAATTTCTTGATAAAAACTGGAAAGAATTTGTGAAATCAAATAAAAAATTAACAAAATTGGCGGAAGATGGCCATTTATTTATTGGCTATTGTTTGGCAAAACGTTTCCAATTTATTTTTAACAATGAGGGACAGGCAAAAACTAAATTTTATGAGGAAACAAATTCCCATTTATTTAACTATGCAAGTGAAATTAATCAAATTTTGGGAAACAAAAGAGTAGATTTGGAGTAAGTTTAAGTTGTACAAAATAAAATTTTAATGTATTGGATCCGCTTTTTGGGATTTTTTGTGAAAATAAATAATTCCAAATAAGAATATTTAATCTAAATACAGAGATGCGAGAAATTAAATAAATATATTTTAAAAATTATAAATTTAATTTTTATTCATTTTAAGATTTTATAAAAAACAAGCAAATAATTTCAAAGAAAAAATTCTAAGCAAATGTGAAATTCAAGAAGAAGATTTGGAAGAAATTGTATCTAATATTTGTGAGATTGACAGAGATAATGTAAAATTTGAACACCCAGAAGAGTGGAATTTACAAATTTGTAATTAATTTAATAAAATTACCTTTATAAAAATATAAAATTAATTAATTAATAATATGGTAGGAGATTACGTAAAGTTAGGATAATCTTTGAATGAAAATTTGTATTTAATTGAGAAAATTATAAGTGGGATTATTAAAAAGAAACCGAGAAAATCCATAAAAATAGGGCGAAATCATACTTTTTGAACATGAAGTACTGCTCAAACTTTGAGAGTTTAAACTGCCCTTTCATGCTAAAAATGAGTACAATAACCAAAAATACTTTAATATAAATTTATTTTCCCCTCACAAAGCCAAAACAATTCTTGATGGCGATTTCCACCTCGCCGATATGAAATTCATTGGTGTTGAAGAAAGTGATTTAGAGCATTTGAATTTGGGAAGTGGAGAATGGTTTGATTTAAAAAAAGGAGCATGTAAGAAAAAAATATAATTATTTTAAATATTATATTTAAATTTTAAGTGGATCTATTCAATTTAAATAAATTAACATTTACCGAAGCACATTTAATTATTTCTTCTTTACATGAAATATTAAAGAAGAATAAAACAACAATAAAAAAAGAAGAATTAGAAAAGCATTTAAAAAATGTGAAAACAATTTATTGGAAAGCAAAATTGGAAATTGAAAAGGTTGGTAGTTTGAAAAGGAGTTTTTCTTTTCAGAAAACAGGAACTTTCCCAAGACTTAAAGAAACCGATTACGTAAATTCTGATTATAGTTTAAAAATAAATCTTTGAAATATTATTTTAAAAAAGATTTAAAAATTATTTTTACTATTAAAGTCAAAACAAATTAAAAACGATCAGCAAAAATTAATTGTCAAAAAAGAATTGTCTCGAATTGAAACTTCAATTGAATTAAAAGAAAAATTAAATGAATGTTTAGTGTCCGTTTATGTATTGAAATTTTTTGTTTTACAAAAAAATAATCGAGAAAATGATTTATTAGACGAGGAAAAAGGAGAGAAGAAGGAGGAAGAAATTCCAGAAAATATTCAAAATAATTTAAAAATTAATGAAAAATTCTTTTTAAATTTTGAAAATAAATGTGAAAATATAGAAAAAATTAAAGGAATTTGGAATTCAAAAAAAGATTCGGAAATTTTAATCAAAAAAATAAATGAATATGAAAAGAAATTAAAAGAAAAAATTAAAAAATTGAAAAAGGAAAACAAATTAATTGATATTTTAAAGAAAAACAAAAAAGAAAATGAAATTAATTTGGAAATTGAAGATAAAATTGAAAAAGAAATTGAAAAATATAATGAAAGATTGTTAAATAAATTGTTATTTTTAATTGATAATTATGAGAAAATAGTAAAAGATAATGAAGGATTGGATAAAGGAAAAGAGAAAGAAATTGGTGAAAGTAGCCAACGAAGAAAGGAAATTGAATTGGTTAGTTAATTAAAATTCTTGAATATTTTTGTTTAAAGCAAAAACAAAAATTTAGAAAAATTTATTCTTAAATTTTCAAAATATTTTTTAAATTTGAATAATTAATTTAAATATTTCCAAATAAAGGAAAGTGGCAGCAACGGAGCAATAAATATTTCAAGTTTATCAGCAATTCTTTATTGTTTAACAAATAAATTTTTGGAAATGTTTAATGAAGATGGAGTTGTTAATATGGATATTTTATTACAAAATATTTCAAATACAAATTTGATAGAATATGGAATGGAAATGAATGAAAAATTGGGAAAGAAAAGGGTTGATAAAATGTACTATGTTTTTAGAAATTAAAACCTTATGATGGGATTCGATATTACGGGGCGGAGATCTATTTTACGGGGAATGGGGGTTGAGGGGAATTCGTGTTAGAGGAACAGGAAGAAGCCTCCCTTCCCACCGGGAAATGAAATTCCGCAGGAACGATTCCTCCTCTCATACATACTTTATAAATAATTTAGAATTTTTATTATTACTATTAAAATATTTAACCAAAAATCTTTTAAAAAAAGTAATTTCTAGGGGATTCTTAGATTTTTAGTATTTTGTTTTAATTATCATATATAAAATTTATTAAAATTTCAAAAGGTATTATGAACATGTTCTCAAAATTTATTTAAATAATTTGAACTTGAAAAATAAAGAGGAGGATTTTGAAAAGAATTTTAAAAATAAATTAAACAATTATTGTTATATTGATAAGAAAACTTTGGAATTTGAGAGACCCGAGGAGTGGGCAGTTAATTATTGTAAGTAGTAATTTATTTATAATTTAAAATAAAATATTTCTAATTAAAATAGATGATGAAATTGGAATGCAAAAAGATGGTTTTCGGTTGGCATATTTGGAAGGAATTGAGATTGATAACAAGAAAATGACTAGCAAACAAAAAGAAGAAATTTTTGAGAAAATTTGTAAGTAAAATATTTAAATAAATAAATTCATTTTTTATATAATTAAGTACACAATTCCAAACTTCACAAAGTCACATTCACTGAAGCACATAAATTAATTGAATCGGAAATTAAAAGTAAAAATTTAGCGGAAACAGAATTACAATATTCAAATAAGATTCAATCTGAAATGGAAATAAATATAAATCAACATGACAGCCGACCAAACAATTATTTTGAAATAATTAAATTTGAATTGAACAAAGTAAGGGTTTAATTCAATTATTGAAAATATTAATACCAAGGGGAACAGTGCTTGGAAATTATAATTTTGCTCGTACTTACTAAGCACGAGTAATAATTTTAGTATGTTTTTGACTCAAGAGGCAAACTCATAATATTTTCACTAAAATCAACAGCAGTTATAATTTTATTAGAAACTTTAAATAAAAATAAATTTCAGATCAAGGGAGTGTTTGAAAAACAAAAAGAAAAAAAGGAAATGGATAAAATTAAAAGATTCACAAAAGACTTGAGATATATTAATTCTGAATACTTCCAACAATTTGAATGGAATATTAAATTAAAAACAGAATGTCAAAAATGTTCAGATTTTGTTTTACTTATAAAATTTGGGCTTGAAAAAAACAATTTTGATTTAAGTGAAGTAAAAGAGAAATGTAAATTTGTAATTGAATATTCAGAAAAGGATTTAGTAAAGGATTTAAAATTAAATAAATATTCAGAAGAAACCAAACAAATTGAGGAAATATTTAAATTATTAAAATTAGTTAAATCACTTTTGAATGAAAAGAAAACAAATTTAAATAAATCGTTTGAAAATTTAAATAAAGCAATTAATTTAATTGATAATACAAATCCAATGAATGCTTATTTTAATGAATTAAAGGAAATTGAGGAAAATGCAAAGTTTAGGGCTGCACGTATTTTACAATTTTGGAAAGAACCTAGAAAAGTAATTTTTGATGAAAAAGAAATTAAACGACAAGGCGAGATTATTAAAGAAATGGAGAAATTAATTGAAAATGAAGAAAATATTAAAGAATTTGATGAACGATTGAAAAATAAATTTGATTTTTTGGTGAAGAATTGGGAAAAATTATTAGACACTAAAGTAAAAATTGAAGAAGAAAAAAATATTTTTTATAAACAAATAGTGCCTGAAAGTGAAGAAATTAAAAATAAATTTGAAAATTCTGGTGATCTATTTGTTGGATATTGTTTAACTAAAAGAATTGAAAATTCATTCAATAAAGATGGAACTGTGAAATCTTCTCAATTTTTGAGTGATGGGGTTGGACAGGAATATGGATGGGAATTGAAAGAAGTTTTGGGGCAAAAACGCATTAATATTGGGTAAATTATTTAATAAAATTTTATTAAATATACATGGAATGCTTTTAAGAAGGGTGTTTTGAAAGAATTTTGATCACGATTATCGGGATTTCTGTTCAAGATCTCGTCTCATTCGATCTCTACCTTCAACACGTTTCCTCAATTATACATCCCTTTCGTTTTAGTGGATTTCACTTTATATATTATATTAACATAACTAAACTCATTATTTTTAGACATTACGAGAAAATACAAAAACAAATTAATGAAAAATTAAAAAATGTGTGTATGAATGTGGAGGAAGTATATTTGAAAAATGCTTGTGAATTATTTTTGGAACATGAATTACAATATTGGCATTCTTTTTGTTCTATTGATACAGAACATTTACGTTTGGAACATTTTGAGGAAATGAATGTTGTTACTAATGGTTATCAAAACAAAAAAGAAGAAGAAAAAGAGGAGGAAGCAACTTTTGATGAAGTTGGAGATGATAGTAGATTCGATGGAGAAACTGAAGATGCTATTGAGGAAGCAACTTTTGATAAATATGGAGGAGGAGAAATTGAATTATCTAAATATTGAGAAGAGAAAAAAGAGTATAAAAAAGAATGTATGTACATATTATTTAGTAGTGTTAGTTGGGAAAAAAATTTTTTTAAAGGTAAAGTTTAAGAAAATGTAAGAAAAAATTCAGCTGTTTAATTACGGATGCTGATATCTTTATCCGTTACCATCCCTTTTTAAATTTATTTATCTGGTATTATTTTATTTTAAATTCCTCATTTATGGTTAAGGTTGTCGTTACTAGAATAATTTTTAGTAATAAAGTAGTAATTCTCTGACTGGCTTATTCAAATATTCCCTTTTTTTAAATTTCTCGAATTTAACGTGAATCTTTTATATCCAAAAATACGACAACCTTTTTTAAAAATTAGCAAATTGAGAATGTATTTTTCATTCACATTTATTTGATTCACATTATATTAATGTTCAATTGTATTTATTTCAGTATTTCAGAACTGGCTTTGAATTCAAAAATTTTGCAAATATTTTTTGCAAAATTTCAACCGATCTTTATAAAAATCTAAAACGAAAATTAGAAAAATGTTAATTTATAATCCTAACCGCCCAAATAAATTGGATTTGTTTAAAAAATCTCTTTATTAAAACAGTTCTGAACTATATTTATAGGTATTTTCTATGCGAAAATACCTAACGTTTTTTAAAATTACATATATTCGAAAAAATTTGTAAGATATAATTGAATTGAATTCTAAAACAAAAAAATTTTTAATATATTTTAGTTATAAAAATTTGAAATTAAGATTATTCAATTCAATTATGACATAAAAATTTTTTGCTATGTATATTCATGTCTGGACAAGATATTTTAGATAAACTCCTCGGCTTTCGCGAAATTATACCTGTCCATACATGGATATAGTATATATACATTATATACATACATATATTCACAATCTGTAGTCATTTTATGCAAATTTGTAGTCGCATAAAATTTTTAAATTTTTAAAATTATTTTCATGTTGAGTTTATAAAGAAGATTAATTCTTTTGATTAATCTACAATTTGGCTATCTATCTTTGAAAATAACTTATATTCTCTGTGGTGATACGACATTTGAGGCACCATAATGTATAGAAATAAAAAAGTTCATAAACCTCCATTTTACTTATTATTAAAAACTGCCACTATTTACAACCCAAAAGTGAGATTCTTATTTTACCATCTCGATGGCTTAATATTTACACGAAGAATTTAGGACCTTTGGTCAATTATATGTAACGAGAGCTTATGGAGTTGAATTAAATCAACAATGAGACGTGATAAAAACTTCAAAAAATCAGTAAACCGTGCGAGTTATAATCACTAACAAATAAATGTGAAAAACAAATAAATGTTTTAATTGTTTGTTGTAATCAGACTTAATATTTCCAATTGAAAAAATTAGAAGCTACATACATAATCAAAATACATGTTTGTGTATTTCTATTCTAAAGTCAAATATTTTTATAAAATTATCAACTCATAGTACAAAACACAAACTATAAAATTTTCATTAAAAGTTAATCAATTATACAAACAGATAAGTTATTAACAAAAAGAATTTAGAAAATATTTTATTTTAATGAGCAGTGATACTGCATCTTTTTTAGAATTTAAGTATTTTAAATAAAAAATAATACTTATAAGTTTTTTTCTCGAAAATTGGGTATTCCGGACGGTTCTTTGCCCGGTAATTCAAATTCCCAAAATCAAGAATTTATTTTTTATGTTGATAGGAATTATGAAGTAAATATACTGCATAGTACGTATGAGTAAAATATTATTAAAATTATATTTATAATTTTAATTAAAATATTAATTAAAATATTTTAAATAAAAATTATTATTATTTCAAGTTTAAAAAATAATTAAAATCAACAAATGATTTCACTATTTTTTATTTTACTTAATTTTTTCGTCTGTTTTATATTATTTTATAATTTTTACTTTAAAAGGCGTAATTTACCTCCAGGTAAGTTAATTGAATAATTTTTATTAATTTCAAAAAAAATATTTTTTTCTGGTCCAACCCCTCTTCCTTTAATTGGCAATTTATTAAGTTTTGACAAGGAAATGCCAGAAAAATGTTTTTTACGTTGGAGGCGTAAATATGGAAATATATTTACAATTTGGTTAGGGGAACAACCAACTGTTTGTGTAGCTGAATATAATAAAATCATAGAAACATTCCAAAAAGATGGAGAAACATATTCTGGACGTTTTAGATTTGAGGACTTTAATAAACTTGTTAAAGGTAATTATTTGAAACTTTTAATTGAGAAGGAAATATTTAAAAAATACTAATTATTATTAGGAATAAATTGTGGTTTAGTAATGACTGATGGAGAACTTTGGCGAGGGCAGAGACGTTTTGCTTTGCAAATATTTAGAGATTTTGGACTTGGAAAGAATTTAATGCAAGATAAAGTTGTTATTAAAATATAAATATTGAGGGAATTAGTTAAGCAAATATATAAATTTTAGTAACGTTATGCATATATAGGACCAAAATTTATAAGACTAAAGATAGTCCCAATGACAATTTTACAGTTTTCATTATAACTAAGTCACCAAAAATTTTTTTGCAAGTCTCTAATAAATTATTTATTTTTTAGATTTTGAGTGAATTAGAATTATTATATGGGAGAATAGAAGAAGAAATAAAACAAGGAAATGATGTTGATTTTGGTGAAAATATTGATATAAGTGTTGGTTCTATTATTAACAATTTTCTTTTTGGATATAGATTTGATAATGTAAAGTTTTTGGAATTTTTGTTAACATAAAAATTAATTTTTAGGAGAGGCTGGGAGAATTCCGTCAACTTAAAAAATTGATGGATAGCGCCCTAGATATACAATTTCATCCAATTATAGTTCTTATACAATCATGGCCATCCCTACGACATTTACCTTTTTTTAATTCGTATTTTGAATATTTCAAAGAAATAAATAACCAATTCTTTGATTTTCACGAAAAACAAATTAATGAACATTTAAATTCAATTATTTCCCCGCCAACAGATTTTGTAGAAGCTTTTTTATTAGAAAAACAGCAGAGAGATTCAATTGGAGCGCCTCATTATTTTACGTAATTTATGAGAGATTTAAAATAATTTCTAATTTAAAATAATTTTTAAAAATAGAATTGAGCAATTGGTAGCCGTTGTTGGCGATCTTTGGTTTGCCGGTCAGGAAACAACGAGCACTACATTAAATTGGGGAATTGCTTTTTTAATTAATTATCCAAATGTTCAAAACAAAGTACATGCAGAATTAGACTCAATTATTGGAGATTTTGATAGAATTATTACAACGGCAGATAGGCCATCATTGCCATATTTAAATGCTTTAATTAACGTTAATTTCAATTTTAATATGTAGTTTTTAGGGTATAGGAAGAAATAGGAAGATATTAGGAATAGAAGTAGGAAAAAATGGGGACTGTTGTAAATCAGAATATCTATTCGGAAATTTAAACTAACATAAAATTGGAAATTTTAAAGAATTTTCGGAAACTGGGAAAAAACATCGGAATTCGGAAGGACCATTGTCAAAATTAAATTTTGCAAGATTACATATTCCTTTATTGTAACATTGTATTAACCTCATAGATCATTAATAAAACTTTTACAAAGGAAATCCAGCGAATGTCAAATTTACTTCCTCTAAATTTGCCCCATACATTGACTAAAGATGTTAAAATTGATGGATATTATTTTACAAAAGATACAATCATTATTCCACAAATTTCAGCTGTTTTGGCAGATGGGGAAATTTTTGAAAAACCTGAAGAATTTAATCCGGAACGTTTTTTAGATGAAAATGGAAAATTAAAAAAAGTTGATGAATTAATTCCTTTTTCTATTGGAAAAAGGTTTCTTCTTTAAAAAAATTTTTTGGAACCTAAAAACTTTAAATTTAGGCAATGTTTGGGAGAATCACTTGCAAGAATGGAACTTTTCTTATTTTTAGGAAATTTATTAAATAAATATAAATTTATGCCTGGAAATGATGGAATTCCTTCATTAAAGCGCATTAATGGGGGGACAGCTAGATGTATTAAATATAAATGCCGAATAATAAAAAGAGAATAATAATATTGTTATAATTATAATTTGATTTATATATCAATGAAATTTTGATTAACATAATCACTATAGTTTTTTAAAATTTTTGCTGGTCCTTGGGGGACGACTAAATTATAGTGAGACTTTTAAAGTTTTTTTATATAGTATTCTTCTAACTTTCTCGACAAATGAGCGATTTTTAAAAATTATTTTAAAAAATTATTTAAAAAATGTGTGCCAAATATAATTAATAAAATAAAAATTTTTTCCAATTTTGTCGCAATTTCTCCATTAGTTTTAGTGATATTTATAGTTTTGTTTGCATAAATTCCTCCAAGTTGTTGTACATCCAAATCATTAAGTAAAAACTTTTGACCATCAAAATTGTTACAAAAAGTTGATTGGCAACAACGAGTACCTAAATTATAATTGAATTTACTAAATTAATTAAATACATGTTCTAGAAAATATTCCATATCCACTTTCCATACATCCAGGCCGACAGCGTTCTGTGCAGTCTCGACGCATATCCGTGAAAAAACCATTTAAGGATGTAACACTTGTCTAAATTATTTTAGTAAATTATTAGGCTCTCAAAAAATAAACGCAATGGAGGTTGGGATTAGTACTACTTAACCCCTTAGTCTTGTATTGTATTCTAGCCTACTCAGCTACGTTTGATTTCAGTTGAATACCTTTTCCTAGTGGAAAAAGTTTTTGTACTACTTACCGCGCTTTTTCTCTTACTTAGCTTACTTTCGGCAAACATGATTTATTAAAAAATGCTTTTGTTAAACTCGAAAATGCTTTTATTAACCTTAAAATTAAATTTATTTTAAAAATTTATTTTTTCTCTATCATAATTTCACTTCTATGTAATAGAGATATTCCACTTATTTTTTAATAAGAAATTGGGTACAGCCGGTTAGCCTTCCCGGAAATTAATAAATTTGGCCGCGGTCACGACTGCCTTATATTTATTTATTTTTTCATTGAGGAGCCTCTCAATTTCAATTTTGGTTATTTTTAATTTATTTAAGCAATTCCTCCTTTATTTGCCTTCAATTGAGCAATTTATTCATTTTTGGATATGAATTTCTCTTTGGCTACAATTAGCCAATTTATTTTATTTATTTCCGAATTTACATAATATCTGTTCTTGAAATAGAGGAAAAGGCGTGAAAATATAAATGCGCGAAGCACAACCTTCTAGATTAAAAATCTTTTAAACAACCCGATTTAAATAGGAAACAGGCTATACATTTTTTAAGTTCGTTGCGCAAAGAATAATGCTTTTTCAAATAATATTTGCAAGAGCGTTTTATGTATTTAATCAAAGAAACAACTTTGTAGTTTTGTTAATTTTTCTTAAGTTTTATTATAAAAAATAGCAAATAGAATTTAGATACTCTATAAAAAATTTTGGATTTTATTTCAAAATTTTCTGTCATATCTATTAATAATTTTAATCTATTTATTAGCCAAATATTAGATTATACTTTTTAAAAATATCGTAAAGATATTCTATTAGTACATACATATTTTCATTTTTTTCATTTCTTTCTCCTACCGTTTCTCAAATATCATTTCCCCATTCCATCATTATTTTTTATTTAAAAAAACTCCAAAAATCCTTAACATCTTTAAGTAGTATTTATCCATTCAATCACATTTTGGAGTTGATGTGTGGGCTAACAACAGGCTTGGACAACTTTTAGTAGTTTATTCTTTTACTATTTTATTTTTCCTTTTCCTAAGGGAATTGTCATCATTGCGGGAAAATTTGGTGTTTTAAGGAGAGAATAATGTAAATATTTAACAAAATGTTTTTTTGTTTTTCGTTTAAATAAAAAATTTGTTTGACGTTTCTGTTTGAATCAAGTTAAAAATTTTGTTAAATTTTTTGTACAGAAGAATCTTTTCCTTAAATTTTAAAAAAAAAACTATTTTTTTTTAATTAAGTTTTAAGTTTTTTTAATTAAGTAATTAAGTTTTTTTTTAAAATTTAAGGAAAAGATTCTTCTGTGCAAGGAAGCATGGGCAGTCAAAAGGATTTAATTTCTCTAATATTCCAAAATACTCTAACCTACTGAAAATTTTTAAAGTCGAAACCTTAGAAATTAGGAGATATAAAATTGATCTAATTCTCTTTCATAAAATTATTTGGGGAAATATAAAAGTAGAACATAATTCATCTTTCTATTTCATCAACACTAAAACACGTGGGGAAGAATTTAAATTAAAAACACAAGCTTGCGCAACCACAATTAGATATAACTCCTTTTTTATCAGAACCGCTAGACTTTACTCTACATTACCGATAGAAATACGCAAAAATACTCCCATTAATTTTAAAAAACTATTGGATAATTTTGATTTGTTTTCACACATAACCTCCCTTAAAACTTAATTAAAGAATAGTTGAACTATTTATTTATATCAGATCATTTGTATTATAATTTATATATTATTGACCACATATTCTGTATTTTTTTTTTGATCGCGCGTCAAACATGACGTAATAAATTGAAAATTCGAAATTTATTGAAAGTTGAACCAATTGAAATTTAATAAAATTATTGAATATTTAATCTACATATCATTAAAACCTATTGAAATATAAAGAAAACTGGAGGAGCACGCTGAGTCTTATGATAAAAAAATTCAGTTAAAAAACGATAACTTTTCGAAAGAGCTCATCGAAACGATTTAAATGATATCAAAACCAAAGAAATTCACAACCTTTTTCCAAAATTAGTGTTTTGAATAATTCTGACTTCAAAAGATTATAAAAATTCAAAAAGAATTAAAAACTTTATTTATATTTTCCCTTACTTTCCTTATACCTACTTATTTCAACTCAATCCCTTGGAGACCGATCCGTTAAATGTTTTAGCCAATAATCTGCCAAATTTTACCCTTTTATTATTCCCCAATTTTCCCTCATTTAGGACTTTTTACATATCCATTTAAATAAATATAAAAAAGAATAGGGGAGAAGGCGTTTCTCCTTTTTTCTTAGTTTATCTCTCCTATTGGATTACTATATATTTAAATAAAAACAATAGAAAATAAATTTTTAAATATTTTTAAAAATTTAATTCCTTAGGAAAAAAATTTTTCAATCGTAAAATAATATTTTAAAATTTTATTTAAAAATTAAAAAATAAGTTAGAAGTTATCCCAACAGTCTGACTCGGGATTTAGATGGCCTTAAAATTATACACGTCAATAAAATATTTATTTGAAAGAAAATTAGAAATATCATCAAATTTCGATTGACTAATGTGTAGTACCTAAGCGATTCCCTCTACATAACATACCCTTCAATTTTAAATCAGATTTCTAGCCTCAAGAGATCCTAAAATCTGTCTTAAAATTATATTACATATTTAGAAAAGATTAAATTATATATTGCTTTTCCCCAAAAATCTAAAAATTTTAGACGAATTACTCTTCGGTCATTGTTAGGTTAAACAACCTTAAATATTAATCCTTTTACTACAAATTTTGGGAAGCAAAGAATTGTATGTCGACATTTATTTTTAAGTAATCAAAGGCCACTTTTAAATATTTATGTATTATTAATTTCCATGAATATTTTGCCCATTTGTTTTTTAAGGATTAATTTTGTAAACAATCGAGTTGTTTATTATTAAACAAAAATAGGTATATAAATATTAAGAAAGTTATTCTTATATTTTTTTATTTAAAAGTTAGTTCTACATATTTATTATTTAACTCAAAAATAAATTTAACCTTCTAAATTAATCTAATAGTCATATAGACCAATTTCGTAGATAAACGTTTTCATTTATCTATATTTTTATTCTTTTTTTTAAACAAAAAATCTCCCAGTTAAATTCGAGCTTCTCAACTTTAACAAAATTACCCATTCTTTTAATTTACATAAAAATTCCCCGTTTCACTTCTAACATTAAAATCTATCTACCAGGGCTGGATAATTTTTATTTAATTTAAAAAAGCTGAAGACGAAAGCAGATAAAATTCCATTCTTCTATCTGCTATCAACAATTTTTTAAATTTTCGAAGAAATTATCAATAAAAAGATATGGATATTCAATCTGATTCAATCCAAACATCAGAACAATTAAGCAAAGACCAAACAGAAGAAGACCAACAAAATACCTCAATAGCTGCCACAATATTACAAATGGCTGCAAATAATGTTTTTAATTTATCAATGCCTTCAATGGAAAATTTAACAAATCCACTGATTAATCCCGTATTTTTGGCTATGCTTACAGCATTAAATAGTTAATAATATTTTTATTTAATCTTTAAAGATTAATTTTAGATTCTGATAATATTTCTCTTCCTTCTTTTATTCAAAATAATGGAGAAGAGGAAGAAACTAATTTATTGTCTTCACTAAACATTCCTACAGTAAATGAAACAGAAAATTGTGCAACAACCTCTTCCCCTACAAAAATTGAAGAAAACAACAAAAATAATGACAAAAGCCCTAGCAATTCACCCAAACAAGATTTACAAATTTTCAATAATTCGAGTTCAAATTCACCTAAACTTGACTTTTCTTGTTTGTCTGAACAAGTATGTCATTATATGTATTATAGAAAATTAAATAGTTAATTCTCGACATAAAATATTTTACAATTATTTTTTTTGCAAATTTATTCTTTAATTTTTCCGAAAAATAATTTTAATTTTCCTTTTTAGTTTCAAAATCAACAACAAGAACAACCATCAGCATCTACTTCATTTTTTTGTTCACCTCAATTACAATTATTTCAATTATTCCAAGCAAACCAACTTTCCCTTCAAAATGATCTAAACAACACCGAAATTTCAGAAACCCCAATAATTGAAGAAAATCAACAAATTAATTTAAATTCGAGTTGTTTTAAAAATAAAATTAAAGTTTAAATAAAATTTTTTAAGAAAAGAGAACAGCTGGAATTGATCCCAATTTTTGTGGAACAAAGCGAAGAAGGACTAGAACAAATTTTTCGAATTGGCAATTAAATGAGTTAGAAAATGCTTTTGAATCTGGACATTATCCTGATGTAAGAGGGATTTTAATTTAAAGTTGTTAACAATAAAATTAGGGGTGTCTTTACCATATATAGAAGAATTAAACGAACCACGTTTTTAGATAGCTTTGGTTTGAAAATAAAATCTGTGGCATTTCACTATTTAAAAATTGAGCAAGTTATTAAATCTTCAAGGATATAATTGTATTTTCTAGCCTAAATACACCATCCATTAAAGATTTATTTTGTTTTCAGGTATTTATGCGTGAGGCTTTAGCCCTTCGTTTGGATTTGCTTGAATCGAGAGTTCAAGTCAGTCTTTTTTTAAATTTAATTAAAAAATTAAATTTATAATTTAATTAATCATAATCGATTAAATCTTTAAAAATACCAAAAAAAATTTCCCACCATTTTTCCCTTGGCAATTGGGGGAATGAATGATGATGGGCACAAATTCATTGCAAATTCATTTTGACTCTTCCTCCCTCCCCCATCCCTTCTTCCAAAAAAATATATTAATAGATTCCTTGGATGAGGAGGGCATCGCGCCAATAAAAATAAAAAGAGAAGGGAAGGGGGGAATTAAATAATATATTATATTATAACCACCACAAAAAACCTTCCCCCCCAAAATTTTGCCTTTTTAATGGCTTTTTGAGGGTGAAAATGTTAAATAGCTAAAAGATGAAAAGATAAGAAAATTTGGAAGAAATTTAAGAATTAAATAAATGAAATGAGCCTTTAAAAAGTCTCAAAATAATAGAAAAAGAATTAATTTAAAAATAATAAAAGGCCGAAAAGGGGACAATAAATTTATTTATTTTTGGATATTATTTAGACGAGAATAATTTAGGTTTTTTTCGGTCTTGAGTCTTGGAAAATTTTCGGTCTTGGAAGGCTCTAGTAAATACCAGTTTCGGATTAAATACAAGGGAAAAGTCCGGAGTGATTGGGTTACTTAAAACAAATAAAACAAAATCTAACATAACAATTAAAATCTCATAATCTAAGTTTAGTCAAAATCTTGATTTTTCTGAATTTTAAAATTAATTTAAAACGAGATTTTGATTTAAGAAAATTAATAAAAACTTTAAAAATAAATTTAAAAATTTTTTTAATTCAACTTAATTTCGAGTTATCAGTTAAAATATTGTATATTTTATATTTTTAGGTTTGGTTCCAAAACAGAAGGCAAGTTATAATTTTTTTAATTATATATTTTATTCTCAAGTATAGCAAACAAGAAATTTAAAATAATATTAGAATATTTAATTTTTGAATAAAAAAACTTTTTTGTTAAGAGCAAAATGGCGCAAAAAAGAGAATAATAATTGTTCAAGTAATAACCAATTTGGCTCTCCCAGAAAAGACGAGTTTAAAGAAAATACTTCTGATAATATTGGAGAAGAAAAATTAGAAAATTTTGAAGAAAATGAAGGGAAAGACGAAGAAAATCAAAATAATAATGAAGTAGGGGAATCTTCTACCAATTCTTTCACTAAGAAAGCTGGTAAAAGTTCAACATTTTCTGTTGAATCATTGCTGGCTGCTTCTAGGCAAGAAATTATTTAAAATATAAATTTTTATCAGATTATACCCTTTACTATATTTTGAGGAGACTTTTTTTAATTACCCCTCCCCCCCCCCCCTACCAAAAAACTCAAAAATATCCTTAGTAAATTAGTCACTCTCAGACTGATTTACGTAATTATTTGTCCGAATAAAGGATTATTATTTACAAAAATTTTTTTTTTAATTTTACAGAGTGCCACGGGGCCGTCGACCCAACACAAAATATCCACGTGTACAGGCTTGTAAAAGTATCGCCCCATATATGTTTCCTCTATTTCCTATTACGCAACCGTCTGGCCAGACAATTAGACAACCGGGGGCAGAACAATAGTGAAAAACGAAAATTTAAAAAAGAAAAGATTAAAAAATAAATATATTAAAATATTTGGATTATTTTAATTTTAATATTTACTATATATTTTATAATATTTATGTCTATCTTCTTGGGAAATTATTTATCCCTACGCAGTTTATCTCATTATATTTTTAATAAATAAAACAAAATTTATTTTATTCTATTTTCTTGATTATTCTATTATTTTTCAAGTAAAATCTTATTTTTGATAAACACTTATATTGTCTGTGTGATGATCTAAAATTAATATTTACCTAATATTCTTTACATTCACACAAATAAAAAATCTTTAATCCTTTATATCGTAAAATTAGTAATACGATATTTGCTAATTTCATGTTTTATAAAATGTACAGGTTCAGAAAAAAATAAATTGAAAAATAAAATATCGTGTCATTGTAATATTAGTTTTACGATATTTGCTAATTTTAAGGAAAAATTGGAAATTTTATTTATTAAAGAGGAAAACTTAAAATTAAAGGTTAGGTAATCATTTTAATACAGAAATACGAACCAGAATTCTAAATATGCAAAAATATTTTTTAAATCTCACTTTCCTCGAATTTCAGAATGACATGTTTATACCAATAAAAAATTCAGAAATCTTTTATAGGTATAATTCTAACTCAAAAGTATTAAATACCGTAAAAACTGTATTAACTACCCTGGGTAATTATTGTTTCGATCTCTCGCCGGAGAGGGTAATAAATAGAGGCGGGGTAATTAATAGAGGTTATTTTAGAAAGACTAATTATAACTATTTTTAAGGGGGTAATTAATGTTTCAACCTTTCGCTGGAGGGGGTAACTAATACAGGCGGGGTAATTATTTGAGGGAGGGACATTAATACAATTTTTACGGTATTATTGTTTCGAAATCGCCATTGTTTTCAGAATTTCTGTAAAAAATTCAAAGAACTAATAAAACAAAATAATGACATTTTAATGAAAAAATACTTCCTACGGAAAAGAATTAATGTACATATTTAATATAAATCACTTCAGAAATATTTTTTCAATTAAGAATGATAACATTAATTTACGTAAATAAATAAATATTTAAATTTAATCCATTTTATTAAAAATTATATTAAAAGAAATTGTCCTTTAAAAAGGCGGAAATATTTTTAACAAATGGGAACGGAAACGGAATTTGGAAAATATTAATAAAGAAAAGAATATTATTTATGTAATCATTTCTTAAAAAAATATTTTTGCTTTTTAGATTTAATAAAAAATTGTTTTTTTATAAATTTTTTAAATTAATTTTTAAATAATTTTAGAGAATTTAAGAAATTAAATGAGACTTAAGGTTACTCAATTATTCCTTTATTTTCGAATTTATACGGTTTTTGCTAAGTTTTTGTCATTTTTGCCCCCTTTTCCTATTAATTCAACTTTATTTGTAGGAAAAAGTAAAATTTTGCCAAAATCGAAAAAAATAAATCTAAATTTGGTATTTTCTCCTTTAGAATCTTCCAAAAGCTTCAACTCTATTTAGGAACATTTTTTTAATTTAAATAGCAATAAATATTTTAAATTCACCTATATTTTTAAAAATTAAAAAATGAACCAACCGAACAAAAATGTTCTGCTGGAGTACATATTCTTCTAAATTGACTTTTATTAACAAAAAGTTGATAGCTTAAACATCTAAAATTAATTTAAGAAGTTAAAACGTTTTTTTAAATATTTTTTGAAATTATTTGGATAATAATTTTATTTTATACAGACTAAAAATTGTTTTTTAGAATAAAACATACTCAGGATGTTGATCCAATCGACTGAGAATGTCCCGTTCCCTAAATAAATAAATTAACATGTTAATTTTGTTGATAATTAGAATTAATTAAATTTTAGTTAAGAAGGCACTAAAATTAATTTTTTAAGAGAAAATTTAAAAAAGGGATGGTATCCTTACTAAAATTTGTTCAGACCTTCTTATTTGCTTCTTACTTAGGCAGTTTGGCTAACATTTCCCCTTTAATTAAAATCTTTTTTTTTATCTTTAAGATGTTTTCCGAAAACTTGATAAAATAAAGGAATTTTTTCATTTAAATTTTATCAAATATTTAAATTAATTTACACTAAAATATAATTTCAATTTAATTTTAATTTTCTAATCTTTTTTTAAACATCCGTTAAATAATTAGATCATTTTTTAACTTAATTTTTATATATTTTATTAATATTTATTTTAATTTTAAAAAGCTCATTAAACTAATTAAATTAACTCATTTTTGATTTAATTTAATAAAAAACCAATTTGTGTTCTTTATTATTAATATTAAAATTATTCATTTTATTTCCTTCTTAAATTTTAATTTTTCAATTTTATTTTCCTTTTTAATTATTAATTTCTTGTCTATATTTAATATTAATTTATTTAAAAATATTTTTTAAGCAAAAATAAAAATAATATTTTTAAAAAATATTGCAGAAAAAACAATTTTTTCTTTAAATTTTGCAAGAAAAAATTCCTAAAAAGAATTCTTTTATTTCCAAACCTGTTAGAATGTCGACAAAAGAAACATTCGTTTGGATAATTTGTTAAATTTTTATTTATTTGAGTAGTTATATTTGGAAATAACTTTAATAATAATAATGTTGCAAATAACAGACATGATAAACTAACAATCATTTTTTTGTAAAAAATTTTTTTGAAAGAAAAAATTCTGCAAAATAAAAATTTTTTTTTATTTTTTCTAAAAAATTTTTTTTCCTAAAATTATTTAACACCTTTTTTTATTATCGTAGTATTCTACCTACATATGTTTGTTCTCATTCAATAAGCTCGAAGAGCTTTTTATTAAAATTAGGGTTGCCGTTTTCGAGTTTTTTTTCGGGCCTCATTTTTATCGGGGAGACCCGACCGAATCTTTTTCGGTGCAAAATTCAAGGCCCGACTCGATCTTTCGGACCGGACCGGCAATAACCGGACCGGACCCTAATTAAAATATAAACAATTTAGTAAAATATTGATTATACGTAAGAATCGGGGATGAGAAGGGAGAAAGTGTGCGAAGAAGTGGGGGGTTTACTTAAAATTGGAGACCTCCTAATGGTCAATTAAATATTGTGCGTATAATAGGGAGTTTATGTAAATTTGGCTAGACGTCAATCGAGAGTGACTGTAAACTAAAAAAAGGAAAAAAACTATGAGTGAAATATTAAATTATATATTTTTAAACATTCAAATTTTAAAAATAATTCTAGGCACAAAAATATATTTTTATAAATAAAGAAGTTTATTATAAAAAACTAAAATAAACTTAAAATTTTTTGCAAATAAATATTTAACAAGCACAGCTTGATAATATTTTTTAATAATTTCACATTTTTTAAATAAATAAAAAATAATAAAATGGTTTTTATGACATGTAATGTATAATTTCTAAAAAATTTTTTTAATTTTTAAGAATTTAGGAGAAAATTCAAAAAAATAAAAATTAAGTTTTAAATATTTCACAGAAAATTAATTAATTATTTTATTTTTTGTTACAAATTCTTATTTATTTATTTCTCTTTGTTAGTCACTGATCTACAGTAAATATTAAAAAAAATTTTTGTTTAAATTTTTATTAAAAAATTTGCAAAAATTACATAGAATTATTGTCATTAGAATTTATTTTTATTTTTGTAGCCTTATTTTTAATTAATTGAGTGTGTAGAATGATGATATTTATATAAAAATAGCAATAATTAATTTTAATAATAATTAAATATTTTTTAATTGTTTTTTAATCTTTTTTTATTTTTGACTAATTAATTAAAATAAATATTTTAATGTTAAAAATACAAAAAATACTTTTTTGGAGAATTTTCTATTAAAATAAAAAATTTTTTTGTTTTTTATTTTCTATAAAATAGGATTCGTTATTATTTAAATGATGTTAAATTTAAATAAAAATTATGACTAACATAAGATTTTTGGCTAGTAAACTAATTTAGCTAAAAAATTTATCTGCTTAATTTTGAAAACTTTATATATGTTTATATTTATTTTAGCGGTTTTAAATGTCTGCAGAAATTTTATTTTCCAATACATACTAATGATTAGAAAAATGTTTTTAACTAGAAAGTCTCATCCAGAAAATTATTTTTCATTTACGTATTTATTTAATTATTCATTATAGGATACAAGTGTATCGTAGATTTCTAAAGCACATCAGTCCGGTCACGCCCAGCGCCCGCTTTCTTTTGCATTAACTAAAGAGAAATCATCTTTACGAAAATTATCAATGGGATCTATTATCTTAAATATGCCTATCTAACATTTTAAATTAATAGAATATTGTCTGTTAACACCTGTTCTACTATTCTTCTATTTACCAAAAATTAATTTGAAAATTTTTGTGCAAATCAAAAGATTTTTAAATATTTCCTATAAATTATTAAAATTTAATAATTTATGTCTATTTTTAAATTTTTAAAAATTCTTTTTTAGATTTTTTTATTATTTCTTTTTCACATGCAAAAAGAGGAAATACTCCCTCAACTTCTAAATTTAGTTAAAAAAATTTTTTTGAAAAATGGAAACAATAAAAGCAATGACGACAATTTGTTAGAAAAAAATATTTTTATAAAAAAAGTTAGATATTACCTATTTAAAAATTATTATGTTTTTGAAATAATTTTTCATTTAG